ACACATCTAATAAAAAACGGTAAAATATGAAGATAGGAGATTTCTGCATGACAGCAATGATATCTAAGCAACAGGTGGTCGTCTCTTATAGGGGGTACTTAGATCCCGAAATCTGAAAAGAAACACACATACACACACACACACACACACACACATATATATATATTTACAGAAAGGCAACATGAGAAACATATTTATATTGAAAATGAATACCCATATGTAATTATTATGTGTTATTATAGTTATCATTTTGATATAAATATTACTCATATAACAAACACTGAATGATTAAATGTTTTACATACAAATAATTTGGATTTTCTACCTTGTGTGTAGGCCTATAGCTATTGCGCTACCTATCTGCTTTGTTTATTTATGAAAATCCATGGTTAAAATTATTCTTCAGTATGCAGGAACATGAATAAAACTCTGAGGTTTAAAACAAACCAAACTGTTCGAAAATCGGTTTAAAATTTATCAATCTATGGTTATTCAAATCGTAGACTGTAATGTTGAGTGGGCGAGGTGCCTGAAGCAAGATGGCCGCCATGTGCGGACGTCGGTCTCCATTGAATAACAGCGTGTGTGAGTCATCTAGCGTTTATACATATCTATGGTAACAGAAGCAGAACAAAATACTTGCTTTCAGTTATTTTCTTTTATGAAATATTTATATTTTTCAGACTGTGACAATTTCAAAAAGAGAAATACAAATCTGCTTCATGACAGCAGTGAGAAGAGACCAAAATAAAAATATAAAATATGTAAGAAAAAAGAAAACGCAATTAAAAGGGGGGTCAAAAGCGGAAACAGGATGGTAAATATAAAAGGCAATATCGACAATGTTAATAAGATAATAACAGGTAATACTGATAATAGTAGTGATGATGAAACAGAGCAACAGAAATTTGCAAGAGGTAAAACAATGAAAGCCTAAAAGGTTAATTAAGAAAAGAGCAAAAGAGTAACATCAGAGTAATTTATGCTGTTGTCCTGACATAATCCTGATGCAACTACATTAACCCCAGATTTAGTCACTTCCAGATTTAAAAGGTTTATTACCACTAATTACTCTCCACAAACAGGAACCAAGAAAAGTTACTGAGAACGGTATTTGACTCTTAATAACACATCAGGTGCTTCAACTTAATCAACTTTAGGTATTTTTTGGTAACTTTTTTTTAACCTGATGACAGCAAACTGTGACTATAATTTCTATATTTTAAAATTTTTATTAAATTTTGGCCCCTGATTCTGCCATTCATATCGGGATATATAAACATCCTGATGCTACAAATAAGCGAAATAGCATCTACGCTTTTGTTCCAGCAATTCCTGCCAGACTTCATTCACAAATCTGTTAATTTAAAATAAAAGGAGTCTTGCCAGAAACAGCACATCGTTTATAGCAACTTATACCATTATGTTCACAAATAATCTGTACCTCGGAGTAATTCGGCATACCGGTGACACAAGTACAAGTTAATGTTTCTCACTGAAGAGCTTATTTTTTTTGACTTCGCTCAACAACTTATCCTTTTGTCCTGATATAATCCTGATGCAACTACATCATAAACCAACTGCCAGGAGCCTAAACAGAAAAAGTAAACTTTGGATCACAGAGTTTGTAATGTGAGGTTGGTTTGCAGAGTGTGGCTAACACTGGCAGAGCACCATCAGCCTTTTGTCCTTATTGCAGGTAAACATCCACATACCTGTGCTGGTTACACATTTCTGCAGTGAAGAGATCATGTGCTAGATTAACACGGACACAGCCTTTACACTGCTTTATCTCAATTTTCTAGATCAAAATACTGATAAAGCTCATTATGCTGTGAGATGCCATCTGCCACTGAGGCTTGTTTTGTACGGGAAGTTGATAACAGCATTATGGGAATAGTTTTTAACTGGATCTACAACTCTGGTTGGTTTAGACATTACACCAACCATGACCTACAAAAACAAAAATCTAAGTAATTTTTGAGCCAAATCTTTTTGATTCAGTCCAGTAGGGGTGATGGTGTCTAACTGTAAAGTCTGAAAGAGCAAATCACTGGATTTAGGTTTATAATGCAAACAAGTAGTTGGGGAGAGTGGGGTAAGTTGAGCCACCCCCTGTTCCCTTGGAAATAGTAAAAGAAATTGATCATGTGACCAAATATTTAGGAGATAGGCATCAATTCATGGAGTCTGTGAAAGTTAAAAGCACATGAGTGAAGGGGTTAGACATTTATACAAAACATTTTTTCAGTCTTGAAAGTGAATTGAGTCTGTCATTAGTTTTATTAGAATTGATTAGTAGTGAATTACAGCGTTTTCAACCACATTGCGTTTTTGTGTAAACACAGCATAAAAACTGAAAACAAACGCACATCTCCGTTTTATATGGAGAGCATTTCCGTCTAAAAGTGGCCGAAGTGAGGTGAGGTACCTCCAAGGCTACCTCGCTAGTACGAACTTGCTTCGTAGAACAGGCCCCGGGTCCCAGAAGCTACGAATTGGACTGAATCCTGAAACGCTCAGCTGTGTATCGGTTCAGGAGGTCGGAGTCACAGGCTTCTTTGGTGGACGAATCTTTTGAACAAATCTTTTAAGTGAACTTATTCTAGTGATTCAGTTCGTCTAAAAGAACTGCCGTGCCCATCACTAGTGAGTGACGGCTGGGGTGGTAAACTTACCCCATACACGGGGTAAGTTGACCATAGGAGACGACTTTTTTTGTCATGCTATATTATCAAGACAGTTCTGTTTACACTCATTCTGTTGGTTTGCGGGGATGAACAACATCGTGAAATATATGCAGATACACTAGAGACAAAACTAGGATTGACTTAATGTAGTAATCCTGATTTTTGAATATGAAAAAAAACTTAAATTTGTATAAAGTCACAAATCTAATAGACTTTTAGATTTGTCTCTTCTTATTCTTATGTTTTTCATTTATAAATGTCGTAAAGAATCAAATCACAGCCGTTGTTTTGGCTTCTTCTCAGTAAATACGCCCCCCAACCCGGAAACAACTCCACTCCATATTTGTTGTGATCCGCGCTGATAAAGAAACAAGCCAATCGGTGATCGTCTCTGTCTTCAGACCACGCCCACTCCCGCTAATCACGAGTGGGTCCGCGTGCGCCCACAACTGGTCTCGACCAATCAGAGCGGCCCGCTGTAAGAGCGAGGGAGGAGATGGAGTATAAGGGGCGGGAGCTCGGGCTGTGTGTGACAGCTCCGGGTTCAGTGCTGCACCAGAGATGGGAAAAATATGAGGAGCTCTCACTCTGAAATACTGACAGACCATAACGCACGGAAAAAAGATGTTAAGAATTTAAGGTCCCTATCATCTACGGTACGCAATATATTCAGCGAAATCTTAATACAAAAAGGACAAAGCCGAAAACCCATACTGGATGGCTGTTATTTTAGCTCAGACATAATATCCATGTCGATTTTGGTGCCCCTTGTGGTCAAAGTAGTTTTTGCTCTTCTTGTCCTCTACACGCTTGGCGTTTGATTATCAACAGTTTCTTTGTTGATATCTTACCTGTAAATCATAAAACAGCCATGTTCCTTCGGCTGCTTGGCTAACACCTTCCAGATTACAGTGATTTTATGTAGACTAAACTAGGATCTAAAAATCATCAGTCTTGCGGCTGGTGGTCGTGTTTTGCTTTTGGATGTCGGTATGAAATTCAGTCTATTTCATAAAATTAAAAAAATTCTCACAGGAGCTTCAAGTGGTTTTGGATTTTACTATCCATAGATCAGAGATTTATATTAGCATTATATCTGAGTCTGGCATAGCAGATGTGAAGTGCTTGGTTTCCTGTTAGTTAAACTCTTAAACCAAACCAAGTGATTAAATCTTTTTAAAATCAATCAATGAATCTTTTCAGTTTTGATATTTGTTAGATTTGCACTGATTTACATAACAATGTGTTAATAATGTTCGATAACGGGCACATTTGGTTTTACTTTAAGGGATATTCCGGCGTAAAATTAATTTAGGGTCAAACACACCGTAACACCGAGTTAGAAACCCCCTCGAGAGATGAATGTTGCAGACCGCTTGCTTCTCTAGTTATACCAACTTTCGTAATGACCGCACGATAACAATACAGAGAGCCATACGCTCAACCAAAACGCCACTCTATAGCCACAAATAATGCTCAGAACAGCACCTAACTTCATCAACAGGACATATAGGGTCCCAGCCATAGTACTAGCCACCAAACATCTTTTTGACTAATTTCTGCTGCTTGTTTGAAGCGAGACCTCAGGCCAGTCCATTACGGATAACAGCGGGGTTACGCAGCTCAAGGAAGATCATATATGATCATTTCTTCATGGAAATACAGTCAGACCGAGACGCTACTGCAGAAGAACTACTGCGTCTGCAGTGCAGTGAAACGATCATAAATGTTCTTCCTTGAGCTGCGTAACCCCGCTGTAGTCCGTAATGGACTGGCCTGAGGTCTCATTACAAACAAGCGGCTGCTGGAAGAGGGTCGGTGAGTTGTAGGAAGTCCCTTTGCTTAAGAAATTAGGCAAAGCTAATAAGATGTGGCTGGGACCCTATATGTCCTATTGATGAAGTTAGGTGCTGTTCTGAGCATTATTTGTAGCTATAGAGAGGCTTTTTGGTTGAGGTTTGTTTATGGCTCCTCAGACCGCTGTTTATTGCTATCCTGCGGTCGTTACTGAAGTTGGTATAACTAGAGAAGAAAGCCGTTGGCGACATTTATCTCTCAAGGGGGTGTCTAACTTGGTGTTACGGTGTTTAACCCTAGATTAATCTTACGCCGGAATATCTCTTTAACAAAGTACATAGTCCAAACCTTTGTGGGGTTCATTGTTGTCCTTAAAAACAGTTTTGCGGGCAGATGTTAAATTCATTCTCACAAAATAGATACATTTTAGTTTTGGGGATTGTGAAAGTGTGATCCAGGTGGTCATTGGTTGTCTGGTGCTCCATCGTCTCGAGAATAGACGATCTTCGAGCTGCACACGGACTTCTCCATTCCTGGATCCCCCCCCTCATCTTTAGCCGTAACGACTGTCTGATCGATCGGAAGGTTGGAAACGTTTCTCCCTCGGTTTCAGGGTCTCTCGGTGGCTTTTTTCGCTCCCCTCCCTCCCGCACATCCTGCTGTTGATCGTGAGGAGTCCGCTGCGTGTGAGATTTGAAGATTCATCGAGCCCGACTGCACGAAGTTGATCGGCGAGCTAGCTAGCTGGCCACCTAAGCTAACTCTCGGCTAGCTTACTTGCTAACTAGCTTGCGGTGCTGGTCGGGGGAGGGAGTCCATTTTCGCAGACCGTTTTGGGGGCGTTGTTGTTGTTTTTTTTTTTACATTACATTGAAGCTGAGTGTGGCTGCTCTCCCTGTAGTTTGAATAGTATTTCACGGTGAGGTTTGAAGGAGTAAGCCGGTTGTTTCTTAGCTAGCGTGCTCTTTGTAGGCTGCTAGCTAACACCCTGCGCATTTAGCCTGGAAGCCAGTTCAAGGCCTCAGTCCAGAACCACCACCAGCTCCCTCCCTCCCTCCACCACCTCAGGATTCGCATTGCCGTGCAGTGAGAGTTGACAGGTGAGTAACAAACTGTCCTCAGACTTATCGGGGGTTAAAGTGGACAAAGGGGGGCGCTGTGGTTTATAAACCCCGGGCTGTCAGGGGGGTCGTTAGCATGCGTGCTAACTGGAACTCAGCTGGATTCAGGGGGGGTTGGGGAGTCCGCGGAATCACACCGGAGGTCGCCATCTTTCACTTGGATGCTGCTGCAAAACCAGAGAGTCAGACATGGCTGCTACTTTGTGGTCCAACCAGGGGCGCGTCCAAAGGGGTGGGAAGGGGTGGCGTGGGCCCCTTTGGAATCTGACTGGCTAATACTGCTGTCAATCAAATCCCTTAAAGCAGGGTACAGGCCGAACAGTTGGGAGTAACTTCAAGTTTTTGTTCACAATGCTTTTTTTTAAATCCAGCATGAGTTTGATGTATTTTGGGATGTATTTACTCCATGATCAGATGTTGCTTTCATGGAAATGCACCATTTTACTGCATTTACCTTTAGATATACATTGATGTTAACAGACCATTGCTAAAAATATGTCAGCAAAAGATAATAAGGGCTTAGTTTTAGAATTGAAAACATTTGCAAGAGTCACAACTTCAGTGAAAAAGCAAAAAAACAAAAAACAAGTCACAGTTGGATTATTCATTTCAATTTTTTGGCTTTTGAGAGTCTGCAGACAAAAATCCTAATAAATCTCAGCTGCGTTCAAACTACCGCAAAAATGGCAAGAAAGAAGCAACTGAGTAAAGAAATAAAAGTACAGATTTGTACATTGAGGAAAGAAAGATACATAGGAAGAGAAATTGCAAAACGCCTAAAGGTGTTTAACAAAGGAGTCCACTACACTCTGAAGAGACTAGAGGAACCTAAAAGTTATGATGATAGAAAAAGACCTGGACGAAAGAGAGTTACTACAAAAGCAGAGGATAAACATAGCATTGTCACCAGTAGGGGGGTCGGTGAAAGACAGCACCACAAATAAGGGAGGAAATCAACATGACAAGGTCGAAACCCATATCTCTGACAACCGTGAAATGACGTTTGAGAAAGGCTGGTCTGAAGGGTTGTGTATCTGCAAAAAAAACAATAATTCGTCCACAGAACAAGAAAAAGAGATATGAGTGGGCAAAAGCTCACAAAAATTGGACTTATGATGACAAGGAACAAGTTTGCACTGTTTGGTTCAAGACGCAGAGTCTATGTCCACAGACAAACTGGTGAACGTCTGAAAGCACCATGTGTTACACCCACAATTCAGCATGGAGGTGGTAGTGCCATGGTATGGGGATGTTTTGCAGGTGATGAAGTAGGAGATTTGTTTCAAGTAAAGGGTATCATGAAGAAGGAACAGTACCACACCATCCTCCAGCACCATGCTGTTCCATCTGGACTCAGACTTGTGGCTCATAAGTTTGTTTTGCAGCAAGACAATGACCCTAAGCACTCTGCCAAGCTCTGTCAGGGTTACCTAGACAAAAAAAGAAGAGGAAGGTGTTCTTCAAAAGATGGTTTGGCCCCCTCAGTCTCCAGACCTGTCCCAGACGAATCCTTTTTAATAGGAGGATACAACTGGGGCGGGTCGTCATTCTCAGTCTCTGACTGTTCTTGGTCCGGTGTTATGCTGTAGAATGCACCCCTGCCGTTGAATGCACCCCTGACGGGAGCGCGGTTGAAGTGCATAACCACCCCACCGACCAAGGGCGGAAGATTATCCTATAAGATTATCCTGTGGTCTCAGGTGTATTAAGGGTGAGTTTGTCCCGATAATTGGGTCCAAAACGGGTCGGGGCCGTCAATCGTAAATATTAAACTGGGCCAGTCCATTACGGACTACAGCGGGGTGACGCAGCTCAAGGAAGAACATTTATGATCGTTAATTTATCATTTCCTTGTGGTAATAATCACCATATTAATCATTTTTCACTGCAGACGTGCCTTAGCGTCTCGGTCTGATTGTATTTCCATGAAGAAATGATCATAAATGTTCTTCCTTGAGCTGCGTCACCCCGCTGTAGTCCATAATGGACTGGCCTGAGGTCTCACTACAATCAAGCGGCTGCTGGAAGAGAGTAGGTGAGTCGTGTTTGGTCTCTTTCCAAAAGAAGTTAGGCAAAGTTAAGAAGATGTAACTTAATTTTATGTCGGAATATCCCTTTAATGGAAGTCTTTTGAAGTGTCGTAATCAGACATCAGACACTTTTTTAAAGTCTATACTTAAAATAACGTACTTTAACCATGGTGGAATCAAGTACCGTTGGTCGTGTTTTTTGTCTGATCGATGTATTCCAACACAGGTGAGACTTGGTGTTCTTGAATCTGAAAAGAGGTGTGTGTATAAACCACTTTTAATATACTACTAATGCAAAAATTGAGCCAGTATACCAGCATGGCGCATAGCAGCAAAATGCCAATGTCATGCATCCCTGTTCTGCATTGATTTGATGCAGTCACATGAAGCTGAAACTGTCAGCTATCTCCAGGGTACTTGATGCTTCACGGTGAAAAAACTGCTTTGGATTCAGAGGAAACATGTTCATGAACAACATGCACAAACTCAGCATTTGTTAATAATTGTTCTTTAAATGAACTTTACAGATTATAGTGGGTGTTAGTGGTGGATTGGGTTATATTGTAAGATGCTCCTACTATTAAGCTCCCCTCATGGTTGTTGAGGCATTATAATGAGCACCTTTCAGTATAACATGATACTAAAGTATACTTGCGCGACAGGTGTAGACACTAAAAGTAAACATTGGTCCACATGGTCCAGTTAGCAGTCACAACATTACAGAGAAAAGTCTGAAAACACTGTCTAAAGTTCTGTCTTATGTAATCAAACAAATTCTGAGGAAACTGTGATAATAGCTGCAGTGTTGTGTGCATGTTTACATTTTACAGTCATGCATGCACAGGAGTCACTTCTCTGTGTTCATGTTCAGTGATAACCGACTTTGTAATAGATCAATTATGGAAAATGACAAACTAGTGACAACCAGACAGACAGATGTCTTCAGGTCATGAGACAGACATTACACGTCCTGTGATGTGACTAATATGCATGGCGCATTGAAGTTGGTATGGTTTGATGGCATATCCTCCAGCTTGATTTCACTCTTTATTTTAGTTAATTTGTAGTAGATTTTATTCATATTTTATTTTTAAAAAGTGCTGTCGCACATGAAAGTAGAATAGAAATAGACATAAAGACAAGAAGATTAAATTAAAACAGTTTTGAATAAAAGATGAAACTCAAACCTTTTAAAAGTTCATAAAATAAGTTAAAACCAGGGCAAGTTGAAGAAGTAAGGAGCACACAAAGAACTTAAGGGGCAAAATTGTTCAAATAATGTGTGACTTAATGTCTGACTTTACTACTTCTTTTTGAAATCAATTTTAGGTCAATTGGTCACATGACATGGAAGCTATTGCAGGAAAACAGCCTTTTCTGAGAACATTAACCGGTAATTTATTGACGGTCCCTTTTTCGATGCCGAGTAGATTTAACCGCGCTGCTGTTGTTATTCCCGGTTATGGAGAGTTAGAAGACATGGAAAAAATTTGTTGCTTCAGCTGATTTTTTTTTTTTGTGCGCACATGTACCCCTAAATAAGTTCTACAATTCGCACAGATCTATTTTTAGTAGCAAATGTGAGTGAAACGGTCGCACTGTCGAGCCCTGGGAACTCATAACCAGTAAAAGCACACTTATAAAAATGAGTTTTAATAGAGGAAGGAAATAAAACTCTTAATGCTGTTATCACATTTAAAGATCTGCACACATGAGTTATCGTTACCGCCTTTGTTTGTCATCTCCAGAGTTAATACTTGATTAAAGAAATTATAAATATTTTCATTATTGAAGGCCTGAAATGCTGCTCATATATTGCGTCTAAGCTGTAACTAGCTGGAGCTACTGCTGGAATATTATAATGCTCTACAAACCGGATGTAAACAAACACAGCTCAAGGTCCCTACACACCCGGAATGACGCAAATATATGCTGCGGAATTACGAAATATTCGGAGGCGAATTTTGACGCTTACTCAATACTCAATAAATCAACTTTATAGGACAGCTGCAGAAAAATCCATCCCTCAAACTGTCTGTCAAAAACATTTCAATTAAAAGTGTTTTACACAGTTGTGTTTGTTTTAAAGTATTTTAAAATGTAACTTAGACAAACCCGATTATTTTGAGAACTTTAAGAACGATCTTAGAAATAAGTACCTGAAAGGATGTTTAAGTTTGCGCTCTTTTAAAGTCCTAATTTCACACCCTAAGATTAGTGTGACGTCTGAATGACACTTAAGTAATAAGTGGAAACAATTAGATAATCTCATTCATACGTGCGTTTGTGTTTGTGTTGTGTGTGCACATACTTTACGACACCCCTGCGTGACTCAGTGCACCGCTCGGGCCTCCCCTGCCAAAAGACTCTGGACACACCCCTGCTCCTCGTCACCTTCACATGTGACGTTGTTTTGCTTTTTCTCTCCCTGCTGCGTAAACGAAACTCATCGTCATCTATCACCCAAATCCGGCTCGTACTTTGCCCCCGTGAGACCCTGACATGTACCCGAGCAGAGTGTCTCCGCACGGCCCTCGGCACGGCGTGACATGTGAGCTGCAGTCTTTCTTGGCTGTGTCAGCTGCTAAATACACCTGCATTGCGTCTGTAGTGTAAGTTTCAGTGTTTGACTACCGGGGTTGATCCGAGAGTGTGCAGCATAATGATGCATTTATACCGACTGACCCCTTAAAGCGATAAAAGTGATAAATAGGAGGAGGGGGAGCTGAAGTTCTGCTGTGACCCGTGGAAGAATGAGCTGCTGATGGTCCCAGACGTGTAGGCGTGGCATTTGGGTTTCTTGTGCACAAACGAACAACAACAATAATCCAGATAACATTGTTCCTGTCTTACTTCAGCTCATAGTCGTCTTTAGAGACTCAACATGAAAAACTGTGAACTTAAATGTTAAATCTTGTGCAGGAAAAGCACAAAAACATCTGAAGACAAGCAGGATAGAAGTCTGCAGACTTTGATATCGAACATCATGGTGGTTGGTAGCTCAGAACGGCCTCCTGTTGTTTCTTACAGCTAAAGCTTTGTTTTAAACTCCTGTGTTGACTCGACGCTGAGGCATATGCTGCAGGTTTATGTCGCCTGTGCTCTGGTGTGAATTTCCTCGACCAATATTGTGATTTTTAATGTTTGTCAGCTGAAAAACTTGGACAAATTCAGGCTTTGTTTTATCAACGAGACAATGACAAGACTGATATTAAAAGCGTTTTTGTAAATACATTACAAAACAAGCTGTTTCTTTAACAGATTCCTGCCTACCCCACCTTTAACACTTCAACTACAAACAGAGAACGTATCAGGACCAGAAACCACAACATGATGAGCGCAGATATCGCACTTTTAAATAGACTCTCGGTCAAAATGATCCGTTTCTCAGAGATGATACAGATTTCCCGTCTCTGGAGTAGCAGGCTGTATAAACTGGAGACAAACCAGGATGTCACACTCCCACAGGGACATGTAAGATGCCCGGTGACCATCCTCCAGCAGGCGGTAACCTACTGACTAAAAATACACTCCTCCTCACCCCTCCTGTTGCATTTTTTCGCCGGTGGAGGGGTTGAGCATCAGGCTCATTTTGTATCAACAGAGACATTCAGGTGATAAATCACCTCCTCTGAAGACCGGGGGTGGAAACAGGACGGTGTAGGAATCAGGATGAGGAGGGAGGAGGACCCGGCAGAGCTGGTGTTTTGGTTCAGGCCTCGTCTAGACGCTGTGATTGACTCACTGCACCAGCAGAGGAAATGACATACACTGTGACCAGGGTCAGCCTTTTATGGCATGTGTGGAGTCAGACGGCATTTCAAACATTGAAGGGAGTCTTGTGATCGCTCTCTGCCCTGTGGACCATAAAAATACCAAAACATGTTTGATTACAGAGCAGTTTGTGTCTTTAACGTTCTGTCCGGCGTGGTGGGCTTGGAGTACAGTGTGACGTCCCTGAACTGGTCGTGTTTGGAGATTCATATCAGTTCAGATGGCTTATCAAACACCTATTACCCACATGGCAGCAGCAGAGAAAAAAAAATGTTTTTTTTACATTATACTTTTGTAAAATGACGTTATTTTGAAAAAGCGTCATGCATACGTCTGTGGCAGGTTTGACAAAGGATGTTTGTGAGGCGTGTGATGATATTAAAATCACATGATTAAATGATGCGTCCATGTATTGCAAAAAAAAGACGAACTGTAGACCTGAAAAAAACAAAAACAAAGCCATGTGATCTCTTCATCTCTCTCAGTGTTATGAGGAAGTGAAGCTGCAAGTGCTTCCTGTAAAGTCTTTGGGCCTGGCTGGTATCACAGGTGTAGCTTCTGTTGTATAAACTCGGCTTGATCTTGACATGTTTGGGTGCCATGGAGATGTTTTTGAAGGCGACGGCTCTGTGACAGAGTCTGTAATGTTTGTCTTTCTGCAGCCAAACCACCTTCATGTAAGTGAAGATGATCCATGTATAGCTTTAATCGAGTCGTGCAGATCCTGAAGATGTTGGTGTTATAGCTTACCTCAATGTCTAGGTTTGGTTCTAGGGCTGGGCGATAAACTAAAAATTTAAAGATACCGAAATTTACAACAATAACCAACGTCATTTTGCCCATGTCAATATATATTTGGTTATCAAAATAATTGAATAAATCAAAGTTGTTTTTGGATGTGTGTAGGTAGGCTGTGGTCTCATGTCCGATGAACCGTCCTCCATCTCCTCACCTGTCTTTCCCTCTTTATTACGGACTGGATGGGGTGGAGTCACGTCTCTGACGTAGGACAGCGTCTTAAAGGGACATGAGACCATAGCCTACCTACACACATCCAAAACCAACTTTTATTTATTTATTTATTTGACACTGAATATACCAAAACGGGAAAATGAGGTTGGTTATTGTTGTTGCAAATTACGGTAAATTTTCTGTTTATCGCCCAGCCCTAAAGTGTTCTCAAGTGAGTGTTTTAGATCTGATTCAGTGGAATTTAGGATGGAAAGAGGGTGTTGTCATTCAAGGATACGTCAAACACTCAGCACATGCGAAAAGAGACGATTCATTGTCGCCTGATTAAAACTGGACTTTTAAAATGACGACGTAAATTTCGGTATTGGTAAATTTTCAGTTTATCGCCCTGCCCTACGTCTAGCTATCAAATCCAGTAGTGCCGATCCTGGGGATGTTGTTGTCATGGCTACCCTCGCCTTCTCGGTTCAGTCCGACTCACTGAATATATGTTTTGACTCTCAAGAACCTTTTATGGTCGTGTCAGATTAGTCGCAGGTTTCTTCTTATTAAATCAGAAATGAAAGTAAGAGCGTGAAACGAAAGCTTCATGAGGATAATCCCAGCATTATGTGCCGCACCTTGAGTCAAACATGTTACACACACACACACCTCTGAGGCGTTAGTGTTGACTCTGTTTAGTCAGGACGGCGTTACTTCTTGTCTCCCAAACAAAACAGATTGAAGGATTTGGATCAGAGCGGCTGGTGTGGGTCCAAGTTTAGCTCCACGGTTAAAGGCAAGGGTTTTCTGAAGAAAGGGAAACCTGAGCAGCTCTGATCAGAGCGTCCCTCACACGTATTTGTTTAAGGTGTCTCTGCAGCCCACGGGTCACAGGAGTTCAATGTAGTTTTCTGCAGACAGAGAAAGTCCGTCACACAACAGCTGTTTTGATAGCTGTGTGTGTTAGCGGAGGGCTGATGTGTTGAGCCCCGTTCATGGCGGTGGTACGACACACGCGTTACACACTCCTTGTATAGGAACGAGTATGTGGATCAAAGGTCACCAGCTTTACAGCCATGCCATTCTTTTTCTGCTTTGTATGCAAACACAGCCAGGACCCGTGTCGCAGACAGGCACACGATTGTTGGGCCAGATTATCACCGCTTCACAAACGGCTCCAGCGGGACAGAAAAAAAAGGTGTTTCCAGAGATGTTTGAACCCGTGGGGTGCTCCTCCCTGTTTATCTCACTGAATGTGTAACGCAGAGGTCGGGTTCAGAGCTGGTGTGACTGTCACCGCTGAAGCTGCTACTACGGAGGTGAAAGTGATGTTAACAGAGCGGTCCACGTCAGAGCTCCGGAGTTTGTCTGGTGTGAAAATTAAAGAGCAGAAATTACAGTGTAAGAGTTTACAGATCACAGACTTCGGTTCAACAGCATTCAGCAGAAACCTTGAAAAAGCTGATTCATCAACAGTGACGGTGCATTTTTAGGGACTTTTACTAGATTGTGTTAACACAGAGTATAAAGAAATTTACACCTTAGAGAGTTAAAACGGCTCAGCTTCGAGTCATCACCGCTGTGTTTACCACAGGTCATATGACATGACACACTCAGAAATCATCTTCTTAGAAAGTTCACTAAATGCTTAAAAAAACATGACAAAAAACACAAAAATATTTACTGAAATGCTGAAAATTTACAAAAATTTGAATTATTTTTTGACCACAAAAATTTTTCCTTTCAACAAAAATATGTTTGATGCAAAAACCTCTCACAAAATAAACAAAATGTTATTGGATTTAAAAGTTTGCATTTCAAAAAGTAGTAATTTTTTTGATCAAAAAAAAAACATTTTGTGAAACTTTTTAAGGTTCAGTGAAATATTTTTGTCTCTTAATGACTTCTCTTTCATTTGGTTATTTTGCATTTGTAAAATATTTTTGCAATTTTTTGAATTTTTCAGAATTTTTTATTTGATCCTCCTTTTTTTCCCCCCCAAAATATCTTGATTTATGTGAAATCGCTTACTTGACATATTGAAGAGCTGTTAGATGAATCTGGTGAGGGGGCCATTACTACTGTAGGAGCTCAGCTGCTGATGGAGGGACCTGAACCCCACGATCATGATCAAAGTTATCATATCAGATGTTATAAACAGCAACAGTTTGATTACTAATTTATAAATGGATGGATATTTGCGATATGGTGCATTTTTCTCTCATCAGTCAGCAGCTTCGTTTAATCCTCGCAGACAGGTTACATCAGTAAATACGCCTTTTTACATCAATATTTATCAAGCGTTGATGATTCATTCATTTATTTTCCCTGATGATTACACGCTGCTTCATGATTTGCATCCTGGAAGAGGAACTTTATTCATTAGATGGTTTTCAGTAATGAACTCGTGATGAGCGACAGGTCACTGAGTAAAGAGCAGAATCATGACACTCTTCTGAAGAACATCTCAGTCCTCCTCTGTGCTGTCGTTGAATCTCTCAAGTGTTCACTCTTCATGAAGTTACGCATAATCGTCACATTAGCATGAAAACGTTCTCCTCGTCCGCTCTGTGGTCTTCTAAAGTTCACCGCTCTCTCACAGGATCCTCTGGAGTCACTATCGGACACTGCCCTCTCGCCTTTTTTCCACCGCACACGTGTCACAACTGATATTACGCCGCAGATCTGTGATCCACATCTCATTGGTGAAACTGACTTTGTTTGTCCCCTCTGCCCCCCTGTAGCTTACTTGGTGACACAGAGACTTCTCCCTGAGGAGCCAAGAAGCAGACGGCTCATGACTTCTGACCAGGACACGAAAGTTGTAGCTGAACCACAGGTGCAGCAAGTCCAAGAGGCAAAAGAGAACTCTCATTTGGTGAGTGAAGCCGAGCACAGACACAGACACAGACACAGACATCAGCTTTTCTGTTTTTTTTGGATACAGCAGAGACCTTTTCCTGACAGTATGAAAAATCCTGGAACTCCTCTGACGCATGTTTTGCTCTTTTAGTCGTAGAAGTTGTTTTTTTTTCCGGAGCAGATTTGAGTTTAAACAATTCGCAGATTCGTCAATAAACACGTTTGGTTCAGCTGTAGGTTTCAGGACATGACTGATGATTAATATTTAGTATCAGGAGCAGTTTTGAGCTGCTTTATCTCACAGAAGGAGAATTTCAAGGCAGCTAATATGTGTTGAGGGTTCATGCTACTGTTTGTGTTAGGCATGTCAGTGTGTCTCCAACCACACAATCACCGAAGTCCAGAATAGGGCTGGGCGATAAACCGAAAATTTACAGATACCGAAATTTATGACAATAACCAACATCATTTTGCCCATGTCGGTAAATTCCATGTCAAAATAAATAAATACTGTATTTTTCGCTCTATAATGCGCACTTAAAATCCTTTAATTTTCTCAAAAATCCTCAGTGCGCCTTATGTATGAATTCTGGTTGTGCTTACTGACATATCAAAATTAAGATTCAAAAAGTTCCTGCTTTTTATGTCTCTGCTGTCAATCACTTCACTAAGTGTCTTAGGGCTGGGCAATATGGCCTCAAATCAACATCAGGATATATTGATCAGTTCACCTCGATAACGATGAATGGACGATAACTACTCCACAAGCTGCTCCACATTAACTTTGTCTGCTTCAGCCGCTACAACTTTTGAACCGTCCTCCATCTCCTCACCTGTCTTTCCCTCTTTGTTACGGACTGGATGGGGTGGAGTCACCATATCCTATCTACACACATCCAAAACCAACTTTGATTTAGTTCTGTTTTTTGACACCAAATATATTGATATGGGCAAAATGACGTCAGTTATTGTCATGAATTTCAGTATCAGTAAATTTTGGGTTTATCGCCCAGTCCTAAAGTGTTATTCAGTGAGTGTTTTAGATCTGATTCAGTGTCTTTAAGGATGGAAAGAGGGTGTTTTCATTCAAGGGTACATTAAAGACTCAGCACACGCAGAAAGAGACGATTCATTTTAGTCTGATTAAAACTGAACTTTTAAAAACACTTGAACACGTTAATCTGACTGAAATAATTCAGACTTTTTCTTGTCTGACTAACATCCCTGGATAATGTGGTTGGAGATGGATTTCTTCTGTCATGTTTCATACTCCTTAATCGGACTGAAACTGTCTGATGTAGGCTGTGAAGAAGAGATTGAAGACAGATTGAGATCCAATGTCAAGTTTTTGTTTAGTTTGTGTTTACAACAAGTTTTAAAAATGTTGAAAGTGTAAAAATGAAGCTGTAGCTGCTGAGGACTGTCGTCAGTTATCAGAAATCTCCATTTACTAGTGATAGATTGAGTTGCTGATGAGTTTAAGCCCCCGCTCCCTCACCTTTACAAAAATCAGGGCGAACATTTTGATGCAGCGCTCTCTCAACTCAACTCAACTTTATTTGTAAATCACTTTAAAACAACCACACCTGAACAAAGTGGTACATAAAAAGACAAAACAACGCAGACGTAAAAAAAACAATCAAAAAACAATCAAAGAGCAATTAAAACAACGGATAAACTAAAAGCAGAATTGAAAAGTAAAATAAAGTTTCAGTGTTTTTAAAAACATAGAACCAAATAACTAAAAACAAACCATAAAAAAACAAAACAAAACAGGAGCCGAGTCTCATGCTGAGAGGGTTAAAAGCCAATGAATAAAGATGGATCTAAAAATTTCAGGAAGTTTTTGAGGAGGCTCAAATTTCAGCCTGTTTTTACCTGGTGTTGATTTCATGATAGAGAAGAGCTTTGTGAAGAAACACGAGTCTGGTAACTTTATCATCCATGACCTCTTTTTATTTCCCTCCCTTCACCAGCCGGATCTGTTCATATCAATCACTGCTGTACATCTGAGCTTTCACTGATTTTGTCTTTCCTCGACATGGAAAAGTTTATGAAATGATGTTGTTGTTACATCAACCTTTAGATTAAAAAAACTCATCAGGCCAAATCAGGACAAACCAGGCCACACTATGTGACGCCATCTGTCACCTGTGTGTTTGTTTACATCTGAGGAGTCGAGGATTACAGCATCATTGTCGACAGCATGTTTAAAACATCACATTTCTCTTCGTCTGGGCTTTAAAGTCATTCACAGTCGACTCATTTTGTCCCAGACTAGATTCAGGAAGTATCCGAGTCGAGTTGGCATCAGTAAACCTGTGCAGGTAAAGTTAGTTTTTGGTCAAAGTTGTCAGGTTTCAGAACAGCTGCTGCTGCTTCATGCAAAGTTCAAACACATCACGCCGTTCCTCCTGCTGTCCAGAGCCAGACGTAGAATTACCTCCGAACAGAGCAGAGCCCCGGCACTTTGTCGACACCTTTTATTAGCGTGTTCCCCTCTTAATTCGAGGTTGTGTGCTCACTTAATCACGGGTTGTGTCTGTGAAACTGCGAGCAGAGTGTACCGTACGTTTACGCTTTATTAAGGTCGATAGTGAAACGGTGTCAGCTGTGAGACTCATGAGTGATAACACGATAAATAAGCCAATCTGAAGGGTCACATGATGGACCAGGACTTCCCCAGGCTGTCACTGAGCTCATTTTTGCTCGCTTTCTTTAAAACGGAGAAGGCTAACCGGCGCGGGAGCTCATAACTCAGTCGTCTTTAGGAAATAATAACCGCTCAGGACTCCTTAGGTGTACTTATGTCGTTTAAATCAACCTCCCACCTTCACCACAGGTGCAGTTTCAGTCTGTGGAAAGCCCTGAACACATTGAGGACACTCTGCCAAACTAAACAACCACTCACTGCCTCCGTCCACACCTGGCTCATTAGTTTTTTCGAACCTTGAAACATTTCCAGCTGTCAGCGACGAACTCTTCAAAGGACTCGGTGCAGGATGGAGAGCCTGGAACGTGTTTGAGTTTTTAGAGGTGATTGGTTGTCCTTGCAGGTGGCCCTGTAAAGCTTTTGGTTTGGATTGGATGTCAGTTCGGCTGTCCCGGTTCCAGATGAGGATGTGTCGATGTGTCTCCATGTTTCTCTGACGAGTTTTAACCACCTTCATGTAGGAAAGAAGTAAACAGACGGCCTTCAGGCAAAGAAAATGTCCTGTTTCCTTACTGATCCAAAATTAGGAAGTGGAAAGAGCCCGCTGTCTTTTTTCCACTGTCATTTCCACACGATCCAGATCGGAGGGAAGATTGGCAGCTTGACTGAAGGAACGATGACGCCGCCCCCCTCCTCCTTCTTTGCTCGGGTCCAGTGGGCTCACGCTCCAGGCTGTAGGTCTCTGGGATCAGCGCTGTGAAAAGACGAGAAAAAATAATAACACTGCTTTTAACACACTTTTGAGGATGAAGAAGTTAGAGAGCAAAATAAGCAAAATTACATTTTTTTGTTTTGGAAAAGTCATAAAATAGATGTAGCTCATTTTTCTCCGATGAGAACATGAGCCACGGTTGAATCATCCTAAACTCGAGTGTTTAATTTCAGCAAAGACATAATCAGGAAAGGAGGGATCGTTTTTCTTAGATCATCTACAAACAGACGGTTGTAATGTTCAAAGATATCACTGCCAGAAATGCACGAAGCTGCGTGACGATCGAGCGTTGGTGGTATCAAACATGAGTTTAGCAAAAATCTGTATTTTGCTCAAGTTGTTTGTGATCCATCTTAATATAAAAAAAACAGGGTTTGGATCCTGCCGGTCTTCAGGTTGGCCAGCTGCCGGAGTACGCCTTCGTTGTTGCGCCATCTCCTATTTCATTAATTCATAATTAATAACCAAGCAGAATAAAACACCCAGAGCCAGATTATTGTAAATATTTAACAGATTATGTTTCAAAAATTGATTAAACTGTATGATCATTAGCCGACGTTGAATCATTCATGACCTGAGTGTTGATTCTTTAGTTTGTAGAATAAACAGGATCCAGAAAAGAAGAATTCTTTTTATTTTATTAGTGAAATCTTAAAAAAATATGTAAACGGAAGGTGATAGTGCTCACAAAAATAAAGTTACTTGGAAATGAAGCATCAAGATTATACAAAAAGTAAATATAGACTTAACCTTTTTGATTAAGCGTGATAAAAAGATACTAAAATATTTAATTTTTTTAAAGTCAGAACTTTATGTGAGTTAAAATCTTTTTCTTTTTTTGGTTTGGTGGTAAATTTTTTTGTTAAATAGCCTTTAAATTTGATGTTAATTTGCTGGTTTGAACCTTTTCCACATTTTTCTAATATAACTTATTGTTTATTTATTCATTTCTATAATTTTACATCCAAAATACTCTTATTTGTTTAAACATTAATCACTTTGAGACAAAGTACCATATCGTCAAATAATGGCCCAAGTAATTTTTTGATGAAAATGAGTTTTTGGCCCAAATCATCTCTTGATAATGCTGACCATCTCGGGTAAAATTGCCTAAATCCTTAGTTGAAAGGATCATGCCATGGTATAAATAACATTTACTGACTTACTTAAATATGACATAATCGAAATCATCTTTAAAATCTGATCCTGCTTTAATATCCTCAAACCAAACTGGGGCAGTAGTAACCCAAGCCATGTGGCAACTACCAAAGCTCATCCCTTATTCACAAACACACTCTAACACACTAACACACACACAGAGCGATACACCATATGCTTTGCACATATGTGTCAGAGAAAGACCAGAAATTGAACATGACCTATTTATAGCCCTGTGTGTTAAATCAAATCTGTTACGTCCATAAGCTGGAAAAGGAAGCAGAACCCCGACTGTTTCGAAACGGCCGAGCTTCATTTAGAGAGAAGCTGCTCACTGATACGGAGGTTAATCAGATTAAGGGAGCAGAAAATGAACAAAAAGAGGTTTTCAGGTGGAGGTCACGCTTTAAAAAAAATCTGTCTTCTCTCTCAGGTTAAAAAACCGACTGTTTGAAACCCAGTATGTACTCATTGTTGCACCAATCTTGTAATGCAGCGCAATCAGGGCTTGATGCACATTTTATATTACAGCTGGGCGATATGTCCTCAAATCAATATCACGATATATTGATCAGTTCACCTCGATAACGATACATGGACGATAACTACTCCACAAGATGCTCACCCCCTCCCACATTAACTTCGTCTACTTCAGCCGCTCCAACTTTTGAACCGTCCTCCATCTCCTCACCTGTCTTTCCCTCTTTGTTACGGACTGGGGTGGAGTCACGTTTCTGACGTAGGACAGCATCTTAAAGGGACATGAGACCATAGCCTACCTACACACATCCAAACCAACTTTTATTTATTTATTTTTTTGACACTAAAATGACGTCGTTTATTGTCGTAAATTTCGGTATTGGCAGATTTTCGTTTTATCGCCCTGCCCTTTTTTATATTTCATAATAAATATCCATGCATAACACCCAGGACCTTATAACTGATAGTGTTGGACTGCTCTGTCCACAGGGGGCGCCAAAATTCGCCACAAACCAAAAAATCCTCACAGGAGCTTTAAAGCAAATCTTCAAATCTTCATGTTTTTCTGTGGTGTTAGAAATCACTCACACTTTCAACCCAATCTGCTTTATTTATATCGCACATTTGAAAAACATTCAAATTTTCCAAAGTGCTGCGCAGTAAAATTTAAAAGAAACAAACACTGCAGGAAACATCACGAAGAGATGAATAAAAGCAGGTTAAAAAAAACACTTAAAATGAAATAAAATAAATGAAATAAAAACACAAAAGCATAAAAGAAATAAAAGTGATAAAAGGACCATAAAATACCTAAAAGTACAGAGATCACAAAAGTTTCATGCTGAGCTAAAAGCCAAGGAATAAAAATGAGTTTTAAGACGTGATTTGAAAGTAGAAAGAGTGTTTTAATCTCGAGTGGCAAAAGCTCAGTCCCCATGGGTTTTTAAACGTGTTTTGGAGACAATGAGCTGATCAGCAGACCTTAAGAAAAAACTTTGATGCTTTCTCGCAGTGACTGGATAGCTGATACATCGTCACCTGATCACATTTTATTGACGTCAATAATAGAAGTAGTCTGTGGTGATGTACAGTATGTGTGATGCTGCAGACTCCTCCTCCTCCTCCTCCTCCTCAGCAGCTGTCAAAGAGTGAAGATGAGCTCCAGGTCTGCAGACTGACAAGCCCAAATTCAGCTGTTTCCTGTTTCCCCCTCCCTGAAGGACTCGGGCGCGACTCTGCTGCCTCTGTGTTTCTGTCTGCCCCCTGCAAGCTCGCCTCCATCAGAGAGGCAGACCAATAAAGTCAGCGTTACGCCGGCTGGCCTCCGATGACACCGACAATAACTCGTCTCTGTCCGCACTTCGTGATGAATCACATCCTCTTGTCTCCTCCCAAAAATACACCCTCAATCAGGGAGGCAGCTAACCTTTTCCTCCTCTGAGAAGGGAAGGAACATTTTAAAATTTGGAAAGGTCAGGCGGTCCCCAGAACGTACACATCCGGTGATGTCAGCAACAGTTTCTATGGCAGCCGGGTCGGCCAGGAGTGGGAGTTTTGCATTAGTGCAGGGCGGCTTTATTAGCAGAGGCCAGGGTGTGTGTGTGTCTGTCTGGATGGAGGCATCCTGAGTGAACTCTTGAGTGCAGCGTTTGTGAAATACGACCCGGGAACAATGTCTCCTCCTGCTCGTCTTGTACAAAGTCAGGCTTATCTCTCTCTCTTTTCTCGCTCCCTCTTTTTATCTGCCTTCATTTGTTTCCCGACTAATTCTATATTTAACTCGAGCGAGAAGCAGGTTTCCTTTAGTTTGTCTCCGCGACACGACTCCTCTGCAAAATAATCTATTAAAACGAAGCTCAAGAGATCCGATTTAATCTGAGCGACGCCTCAGGGTCGACGGAGCACGTGGATCGGTGCAGCGGGCTTCATCCGAGCTCAGGTGTTCAACTCCTAACACACCCTCTCCACATCCAGCGTGATGCCAGAGAATGACTCAGTGCAACAGCGACAACACAAAAGCAGACACGGCTGCTCAAACAGGAGCGAGACAGCCAGTCAGCTCCTGCTACGTCAGCCGAGCCCACCGGGGAAGCAGAGCCTCAGTGCTGTCATCAGATTTGTTGAATCAAGCCAGCAGCTCGGATCGGAGGGGCCAGACGGAGCGTGGCAGCGGGGCTCGATTTGATGAAGACGACTCAGGGAGGTGCGGAGATGGTGCACGACCGCGAGTTAAAGAGCTGGGTTATGGTTTAAAGCATAAAATGCCGTTTTGGAGTCCTCCTCTTCCTGCCCTTGGAGATACTTCGACTCTGTTGATGTGTTTTGAATCATGGATTGGATGCAGTGGAGTCTTATTCCTCCAACCACAGGGAGCGCTTGGCCTGCTATTCCCCAGGACCTCAATGAAACTCTGGCCTTGACCACGGCTCTGGGTTACAGTCTGTTAGCCTGTGAGACATGCGTGCTGAACTGCTGCTTTGATCCCGTGAGTATGACCAGCAGGCGGCCGGCCTTCACGGGTCTGGTCTCTGTCCGTCTCTGCTGTCTGATGAGTTAGTCTGAGGGGTCTGGATGGCATTCGAGGGACACGATCGGTGAACGCCTGTTAGAAGATTTTTCAAGACTTTGTTACGTCTTAGTCGGCATGTGAACAGTTAAAGGGATATTCCGGCGTAAAATTAATTTCACCGTAACACCGAGTTAGACACCCCCCCTCCAGAGATGAATGTTGCCGACCGCTTGCTTCTCCAGTTATACCAACTTTAGTAACGACCGCACGATAGCAAAACACAGCGGTCTGAGGAGTCATAAACAAACCTCGACCAAAACGCCACTTTATAGCCACAAATAATGCTCAGAACAGCACCTAACTTCATCAACAGGACATATAGGGTCACAGCCATCAAACATCTTTTTAGCTTTGCCCAAATTCTGTAGCAAAGTGACTAAACACGACTCACCTACTCTCTTCCAGCAGCCGCTTGTTTGTAGCGAGACCTCAGGCCAGTCCATTACAGCGGGGTGACGCAGCTCAAGGAAGAACATTTATGATCATATTTTTTATCATTTCGCTGAAGTGGGGATCAATTTACTCCTTCATGTTTATGGCTCAATTAGACTGAAACCAGTTTTTGGAAAGGTGAATTCCACAAAAGTGACGTTAAGCAACTTCGGCAGATGAAGAAAGGATGTTAAAAAAGACGTAACTTTCTAGGGGTGGGAGAAAAATCGATACAGCATCTTATCACGATATTTTGTCTGGTCATATACCGTATTGTCACATTTACCAAGTATCAATTCTTTCATATTGGCATAAGTAGCACTTGTGCAGTCAAATAAAATGGTATTTGTAGTTTGAAACAAAGTTTTGACTCAGTTTGTCCTCGGATCAGTATCCTCATTTACAGCAACTTGTGTTTTTTAATGATTAACAATGTCAAATAACATGAAATATTATTACTATATTTTGATATGTCTTGTATCATGAGGTCCTTGCAAATATACAGCGGAATTGTATCGTTTCGAATCATGGCAAATGTATTGTAATACTTATCGTATCGTGAGGTCCTTGCCAATACCCACCACTATAACTTTCCCATCGTACAAACAAACAGTTCAGGCTAGCTAAAGGGACTGTTTTCATCGTTCGGTGTATATCCTATTAGCATAGTGCTAACTGGTTTTGTCGATTGTTGTAGTACTTAATAAGCCAACCAAGAGATGACCCAATCGTAATTTGTTAAACGGGGACATGTCGCCACCTGCTGGAGTGGAGGCCAAAACAGTTTTGTCAATAATAGTTGCTTGACAATCGCGCATTGGTGGTGTAATAGATGAGTTTAGCTAAAATAAGTATTTTGCTCAAGTTGTTTGTGATCCATCTTAAAACAGGGTCTGGATCCTTCATGTTTTCAGGTTAGCTGGCTGGCTGCGGACAAACCCAGTTCGTCTTCGTTGTTGCGCCAGCTCCTGAAACTTGGTTTACATTTCTTTATTGGTTAGATATTTCATAATAGATTCTCTCTTAAGCTCAGGGATTCAGTTTGATGATTATTAAGCGATGTTGAAACCAACTCTGTTGCTCTGTCTGCTGACTTTAAAAAAAATAAACTTGATATGTCCTGAGATCGTCTGATTTCCTGTTTCCTGTTGCGTTAAGGTGCCGTAGGATAAATGGGAAGGGGGACCTCAGGGGTTTGACATAGGATTTCCATGATTTATGGTCTCATTGTTTGTTTTTGGGGTGGTCTCCCTTGACTACCTTTCCATATTTCACATTAGTGTTCTATAAAAAACAAACATCCGAGGGTCTCATTTTCTTCTTTAGTCCTCACTGACCAAACTCTGTTCTGCTTCGTTCACAGGAATCCGCCAAGGTTTCAGACCTCAACCCCAATGCGAAAGCATGGGCCAACCACATGTTTAGCCTGGACCCCAGCGGGAGTGCTGACACCACAACTGCTGCCCTGCAGCCATGGAAGGAAGGCTGCGATAGTTTGGCCGACCCCGGCCCAGAAGGTGAGGTTCAAGAAGGTTGACGACTTAAAAAACAAACTTAGAGTCAATATATCCTTAAAATACATGTATGTATATATTCATGAGGGGTCAGAGCTGAACACAGCAGATCTATCAGACAGGAGGAAACGTTTTCTGACTTTTTTTAATAGACTGTCATAGTATCAAACAAATTACACCCTCTCAGACTGAGTGATATGTTAAAATATCATATAAAAGACAAATAATATATCAAATTACGCTCTGGACTCCCAGTATCAAACAGTTAAGTGCTTCATTAAAGTAAAAGTGTTTAAAAGTAGAATTGAGATGGTTTAGAAGCCTCATTTCTGAGTGTCAGTTTCAGGTGAACTGTGAGCATGCACACACTCTTCATATCCACAATAATCCACCTGTGACCATTTCTGTTTGCTTGTCGAAACATCACCCTCACACCTGTTATTCCACCCCGTCTTTGTCCGTTCACGCCACTCTTCACGTCACGCCGGAGACGCCTCTTCAATCATTCATACCCAATTTAGCGCGAGCTATGAATATTCCCACCGCCGCTCAGTCCGCACAAATGACAGTAATCACTCACTTTAATGTGCGCGGCCAAGTATAGCCGACGCAGAGGCAACAAGGATGTGGCGTCGAAACAGGAATCACTGATTAGTCCGTGTTTGATTCTGATTGACGTATCACCTCCTTCGTCTGTGAGGAGTTTGGCGGAAATGTAAATCTGAAATCCGGACGGTTGTTGTGGTGTTTTCAATCATTGTGGAGGGGGAAACCTTTTTTTATTTCAGGGTCCTCCTCATGAAGCACTTGTTGCTGCAACAAAACGACAAAATCTCTCTCGGCGTTTGGACCGACCTGTTGTGATGTAGGCGCTGCCCTTTTAAAAGCATCATCCTCTTAAGCCTTAAAAATCCAATATAGTCCAGACGCTTGTCATTTCTTGGCTCTTACGATTACTCGCACAGTCCGGCGTCGCTGTAATTCCTCCCTCTCTGAGCGGTCGTCATGTTGTGTGTCTGGTAAACAGGTTTTGAATTCACAGGCTTCATTAAACTCCTCCAGTTTGAGCGCCGTCTGCGCCGCTCTTTCAAAAGTGATTCTCATAATTGTAGGATTTTTTTTATAGGATACACCGAGAGAGAGAGAGAGAGAGAATGACAGGAGTTTTCCGTTGTTCCTGGAGAAAGGATGATTGTCGGTGGTTACAGAGCAGGAAAATTGCTGGTTCACTGCAAAAAAACTAGCGTGATGATCTGGAGCTGGCTGCTCTCCCCAGAGTTTACCTGTCAGTCAAACTCTGTGGGCCGCAGGTGTCGGGGTTGATTCACTTTCCAACTGTCTCAGCTCCCGTTATTCACTCGAGTCTTCTTCGTTATTATAAACCAGCAGAAATAAAACCGAGAACTTTGTTGTGTTGTTAGAAATAAAAGTGCTTTCATTAGCTGTAACCTCCAAGTTCGGGTTGACTGTAGGTCAGTTTTCTTCTTGATTATCGATGTAAATTTCAGATTTGCAAATAACAGTACGATTACTGAGGCTGCCACAAACGTTTAATCTGGTAATCCACACGTCTGCGATTAGTTATTTTTGCGAGTAATTGATTAATCGTGGCAGCCCTGATGATTACAGCACCACAGTCTTAACAGCCCACCCAGTTTTCTTAAACTTTAATTTCTGTTAATAATGAAAGTGAGTGAGGGACCCGATGAGTTGATACTATCAAGCTAGTATGAAGAGTTATGAACAGTTTCAATGTCTCTCACTTTTTATTCGGGCTGGGGCGATATGCTTTATTCCCAATTCGATTCTTCTATAATTTTTTGGATGCTGATTCAATTTAAATTGCGATTCTACGATATTGTCAATTTTCTCGATCTTTATTCTACATTTTGAACACCATTGAAACAGCTAAAAAGTCCGTTTTTAAGATTTATTTTTAGGTTTAAAAGAAAAAAAAATTTTGAACAGAAAAATCGATTTTAAAAATTGTAAAACAAAAAATCGTGATACTTCTGTGAATTAATTTTTTCTCCCGCCCCTACTTTTTAGCCTCGTTAGCTCGTTAGCGCATGCTTTCTCTCTCTGCTCGTGCTCAGTCTGTCCCTTGGCTCTTCAGACGCACTCAAACAGGTACACACACCTCCCTCCTCCTGCTCCTCTCCCTGCTCTCCTCTCTCCACCTGATAGCTTGTTAATGGGGGTTGTAACTTCCTGTTGCTCCCAAACTTTCTCTCATGTTGATCTGAGCTTCTGCTGATGATGAAGTGAAAGTGAGAGCTGTTTTGGGGGAGGGGCCACACCCACGCTCTGCAGAAGGAGGGTGCGCCTAATTCAACAAATAAGACGTAACAAGGGCAACACAGCAGTTGTTCAGTCTTAATTGTCGTATTTTTATGATGGTGGAGGGACAGTAATGGTAATCAGTCACTCAAAAAATGTGGACGGACACTGATTTATTCCTTTACATTGATACTAGTCTGAAAACAAGTCCTCTGATATGGGGCTGGGCGATCCACCGAAAGGTGATCAAATCTACCAGACGAGCTTTTTCCCACTGAGCGCGTGAAAATGTTTACTTATTTAGTAAAATTAAAAACAAACGAGGCGTTCCGTCTCCTGGTCGGCGTCTCTTTTCCTTCTAACAATAATCAAAGTTTCCAAACCTCTTCTACTTCATTAATGTGCCTCCCTTTGTTTAATGTCCCAGGCTATGAAGCCAGTGAAGACAAGGCTTACAAGGAGCCCCTACTAACCGACCCAGATGAGCCTCCGCCGGTCTCAGTAATGCTGGCCGAGCCGGCCCCTGTGGCCTCCGTCACCCTGGAGTGCCCTGAGCCGGCCTACACAGAATACTCCGAACCTGGGCAACCGGGGCGCACAGGTGGGCCGGGTGGGGGTTGGATGTTTGTCAGAGATTGTTCTCCAAAAGAAGATGTTTGTTTACTTAACTGACAGGTTTGTTTATTCGCGATATTTAGGAAACTAACACATTCGTGAGGAAAAGAAGTGAAAGGCAAAAGTCGTTTCTTTGTTTTTTCATCTCTTTGGTTATTTGAATAAAAAATCAAGACGGTGTTAAAAGTTCTACTCAGCCTCAAGTTCCAGGATTTATCTCTCAGAGCGATACAGCGACAGTTTAGAAGCTGTTCGTTGTTTCATGTTTTATTCACGAGCGCATTAAAGTTTTATGAACCGCACCAGACGGAGACGTTTGTCTTTTAACGTCCTTTACCTGAAGGGAATGTCAGAATGGCAAGAGTTAGTCCGACGGGAAAAGAGCAAAAGTTTGAGTCGTCATGTGATCGTGCTCTACCACCCGGATGAAAACAAACACAAACGTCTGGACTGGACTGATTGATTTTAACCTCTGCTAATGTTAGACTCGCCTCAGTGTTTGATTTCTGTTAAGTTACGAACATCCAGCCTGTTTTGCATGAGTCATTTTGCTCGTTTGTGTTTTTATTTAATGATAAAGTCCATGAAAAGTTTTTGCTCCATCATCATCATCATCATCCTGCTTTAAATCCACTCCATGTTTTCAGACCCACTTTATTCACTTTGATCGAGGACGAATCACGTTGAATCGTTTCTCTCTTGTGCGTCAGCAGGCAGCGACCCCCAGCAAGAGAATCCCCAGGAGGGTTTGAGGGAACACCTGAAGAAGACTTTGGAGTTCTGTCTCTCCAGGTGAGTTCACCTTGATGACATCACACATTAACCCTGTATGCAGACCTGACCACGCCCTCTTTAGGGTGAATGCAGGTCATCTGAATGAACCTGAGTCACGTCGTGGTAAATATTGTAGCCCCGCCCCCTCACACACCTCTCATTGGTGGTTCTGAATCTCCCAGGAACACACCTTTACCTGTTTGTGGTGTGTTTTACCTGAGACTCTCTAAAGGCGGAGTGTTTTCTTTGGATGCTGTGAATCAATCGGGACGTTAACTCTCAAACAAAATCCAACTAGATTCTGCAAACGCCAAATATTCTGTTTCGGACCGCCACAGCTGTGAGTCATGCTCCAGGTTAGTGATGCTCCCAGGTAGAGTTGGGCGGTATGACGGTATAAAAGTGTTTCCCGGTAGAAATTTTGAGAGAGACAGAGTAGATGTCTGCTGCATCTCTCTGAGTCAGTGTGTAGTCATCTGCACTCGCTAACAGAAAAGCCGGAGCGCATCCGTTTGGGTGCGTTTCCGTATATTCACTAGCGTGTCGTGCAGAGTTTGTTCGCTCCGTTTGATTGGTCAGGTTTGGGTGCGCTCCCTATAATCACCAGCGTGTCCAGCAGACTGCTTTGTATAGTTTCGACGAAGAAGAAACAGCTTCACCGGTGGTGGTCATGGCGGACGCGGAGATAAGTGGCAGTAACGAGCAAACGGAGGCAGCCCGACCCACCCAACATGAGGAAGACGAGGAGGAACTCATTCTGAAAAAGGGCACGAGTCACGACATCGGTTTTCTGGAGATTCTTCAGATTTAGAAAATCTGACAATGATCTAAAAACAAAACTGTGCGAAGAGTGTCGTGTGGCTGTCGTTGCTGGAGGAGGAAACACCAACAACCTCTTCCACCACCTCAAGATGAAACACACTAAACTCTATTAGGAGAGACAAAAGATGCGTGACGCACCTGCTGCACCAGAAACTAAAACTGCAGCAGCTTTAGAGCTTGACAGTCTTTCGCCAAAGGTATGCCATATGATAAAAAATCGCCAGACTGGTCTGACATTTTGTTTATTTGTAAACAAATCAAAGTTTAAAAATAAAAGGAAAATGAACATATTCGACAGTCTGGTTACTTTGAAGCCATTAATTGAATTTACAGGGTGAAAAAACATACCGTGATATAAGATTTTGTTTTTCCGCCCAACACTACCCTCCACTCAGCTCCTCTCATCGGTTATTTTGGGGATTTCATCAGGGGCAGTCTGACCCGGGATAGTAAATATTGGACATGTTTGGGGAGGCTCTGAATCGGTCAGGAGCAGCAGAAGAATCATGTTGACGTCAAACACAGAATCAGTCTGTCATACTGGGTCCTAAACCTGGTCTAAAGTGGTCCAGTATGAGGCCAGTTTGTTAAAGAAGTCTAAAAGATGGTGCCGAAATATAACAGCAGGGGGTTTGAAAAGCCCGGATGTCAGATCCGTCCTCTCCTTCTTCTCATTGCTCAGCAGCTGTTTCACACTCATTAATGGGTAAAAGCTCTTAAACGAGCCACAGGAAGATAAATGAGTCCTCCTAAGTGATCATTAAAGAAGACCAAGACCAGAGAGAAAGAGGCCGCTGTGGTGTCTGAGTGGAGTCCCCTCTCTGAAACGCTCTCCATCACCGTCGACATTAACAGATCATATCTCTGCGGCACAAAAACATCCTTTCTGTTTATTGATCAGTTATAGATTCATCAGCTCCACATTAAAGGAACATTATTCTGCCTCTCGTGTGAGTGTGAACAAAAGAAAACTACAGCGGTAAATCTCAGTCCTGATCGGTGTAATTGAAGTATTGATAATCCAGGGGTCAATATTGAACAAGTGTGACTCAGCTGTCTAATCAATGTGACACGAGCTTTTCTCCCTTTACAACAACATTACAGACACACAAACGCAGAACAACAAATCCTTAATGATACAACAGGAAGTCGGTCACAGCATCGAACAGCTGAGTCAGGCTTTTATTCTGAAAATCTCAGCTTGTTGTACCATTGTTGAACTATCTGTTTAAAACGAGAAGTAATTAAAGGAACAGTAAGAAATAGGGCTGGGCAGTAAGGCCTCAAATCAATATCACGATATATTGATCAGTTCACCTCGATAATGATAAATAGACGATAATTACTCCACAAGCTGCTCACCCCCTCCCACATTAACTTCCTCTACTTCAGCCGCTACAACTTTTGAACCGTCCTCCATCCGTGTATCATTCGTTCATTTGATTTTCAAAGTAAAACCTAAAATGAAAAAATGAGAAAACGAAATTGTGTTCTCTGAATGCTTTCCTAATATTCGTCTCTAAAACAAATAAATAAATAAATAAATAAATTTTAAAAATGGATAATGGCTCATTCTCAGTTTTTTGGTTTTCTATAAGTCAAATGAAAATGGGATAAATGGATAATAACAGTTTTATCTGATTTAGACTTTTTTGTTCGTCGAAAGTTTAGTAGAAACATAGAAACAGTATTCTGTTTTGAACTGAAAATACAAAAACAAACACTTGTTTTTGTAATTTTTTTGGTTATATAGAAAAACAAACAAACAAAATATTGACTCGTTTTTTGTTTTTCGTTTACTAGATTGAATTGACGGATAATACACGGACCGTCATGGCTGGAATTGTTCAGAGCAACGAAAAAGTCTAAATCAGATAAAACTCATTATCCGTTCATCCCATTTTTATTTGACTTGTAGAAAACCGAAAATGAGGCATTATCCTTTTTTTGTTTTTGTTTGTTTTTTTATTTTTGTTTAACGGACGAATATTTAGAAAACAATTTGATTTCTCGTTTTTTCATTTTTGGTTTTATTTTGAAACTCTAATGAATGCATGAAACATGAATTCTCCATCTCCTCATCTGTCTTTCCCTCTTTGTTACCAGCTGGATTGGTTGGAGTCATGTCTCTGACGTAGGACAGCGTCTCAAAGGGACGTCGGTTATTGTCGTAATTTTCGGTATTGGAAAATTTTCGGTTTATCGCCCAGCCCTTGGAAGAAAGCAAAGAAAAGGTCTTGTTTTTCGTGCTTTGAGTTAATAAAACGGGAAAACAAAGTGGTCACATGACCTTGTTTTTGGTTGAAGATTTTTTCAGTTTTCAGTTTAAAATGAAAAAGACAACCTAAAGACGAAGGACGGACCGCAGGGGCTTTGATATTGATTCAGCATCCTCAAACAAAGAGAGAGAGAGAGAGTGCAGTAATGGTCGTGCGACATTGAGACTGAGACGGTTTCTCTCCAAGAAGCTCATTAACAGAAATCAAACACCCTCCCGCTGGTTCATGAGGGTGCGGATGTGTTTGTCCAGAATAACCACCTCTGCCCTCCTCTTTGTCTCACAGGGAGAATCTGGCCAGTGACATGTACCTCATTTCCCAGATGGACAGCGACCAATATGTGCCAATAGTGACAGTGGCCAACCTGGACCACGTCAAGAAGCTCAGCACGGACGTGGAGCTGATTGTGGACATTTTACGATGTGAGTGTCGCCCTGAAACAGAGAATTTTTTATCAGTCTTTGCTTTGAGCCGATTTCCCCGGAGAGGTTGTTAAAATGCGTCCAGCAGAGTTTCACCTGTTAGCGGCTGATTTATTCACACAGGCTTTATAAGCTGCTCTTTTAAGATTCTGTACAGAGTTTGTGTTTTAATCACGCTCGTGTTCGGCTGCGTGTGTCTCTGAGATTAAACGCACGAAGGGCTCGGTCATCATCCATGTCTCTTCCTTCTCTCTGAACTTCCAGCTCTGCCGTTGGTTCAAGTGGACGAGAAAGGCGAGAAGGTGCGACCCAATCAGAACCGCTGCATCGTGATTCTCAGAGAGGTCCCCGAGAGCACGCCCATAGAGGTCAGTGGATGTGTCAATAAAACAGGTTTGAGGATGACTGCGTTGAGACCGGGACTTCTTTGTGATTTATTTCTGCGATGCTCTGAAAACAACGTCCCTGAAGTGTTAGTGTCATTGTGTTTTCACCCGAGCGTAAGACTCTATTCGGGTTGAGTGTGAGCGCAACGTTAAAGTAAGAAAGAACTTCTGGGTGTTACTTTTTACACAGCTTTGCAAAGTTGTGAAGTTAGACCTTCGCAGGAAACATCCGATGTCTGCCCCACGCCCCGTAAAGTCTAAGAATCTCAGAAACAAGAAAGTTTTTCAGATGTAGACATGATTCTTCTACTGTTGGTTTGGTTAACTTTGTGGTAACTTTTGTTTTTAAATGTGTCGTGATTAAACGAACTCGAGGCGTTGACGTTATTCCCTCTCTTCTTCTGTAGGAGGTGGAGGCTCTCTTCAAAGGGGACAACTTACCGAAGTTCATCAACTGTGAATTTGCCTACAACGACAACTGGTTCATCACCTTTGAATCAGAAGCAGATGCACAACAGGTAACGACACAACACACTAGGGCTGGGCGACATGTCCTCAAATCAATATCACGATATATTGATCAGTTAACCTTGATAACGATAAATGGACGATAACTACTCCACAAGCTGCTCACCCCCTCCTACATTAACGTCCTTTTTAACCCTCTCTCTCTCTCTCTCTCTCTCTCTCTTTCTTTCTTCAAACAGGCATATCAGTATCTCCGCGAGGAGGTGAAGACCTTCCAAGGGAAACCTATTAAGGTACGTTACATTAAATGACACCTATCTCAAGTTTTGGTTTAAAGAAAGTTGAAAAGTTTAGAATAAAATATCAGGACAAACCGTGGAGGTTTACAAGACGACAGAACGTCTGATCCGCACACTTTCTTTGGTTTTTGTTCTTATTAAAGTGGTTCCTAATATCTGACAACATTATAAATGATACTTGATATATTTAATTCAAATGCCACAAAAAGAGACTAAATGTTCAACTCAAAAATCCTCTTTAGGTTTTAGCTCTGCTGCCAATAAAAACAGGTTTTCAAGGATTTTAGTTCAGGTCAGTAAATCTCCAAATTAAAGTCAAAGAAGAGTTTCAGTCAGTACGTTTACAAGCTCAGTCAGGTCCAGTTAAGTTTAGAAAAAAAAGGCAATTTACTGTTTGACCTGATTTTTCAAAACAATCGACAAACAAGCTAGCATGAGACTGACGCTTTAGATGCCGAGCAGCTAAAAAACTTAAGATCTCTGACAGAAAAGTCTAAATTCTCTGGTTTTAGTTGGAAACTCTAAATCAAACTCGCTCCTGTGACCTTTCTTTTCTCCACCCCACTGAGCTCACATTATCCGCAGGTCACGATCATATCTTCAGTGATGATATGATTGTGTTCCAGTCGGTTTAAATGTTTGATTTTCTTTGGTGCAGACGGAGATATGCTCTCTCCTCAGTGTCACAGACAAACACACCGACAGTTTTCAGCGATCTCAGGTCTTCACTCGAGGTTCACTCGGAGGTGAAGTTACGTCACTCTTCAAAGTTGATTCACTGATGGATGAAAATCCTCAAACATCACAGAAAGAGCCCGACCCCGCACAGACGGACCTCTTTTTTCCACTTTATTCTTTTATTTTCTGCTTTTCTGTTTGACCTTGGAGCCACGCATTCACGAGTTTACCTCTCATTCCTTCTGCTTTACTAAGAGATTCATTCAGAGTGTTACATTTTAAGCATCTAAATAACTAAACAACACAAAGAAGCTGCAGCAAACAAATGAGCTGATTACGGGTTCATACTGTGTGTGTCGGGCAGAAAGTTTCAAACTCGTTTTTAACCAAGAGCAGCCTGATGATTCCTCTCTTCAGAACAGCCCGACTCCACCGACAAAAACAGTAATTTAACCTCAGAGGGGCGTCACTGTTGCTCTCTCGAGCGCTCGGTGTGTTTGTGTAACCAGGTGATAAAGGATCAGAGCTTAACCTGAGAGAAAAACCCAAAAGGTGTAAACAAACGTCAACTCCTCTGTGCTGGGAAGTCAACGACTGATTTGACCGATGGTGAAGACAGTCATGTAAGAGCTGCTTCTAGAAGATGATAAAAGTCCGTTCTCCTCATGAAATTGATCGTGGAGTTCCTCAGGGGTCAATTTTGGGACCAGTTTCATTATCTGTTTACATCCTGCCTCTTGGTCACGTCAGACGCAATATATCGTTTCATTGTTACGCTGATGACACTCGGCTTTATCTGTCATAGGAATTAATGGTCCCTGATAAACTAACCAATGAAATCAAACTAAACTGATGAGGTCACCATTTTTGCTGTGACCTGTCCATATTTTCAAACTCATTTCTGAACTACGGAAGAGGGGTGTGTCAAATACAGCGAGGTGATTGGATGGAGAGGCGGAGCAGGGGATATTTTTCCCGGCTATGTTTTTTTCTGTAGGATGGTTGGAGAAAGTCCTGCCTCCTTCGCCTCTGATTGGCTAGAAAATCTGGAAACGCCATGCGAGCTGTCGGCTTTGTACATTGAACAGAACATTATCTGAATATCGCAGTCCTAACCCTAACCCTAACCTGACCTGGCAGACGATGTTTCACAGTCATAAGGAATAACCAATCGGAGCTCAGCACTTATAGCCAATCAGAGGCGAAGGAGGGCAGGACCTTCCCCTACCATCCTTCAAAAAAAAATTCACGTCCGGGATGGATGGCTCCCATTGGTCAATGTTTTTGCAGCCCTGCACCTGCTTGGGTTTTTTCCGTTCTGTTTTCTCTTCACTTTGTGGAGATCGCACTATAGGACCATGATCGCCATAGAAACGAGGTTCATAATAATTACTCTCTCCAATCGTCAGCCATGACTTTAACGAACAGTTCTCTCTTATCGCAAAAGTGCGTGACCCAGCAGGTAATCGTGTCGACTAAACCTGACTTTAACTCGATGTGAAAACACGCAGAGAGGAGATTGAGATGGATTTTAATTCTCGCCTGTCAGTCGACGCCGCACTATCCATGATGTCTGAATCTTGTTCCCGCTGTCTCTACAGGCGAGGATAAAGGCGAAGGCAATCGCTATCAACACTTTCATGCCAAAGAACGGATACCGGCCGGTGGAGGTCAACCCGTACGCCCAGCAGCGCTACACGTCTTACTACATCCCGCCGGTTTACAGTCCTCAGCAGCAGTTCCCCTTATACAGCCTCATCACGCCGCAGGCCTGGTCCGCCACGCACAGCTTCATCGACCCCACACTGGTGAGGATCAGCAGGGAGACCTGACCTGGATGTGCATGTCTTACAGCTGCATGGTCATTATTTCGACTCTGACTTTGTTTTTGTTTCCCAGGTTGCACCATTTCACAACAACCAGTTCATTAATGGATTCACCACGTCACACAGCTTCAAACCAGCGTCGTCCCCCCTCACTGTCAGACACTACTCACCGAGGAGCAGGTTCGTATCGTTTAAAGAGGAAGAGGGTATCTGCTGGAACAACGCAGAGTAAAAAGACTCTCTCTCTCTCTCTTCAGGAATCACAGTAAACCTCACTTGAGGCCGACAGTCCCGACAGCGGACCGCAACGCCGGGCTCCTCGACAACCCCGGCCTCTTTCCCAGCTTCCCAAGCGAGAGGCTCAACGGGGTCCGCAGCAGTCCGCCGATGAGACTCCCCACCAGCCAGCCCAGAACCAGGTTACCCTCCACCGCAGCCTTCCCACGCAGAGACACGGTGGGCACGGGGCGAGTGACCGAGCCCACCTCCGCCGATTACTCCCTTGGAATCGGGCGAGGAAGGTACGACGAGGAAGAGTCGAATTTCTCCAAAACACGATTAGAAAACCGTGGTTTTGTCTTCGTCTGAATATAATAGTTAGCGTATTTTTTAAGGCGCATTTTTAGCTTGTCGGAGCACTGCGGCTACCGTAGCCTCGCAGCGTTATTGACTGTTTCGTTTGGCGTTTTTGTTTTGTGCGCCTTATAGTGCGAAAAATACGGTTTATGTGAAATTTCAAAGCCGACGAGAGAAGTTTTAATCGTCAGTTAACTCCACCTTTACAGAGTTGAGACAAAATCAGCGCTAACAAACGGGTTAACACTTTGTCCACAGGGGGCGCCAAAGTCAACACAGACATAAAGTTCCTCACTGGAGCTTTAACATCACAAAGGACTCTAATATTTAGATTTTGAACAACCAGGAACGTTTTTCCACATTTCCGATAATTGACCTTACTGAACCTGCTCCTTGAAAAAGCCGTTTTCTTCTCTGGTGTCGGGGTCCAGGTGCCGCTAAAGAAGGACGCAGACACTAAGAACAAAAGGCGAACAGATGGGAGTCAGGGTTGTAGAATGACTTAACACTTTGTCCACAGGGGGCGCCAAAGTCAACACAGACATAAAGTTCCTCACTGGAGCTTTAACATCACAAAGGACTCTAATATTTAGATTTTGAACAACCAGGACTTGGAACGTTTTTTCACTCTCTAACAACCTCTCGTACCTCTTGACGGGGTTCCACATTTCCGATTATTGACCTTACTGAACCTGCGCCTTGAAAAAGCCGTTTTCCTCTCTGATGTCGGGGTCCAGGTGCCGCTAAGGAAGGACTCGAACACTAAGAACAAAAGGCGAACAGATGGGAGTCAGGGTTGTAGAATGACTTAACACTTTGTCCACAGGGGGCGCCAAAGTCAACGTAGACATAAAGTTCCTCACTGGAGCTTTAACATCACAAAGGACTCTAATATTTAGATTTTGAACAACCAGGACTTGGAACGTTTTTTCACTCTCTAACAACCTCTCGTACCTCTTGACGGGGTTCCACATTTCCGATAGTTGACCTAACTGAACCTGCGCCTTGAAAAAGCCGTTTTCTTCTCTGGTGTCGGGTCCAGGTGCCGCTAACTCAGAGACCGAACAGATGGGAAAAATGAGGCTGAAGAGACCAAAACTTCTCAGTACCGTGAGGAAAACCGGGGCTGATATCCTGGATTTGGTCGATGATCTTTAACCGTCTTTTACTTCCCCTGATAATATTGAACCCTGACTGTCCAGCCTGGTTTGACTGTCTGTTTGAGATAAACTGGATGTTTGTAAATTGAAGTGTTCTCTTTCTTAAAGGAAAAATGTTTCTGCTTCTAGGAAAAAGAGGGACGAAAAGTTTACAGTAAGTACTCTTCCACTGGCCTCCTTTCGTTTTATCTCTGAATGACTCTGAATAAGGACAGTTTCGGAGAACTCTGACTCTCTGCTCTCGTTCGGTTTCCATCGCTGACTCTGTTTCTCTCGACGTCATGCAGAGAGTGACGCCTCAGTCGCCGCCTCCTCCTCCCAAACCCCCGTCTCCGAGCTTCGAGCTGGGTCTCTCCAGCTTCCCTCCCCTTCCCGGAGCGGCCGGCCAGCTCAAGACCGACGACGTGTTCGAAAACCGACTGGCCAGCAGCGTCGTCGTCGGAACCACAAAGGAACGGGTAAGACCGAAACCAGGACCCCTTAACAGGCAGACCGACAGCGACCTCTTTCCTCTGATTTCTCCTTTTTTTTTAATCGCAGAATGTAAGCGCCGATTCCAGCACAGGAGGCGCTCTTTCTCCAGCGGGCCCCAAAGAGCCGCATCGGTCCTCCACCTCCCCCATGCCCACAAGCTTCCAGCCCTCGCCGCCGGCCTCGACCCCAGCCTCCGCCGCGACCGTGACCTCCTCCGCCGGCCCGCCGCACAGTCCCGCTCCCTCCCTCCCATCAACGTAAGAGGGAAACACAGAGGAGCAGCTGCTTGAGTCGAAAAGAGAAAAAGTCTTGTTTCTGTTTGATGATTTCGATGTTTTCTGTTTCAGGGAGGCGAAGGTGACGGAGGCGAAACCGAAGGAGGTGCAGCTCTCTGTGGAGCGAGTCCCCGGCACGCTGTCTACTGCGAGCAAATCAGTGCAAGTTAACGGCGCCGCCACGGTCAGTATTACCTTCTTCTTCTTCTCTTCACTTCTGTCCTTTCACAACTCCTCAGAGCTTAACTCACCCCCGATTTTCACCACATCCTGAACGGCTTCGATTCGGAATTCCTACCGGATCCGTTGGCAAGGTAAAGATTCACGTGCAATTGTGTGATAACAAGTTGTCTCTGTAAAGACAGACACATAACCATAAAGCAGTAGATTGTGTCCTTCCATAGGAGGAAATCTACTTCTTGACCTCTAGAATCAGCATCTCCTCATCCATGGTTACATCGGGTGTTTTATTTTGAAAAGAAGCTGAAAGTTTTATTTTGTGTCTGTGTCCGACTTCCTTTCCAGCACGGACTAATCTGTGCTGAATTTATCCGGCATGATTCAGCGTCTGGAAAAAATAGAACTCTTGCAATCAGCTGCGCAGTCCGGCGATCCGCAGCGGGACGGAAAGAAGCCGGTGGAAATTGACATGTTAACTTGAATGGTTACGATCAGCTACGATCGGCGGGTACGGCCTTTTCGTAGCCGTTCCGGATGCGTTGGAAATTGGGCGTCAGAGTCGTATAAAACAGCAAATATCTCGTCTCATTACTCTGCAGCACTTGCATGAGCAGCTAAAAGACGACAGACTGACGATAAAGGCGAGGGTGAGGGGAGGAACGGCGAGCAGGTGTCGTGCAGAATATTTAATGACTCCGTTGTTGATTTTGTTGTCCTGCCAGGAGCTGAGGAAGCCCTCCTACGCTGAGATCTGCCAGCGGGTGAAGGACGCCCCGACATTACAGCAGCCACCCACCCCGAAGGAAGCCAAGCCAGCCTGCTCCGCCCCTGCAGGCGAGGAGCGGAAGTGCCCCGATGCCTCCACCCCTGCAGGGGATTCAAAGGCCAGAGAGACTTACCCCCTTTCCTCTAAATCCGGCTCGGCGGCCGTCATCCCGGGGAGACCTCCGAGGGAGGCCCGAAGGCCGGCCGGGCGGTGGGCCTCGCCGCCCCCACATCCAGGGAAAACCCCCAGCAAAGATCCCCATCACACCCCGCCCAAATCTCCACAGTAGGGCGACCCTTCCCTCCTGTAACCACGCTCCGCAGATGCGATTAAAAAAAAAAGGAAATCTAAGTCAGGGCTACTCAATACTTCGACCCCAGAATCAGCAGTCACAAACTAGCATTGAGGACGCCTTCTCTTCTGGATCAGGGCTTGCAGACAAAAAGCACTTTACTGTGCATGTAGAGCACCGTTTCATTCTTTTACTCTTATTTATTTGCTTTTTTTATTTTCACTTTTATTTCTCTTTTTTTTTGCATTACGTAGTCGTGTCAGCCCGACGGTCGGCACAGAAAACACTGAAATTTATTCATCCATTCTGTCTAAATGGCCTTGTGGGATTAAATTAGTCTTGTGTGCACAGAAGCAGCAGCAGCAGCAGCAGCAGCAGCAGGGCATTGTTGGAAGGCCCTCCCCCCCAGTGGATGATGGGAAAGAGTTGGTACAGACTCCACCTTTGTTGGCGCTCATAGTGAGGGTTTGTTCGCATGTTAAGAGGCACTGTTGTGCGTCTTTATGTAGCCTGATAACGTCTCATAACGTGTATTTTAGTGCAAATTCACATCCTGATGCGAGATCTTACAGCTAAATCTCATTTCCACGCGACTGGGATCATTTCGGTTTACATCGTCTCAAAGCGGACTCGTTGTTTTCTTCTTGTTCGTCGACTCTGCTGGTAATCGTCGCTGCGGCTGCCTCCTCTGATCAACTTCCTCTGCTGTTTCCTTGTCGCTAACACTGCTCACCTGCTGGCTGTAGTGCAGAGTCTGCGTCTGTGGGCTTGTGGGAGATGAACGCTGATCTGGTGTCATGAACTGTGTCCGTCTGCTTGAAGTCTCCCTGAGAGACATCCTGATATTTTTACACCCGGGTCCGGTCTTCGCATATTTCTGGGATCTGAATGTCTTGAATAATCACCGTCTGTGTTCGTCGGCTGAAACACTGGACAGGTTCAGATTGTTATTTTAAAGGTCCCATAAAAGGACGAACATGCTCGCCACTCTGGACGACCGACCCTGAGAGCGTGGAAACCAAAGAGCCTCTGCACTGATTCTGTCCCCCGTCTACTGGGTAAATACAGACGCTATGAGGTGATTTGAACCGGCTCCTTTGGTGGAAAAAAAACACTCTTACTGTCATTTCTCAGACAAATCTGCTTCCTCTGACACGGTTTTGTTTTCCTGCTGTTGCTTTAAGTTACTCAAAAGTCGGAATAACATCTCAGAGACGCGCCGATGGGGTCAGATCCCGGTTTATATGTGTAGAAGTTCTCCTGGTGGGCTCGCCAAATTCGTCATGGTGTTTCTCTGCTTCTGCATCCAATCAGAGCTTGATTCTTCCAGCATCCCCGCCCACTCAGATCACTCCGTGGATAAAAAAGTAGAAACTTAGAACCGGCAGATCCTCCACAGAGGCTAAAATCGTGACATTTCTTTCCGCTGAATAAGAGACGTCTCTCAAAAGACGACAGGGACTTTTTTGTGAAAAGCTAAAAACACCAAACGTAGGACCTTGAAGTCCTTTGACGGTCTGTCCTTTTCACGCTCCTCTTCGGCTACAATCTACCGAGACTTTACCACAAATCGGTCCTTCAGAACTCAAAGTATGCAAATGTCGGATCCGGGTTTGACGAGTCACTGGAGGTCGGGTTTTCTCGGCGTTCATTTAGGGAAAAGCAGAGCCGCCTGTTTTTAAGCTTCAGCGCCCTCCTCTGTTCATGTTTCTGTCTAAACTCTGTGGAGTTCAACCATCTGCGCGATGATGAAACAGTTTGACGGTGAAGAAACGTCAACATTAGCGACATGACGCCGTACCTTTAAGGCAGGAGGAGGAGGAGGCGGTTTAGAGCTGAGCGTAAGCAGAAAAAGCACCAACTCAAACTGCTTCTTGGTTTTCCCTCTCCGTTGTGGTGCTCGACTTTAAATCCTGGGATCTGTTTCTACGGCTCATCCTGTAACTGTACGTAGAGTAACTCAAGTTCACGTCTGTGGCTTCTTCCGCTCTGTTGGTGTTTTGGTTTCTTACCTGAAGCTCAAAAAAGGGAACGTGATGTGGAGAGGTGCTAAAAGGTGCAAAATCGCTTCTCTCCAGGAGTCGATGAACCCTCGAAATCCTTCTTGGACTTGTGCGCCGAGGCCTTCAGCTTGCTGGTCAGGTCGTTTTTCTGGTCTGGCTTTTTTTTTTCGGTTCTGTATCGGCGAGGATTGTCTTTGAGAGAGTGCCTGAAAAAGTGATGATGATGGGAAGTGAGACGGTTGAAACCAAACAGACGGGGGTTAAAGATAGGCGGGTTTCTTTGGAAGGTAGTTCGCCATGTTGGGAGTGTGAGAGAGTTTTAGTTGGGGGGGGTCCCGTCGGGGGGCTCCTGTGGTCAGTGTTGAACCAAACACCCTGCAAAAACTTCAACGTTAGAGAGCAGGCGGGGTTACAGCCGGAGCGCAGTCGGGACAATCAGAAACTGTCTGTGAAGGCGTTCAGCGTCTGAGTCGTTTTCTTCTTTTTTTGATCCGTTTCTGTCACGTCTCTGTTTCCTCCAGTTTGCACACTTTAAAGATAAAAATTTGCGATAAGACGACCCGAAGCACACGGTCCGGTCCTTTCGCTGCTTCGGAGAGATCGTGTCGTTGAATTTAAAGCACAGAGTAAAAACCGACCGGGGCGAGGTTCGTCGGGTCAGCTGGTGGATCGTTTTCTCTCCTGGTGAAGCAGCGAAACTTTGGATGAAGGGGACGAATTCAGGCTTCGGTTGGGACGTCTGTCGTCTGTAGCAGCCACTTTGGCAGAAAACCAACCGAGTCTTTGATTTTTTAATTATAAAATTAGAAGAAAAGAGGTTTAAAAAGAGATAAAAGTTAGTTTCCCCCCTTTCTGTTTATCCGCTGTGTGCTCGGGTCGGTCTGTCAAAGTGATCACCTCAGATGCAAATCCTCCTTAACGAAAAAAAACTAACCACTGTACTATACACACAATAAAAACCTACACTATGTGGGACCTTGCATGTCTCGCCAAAGTCTTCCTGCAACAAGAAGCATTCTGGGTAATCCCACTAAGAGAAAACAGGAGCCCACCTGGATGAAGGGAAAGCTTTATTTCCAAGCCTGTACTCCTGCTCAGAGCTGCTTTTGATTTGGACGCTAAATCTTGAGTTTGCTAAAATCTCTATTTTTGGATTTTTCTTTTTTTTTTGAAGGACTGAGATGCACTTGGATGGGTCGGTTAGTGATTATTTTTTTGTTTTGCTCTTTTTTCTCATCGGTGGAAATGGAAAAAAAACAGAAACAAATGCACCATATCCACTTATTTATAAACCAATGCTGTTTATTCCATGAGAATTATTACGTTTTCTTTATTTTAGGGAGAGGAAAAAGAATAGAGACGCGTCGCCGTCTCTAGATGTAAAAAAAAAAAAAAATTCCATCCAGTGTTTGAGAAACTTGAATTTTATTTAAACTTGAAAAATGACTTTGCCTTAACTTTTATACAAGACAAGCATAGAGTTTATTTCTTTTCGAGATAAAAAAATCCCCAAAATGTTAAAGAGGTGTGGGAAATATTAACCAGACGTCACAAGTCTTATTGAAAGAGAGAGAGAGAGCGCGCACGAGAGAGAGAGAGAGTACAAATCGAGCAGCGTTTTCTTCTTTTCCCTGTTTTTGTAAAATGTACGAGAAAGAATCATTTTGATTGTCGCTTTTTGTTTCTTGTTTGATAGTTTCAGGTCGTTATTTTGGGGAAGATTATAAACCTTGTAAATGCAAAACTAGTCAATACTGTATTAAATTTGTGCACTTTGAAGTGTGTGCTTTGCTTGTACAGTTGTAAATACTCAGAAAAATATAAGAGGTACCTTAAAATGATTATTAAAAATATATTGATCTTGTTGAATTATTAATGTCGCTATCAAGCTGGATGTAGGATATTAAAAAAAAACGTAATGTTGTGCTTTTTTGGAAATATTTTGTTGAACTTTTTTGTTTTTAGTTTGGGTGTGCGGAGCTTGAATTCTGCTCCACTCTGCGGGGTGGGCAGGTTGTCTGATTGTACATTTGTATGTTTTTGTTTGTTGTCTTTCATTCCAATTTTTTTTTTTTTTTTTTTTTGCACCTGGGCGAACAGGTGTGTCCTAAGCCCCTCCCCCTTTTCACTGTGCACTAATTGGAAAGAGCCTGTGGTACTGACAAGCATCGTTATTACAAACCTTGCAAAGCTGCGTGTCCGCCGGCATCCTCTTTCCCGCTCTTGCTCGGACAGGATCACTGTCAGGACTAAAAAAAATACGCAAAATGTTCAGAGCAAGTTAATCTTCAAGAACTACTCTAATAACGACAAGATTGACGCTGCGTTTAGGCATTTACGTTTTTCAATCGTATGTAAATAACTGAAGTAAATAGCCTCATGTACACTGACACTAATACTCAAATAGATGTAGTTATGACATGCTTATACATATGTAACTGAGCTTATATCCAAACTGCAGCAAGTCCGTACAAAGGCAGAATGAATAGACAGTATCTGATATTTAACAATAAAGGTATACAGACAGCAGTATTGATGTTTAAAAAGCAGTCATATTGAGCAAAATTGAAGCTGTTCCTTTTTTAAACATATTCTATCACCATGAAGTTTGAAGTTTGGTTTTCTTGGAGTTTCCTTTAATTCAAGCGTTTCCTCATCAAATGATTAATTAATCAACTTTTTTGAGTGTGAGGCGAGAAGATCGACACCTCACATGCCACTGTTGTCACATTTTTAAATTGGCCCGGGCTAGCTATTTTACGCTAGCGTAGGCTAGGCTAGGCTAGGCTAACTACCTCCAGACTTCCACTTTAACAATCAGACACACGAAAGATATTTATTCTCAGATCAACTCTTCAAAAGTACCGTGACTCAATGTCATCTTTCTCCTGTAAAATATCGTATTTTATTCGCTAACAACAGCGACAGCTCTTGGTAATAGGTTGAGTCACTTTTTCGGACTCGCTCCAGTTTAATTGTACTTCCTTTCCTATCCTCTATGACTTACATGAAATTTCAATCAGTTGGTTGCTGGTAAATTGTGTTTTTTTTTACATGTTCATAATAATTGAACTTCGTTTTTGCACAAAAAGTGACGAAATTAAATTAAAAATCATAATTAAAAATTTTCTCGTTGATTATGCTAGTGTAGCCTGGAACAGCCGTATACAACTCCATCTCCGTCTTCTGAAAAACTGCGCCACCTATCATCCGTGTTTGTTTACATCTAGGTAGTCGAGCGTAGTCGCCGTAGACAACCTCGGCTAGCTTTGACTCTATATTAGACTGACATTTCTAACTCGTTTGACTGGAATCAAACCGACTTATCGTACTTTTTCATTATATATTTGGAGTTTTTTTAGCGTTCTTGTAGTCTATACTGTGTATTCCGAAATATGCGCTGGGTGGCTTTGACTTCTGGGAAATGTAGTTGTTGGAGATACTAAATATAACATGCATGTTGCTTGAGTGCGGGCAGAAAACTGCAGGAACTTGCTTTAAATTTCAGATATACGAAAAACAGCCTGTAACTGCGTCCAAAAACTGGAAAGGAGGATCCGAGAGCAGGATACCAGCACTGACGTTAGCATGACCTCTTAGAGCCGGCGAATAAAGAGGATGCCTGGCGGACACGTCGCGGTTTTTCCTGCTGTGCTTCAAGGTGATCTGAAGCTCGACGCTCATATCAAAGATGGAGCACAATGAAACATTCGAAGCACATATCTGATCCTTTCACATCTCCAGTTTGGGCGGCACCGACACTCTTAAGTTCAGGGGATGTTTCATGAAGCCGACCTGCGAGATGACGGCGAATATCAGATTTGTCGTCGTCGCGGCAGGTTGTGCTAAAAGTCCCCCCGGTCGGAGTGTCGATGCGGCGACCGCACAGACGTGAAAACCTGTTCTTCTGTTTCTGGTTCATGTTCGAACGCTTTCTCAAAGTGGTGTCTTCTTTGTGTTTTTGAGGGGGAGTTGGGGTCAGACGCCGAGGCTCAACTGGAATCCCTTTTTTTTTTTTTGATATCTTATGTTTTTCGAGCGGGTGTCCCTGCCCTGTTAGTACAGTAACGCTCAGTTTGAGATGTCTGTTGAAAACCATTTGATCACATGTGGACTGCATTTTGACGTGGCAAAGAAAACCAATAACTGTGCCATTATCCCGCTGTTGTTTTCGTCTTAACTGGGCGGTTAAACCTGTACATAGCTGAGCGCTCGCCATCTCGGCTTTCGTTTGTTTTTATTTGAAGATGTGATTTTTTCCTGTTTTATTTTGAAAGTCCATCAGAGACTTCCCGCACCAGGAGGAGTCGACAATGTGACGCCGCTGACTGTAGGAGCAGATTTTGTGCGTTTGTAACTTTGCGGTCAACCCCCCCCGGTCGCCGAGGTCGCGGCATGTTTGACCTCTGAACTCTTTGAGAAGCTGATTACAAACTGGGCATCCCTGAACTGTGAATGTGTGCATGTGTGGAAAAATTCAAAATGTACCCCCCCCCCCACCCAGTACTCCTCGACATCCAGACCGAAGCAAAAGGTGACTCTTCTCTGAAGCGCGGTACCTCAGACTGCACGATACCGCCTCCTGAAGGGATCGTCCGGCGTCGTTGTGGCGGCCGCGAGTTCCTGCACGCCTCTCCTGTATCATGGACACAAACGCTCCACATTCGGCGTTTTGGCGTCGGAGTTCCTTCTTCTCATGGACTTCCACATGGAGCCTCATATCAGCCTGTCAGCAGTCGCCTCAGCTCTCTGACTCCTCCCTCCTGTTTGCCCGTTTTGACAGTGCCATTTTTTTTATCGTATTGTTTTCCCTCGAGGGTTGCATCTTGTCGTAAAAGAGAAAAAAAAACAAACGGACTCCCTCGAGTTTCTTTTTTCGTTTGTTTTTTCTTTCAAAGATTAAATGCGCACCAACTGACTGGAACAAGACTCCACGTCTTTATCAACTCACTGTGGTTTAACTCATTAACACTCGTACCGTGCTACGCTAACCGCTCTGGACAATCGATGACCCCGTCCTGTCGGGGTTCGGACTGAAAACTTTGCCTAACGACACCTTTAACAGACGTGGGATGGAGGCAGCGTTCAAGAGGGCTTCTTTTTGTTTTCATCTTGATTTTTCTTTCTTTTCTGTTTTTGGTCTATTCTTCCATCGAGACTGGAATCAAGCGTACATGTCAGCTATAGATAATTTAAGTTACTCTGTGTCATGATGTAAAACTGTCTAATTTGGAGAAAAAATGTAGCTTACTGAAAAATAAAGATTTAGGCACTGTTGAGAAGCTGCTGTCTGTTTTGTTTTTTCATTTTAAAGATGATAAAATTAAGATGACTGTGGAGAAAAAAAGGGGTTTACGGGAGAAGAAAGTTGAACATTAACAGGCGAAAGTCTCATTTTTACATCAAAAATGACGATTGAGGACTGAATATTCATGTATCGTCATTTTAAAGTCTTCAATCATGGGTGACCATACGTTCTCTTTTACCCGGTCATGTCGTCTTTTTTGGGGGCTGTCCGGATTTAGTTCATAGTTTATAAAATCTTTTAAATGTTGGCGGTTTTGTACGCTAGTTTCAATTTTGTTTCACATGGACTTACTGAGTTAAGGTTCTTGCACATCAGGTCCGACGCAAAATTTCAAAATATTCGGAGGCGAATTTTGACGTGCCTGACTTTACACGTCAAGCGCGCTGCAATTTTGCGAAAGTACCGAAAAAATAAATGCTGCAATATCTCAGGACGGGAAAACTTCGCTAATGTGAACACTTGTATTGACAGGATACAGGTTCAAAAAATAATATTGACGACCGAAATAATCGCACAACAAAAACGCTCCGGGTGTGTAAGGACCTTTAGAAGCGTCTAGAAGACACTTGATACGACCCGAAAGAATCTCAAAATTAACTTCCTGCGACTCTGTGACTCCGCCCCCACGTTGTCATGTCCTCTTTTTGGGGATTCAGAATATGGTCACCGTACTTAAATCTGATGTGACGGGGTCGGTGTGAGTCGAGCAGCCCTGTTTGGACCATGTCCTCATGAAATATTCCAAATTCCAAATAAATACTGTGCGCTTAAAATTGGGGTAGGCAGGATTCTGTTAAAGAAGCATCTTTTTATTCCTTTTTATGTATTTACAAAAAATCTTTTAATATCAGTCAATAGTTATTAGTTATTGATGACATTTGGTAATATAACGATATCACTGTGTTCTGTTATGTTTGTGTCGTCAACATTTTAAATTTTTTGAGTGGTCCGCTCTTTCTGACTGTAAACAAAGCCGTTCTCCACCTCCTCGACCTGATTGGTTGTGAGGCAGAAACAGTAGAAACCAACCAGAAAGTTCGGAAAATTGTCTGAATCCTCCTTTGACCACGACTGCCGACACAAGCAAGAAAACAAAGTAAATACCGGAGACTCTGGAGGAATAACGGGCGCTTAAAACGGAGGTAGACCGGACAAGAGCTAAAAAGCCGGGTCAACATAAACGATGGGGGACGCTTGGGGATCTTGGTGACCCTGTAACCTTTCTGCTGGACAGGTAAACCGCTTTAACAAAGTAAGACAAGTGTCTGTAACAGAAGTGTTTCTTGTCAAACGGACCTGCTGTAGCGTGTTGTAGCGCCATCGCTAAACTGTCCTCCCTCGGGTCCTGGACTATGTCACTTTATCCTCGTTGTAGAAGTCCTGCAAACATTGTGTTTGCTGGTAGTCTGTTGACATCTACAGTAGCACCAATGCTTTTGACTTTCACCTTGACTGGGCCCCATTTGTAATGATCAGGTGTGGCCCTCGGTTCAATTACCTGCTCTGTGTAAGAGGCTCCAGGTGTGTCTAATTAAGCTCTCCAGTCTGACTGAGAGGAACTCAAAGACACTCAGATCAAACTCTCACTATTGCACTGACGATAGTCGATTGAAGCGGCTTATCTGTTTGATCGTAGTAATAAAATGGATCCAACTTTTTTGAAAACATTTTGTCTTTTCCATCTTTCTGTGTGCGAGTCCTCGACAGCCTTTTTGAAATCTTAACTTTTTAGACTCGAGTATCTCACTGATTAATAGAGTCCGTCCTTAAGGGTTACACATTTTCACCATTTCAAATTAACACTTAATAACCCTGTTTCTGTACAAACTTTATATCCTTCCACTTATCTGTCCATTCTGGGTTGAGATGCTGAAGAAAATCATTAGCAGCACAATGGCGCCCTCTTGTGGTTGGCTTTAGTTTCCCACATTAACCCTTGAACACTATCTGGTGGAGACATGGATTATCCACTTCACAACACCATGATGGACCAAAGGACCAATGGTGGTCCTCTTCGCTGCAGGACAGAAAGATTGAGAAGATCTTTTGTTCTGACAGCCATCAGACTTTATAACTCTTGTGTAAATAATAGATAACTTTTAGAGACATGTTATGTGAGAAAACAGAGAATTGAATTTCCCTTCAGGGATGAATTAAGTTCTAACAAACCCAAGAAAAAGTCCTTGTCATCAAAATATATAAAAACAGGACAAATTAAAGTCGTTTTCTTTTATTTTTAACGGTGCAATGACAGAGAAGTTGTCGGTTTATTAGATCGGAGGTTTACGTAAAAGAAAAAAAACAAACCTTTTAAAACAAAAACACAAAAGAAGATAATATTCAGATTTTTTAACAGTTAAAGAATAAGATTTCTACTTCAGTCTACAGAACTCAGCCGAGTCTCCGGGATAATAAAACCCGATTCCTGCGTAGAGCGGCTGATCAAAGTGGGTGTGGAAACCGTGGATGAGCCTCGTGACCCCGGTGATGCTGTAGAAGGACAAAATCCCCTCGCTGTGGTCCACGTAGACGCCGATTCTGGTGCACAGAGAACCGGAGATTTCGTCGCTCCTTTGATTGTGCCAGAAGCGGTAACCTTTGCCGTCGCAATCCAACGCCCAGGATTTGTCGTTGTGCCCGAGTACGCACTCGACACAACTCTCTCCTCTGCTGATGCTCTGGTACGTTACTGCGATGTAGAGTCCTCCTCTCCACTTCACCTCCCAGTAACCTCTCCCAGTCACGCTCTCGTTGCTCAGGACCTGCCAGTAATCCGTGAATCTGTCCAGGTGTTCGAAAGAAGTCTGCGTTTCAGTCTCCAGTGTTGCTTTTTTGTTCCTCGCAGATAGCAAAATATGAGGGTGCGCCGTGTTCGGATCCAGCGTGATGTCGACATAATATTTGAAGAGGTCCGCTCTGGTTAGAGGTTGTGGGTTTAGGAGCAAAACATCTCCTGGAGTCTCTGACTGTGAGCCGTCTATCCAGTTCCTCATCAAAATGTCTTCGATTTTCCGTCCGATTTCGGACACAGCAGTTGAAATACCGTGAAGGGGACTCCGATTTACAGCGTTTGAGACGCTTGAATGTGAAGATTGACTGAGCGCTGACTGTGAGGGGTAGTTCTGGAGAAACTGGATGTGGTCCTCGGCTTGCGACAGCTCCTCCAGCTCAGCGTCCTTCCTCTTCAGCTCTGCGATCTCCTGCTCCGCCGCCTCCCGAAGGTCTCTCAATCGACTCAAATCGGTTTTCTGCTGAGATCTAACCTGCTGCTTCACGTCGGAGCGTCTTTTCTCCATGAGGCGGATCAGGTCGGTGAACGTCTTCTCGCTGTTTTGAACCGCTTTATGAGCAACGTAATTGATATGTGCCGAACTTTCTTGAATCTGCTCCACGTTCTTCTCTCTGTCCTCGACTCTCCTCTGGATTTTTCTTCGACTCGCCTCCAGATTTTTCTGCTTCTCCGCTCTTTCTGCCGCCGCTGAGACCGTGTCGTGGCCTTTATGCCCGTCCATCGAACAAAGATAGCAGATGGGCTGCTGGTCAGTGCGGCAGAATATCTTCATCACCTCATCGTGACTGGAGCAGACGTTCTTCTGGAGGTTGTTGGATGGATTCACCAGCTTGTGCTTCTTCAGCGGAGGAACTTCGAAATGAGGCTGAAGGTGTCTCTCGCAGTAAGAGGCCAGGCAGACAAGACAAGAGTTAAGAGCTTTTCGTTTCCTCCCAGGACAGACGTCACAGGCCACATCTTCAGGTCCAGCAAAGCAGTGATCAGCAGGAGCAGGTTGGAGTCCGGTCTTCTTCAGCTCCTCCACTAAATGTGCTAACACCGTGTTTTTCCCCAGGACAGGCCTCGGTGTGAAGGTCTGTCGACACTGAGGACAGCTGTAGACGCTCCCCTCATCTTGTTGATCCCAGTGGGTTTTGATACAGTTCATGCAGTAACTGTGTCCACAGGGGATAGTCACTGGATCCTTGAGCAGGTCCAGACAGATCGAACAGGAAATAACCTCACGGTCCAGCTCCAACTCTTTCTCTGCCATCTTTGTCAGCGTTTCACTTCATCAAAGGTCAAAGTTGTTCTTTTACTGACTGGTTTCAGCTGTTTTTTAACCACAGATCTGAGGGGAAAAACAGAAATGTACGGTCAGATTAGAGCAGGAAGGAAAAAGGAGTTAAAGGGATATTCCGGCGTATAATTTCATTCTCTAAAATGAAGATTTAAAGTGCATTAAAGGTGAAGTTATGGAATTATAATGGCAGTAACTTCAAGTTGTGAATACCAGATAAATTCAGCTTATTAATTCTCCACAAAGTCTTAAAAAGTCTGATAAATTTCAGGAATAACTCCCCAAAACACTGACATTAGAAGATGAGAAGGAAGAGATGTTATCTTAAGAGCTGAGGGGCTGAAAATGCGACAGTGACACCAGTCTGAAACCTGTTTTTTTTTTAACATAATACAGAAAAACTAAACAGAGGCTCCAAATCATCACAGTTTTCAGTCTACACCAGCTAAAAGTCGCAGTTTGACAAACAACAGCGCTTTTAATTCAATTTTACAGCTAGTTAGCCCAACAACAGGAACAGAAATGTGTTTTTAAAGGTACCAAACACTTTCCTTACCTCTTAAAGTCGCTCTTTGAGGTGGAAACACTTTCATAATCCGAGTCTAGAAACTATTTTCTGCTGCTCTGAATGTAAACACCGCGGACGCCTCTTCCGTTTCCTTGTCTACCCGGATGTGATGCGAAATGCGGCCGAGTCATGGCCACGCAAAGGACTCTGGGATATGAAGTCTTTACTCGAACACAAGCAAGAACCTTTCTGGGCTTCTACCGAGAATTCTTCAGCGGGTTCGTTGGATTGTATAATAATAATAATAATAATAATAATAATAATAATAATTATTATTATTATTATTATTATTGTTATTATTATTATTATTTGTTTTTTATTTGTTTTTATTGAGTCTTATTTATAAGGTGTTCTTGACCTCGTACAGGTGCAGCTCAAAATATTAAATCTTGAATCTTGAGCTCATGAAATCAAAAATCCAACATCTCAAAAGGTCAGAATATTACAAAACAAAACAAAAAAAATACAAAAAAAGTATTTATGACCCAGGAATGAGCCAAGTATAGATATAGAAGATACAAAATCACAATCCCAAAAAAAAAGAGTAAAGTTTAACAAATCAAAATTCAAAACATTCAGACAATTTAAAATTATAGATTTATTTAAGAAATTCACAAAAAAAAAGTATAAAAACAAAAAGTTTTGAAAACAAAAATAATTTTGGAAACAATTTTTTTAAAAACACAAATTGATTCCTAAATCTATAAAAAATTAGAAAATGGTATAACTAGTTTTGGCTGAAAAATATCAAATATATTTGGGTTTACATTTTTTTTTTTTTTTTGGGGGGGGGGTTCAAAAAGGATCCTTGTTTCATAAAAAAGTATTGGATTTTAACATTTAAACAGATTTTGTTTTAATTATTTATTTTTTGTTTGGTTTCTTTTTTATGTGGAAATATCAAGCGGACTAAAAGCACAGTCTTTAAACATATTTGGAAACAACATTAAAAAAAGGAAGAAAAAAAAACAAAATAAGACACCATGAAACCCCACACTGTATAATAATGAGTATGAAAATAATATTATCAACTACAATAATAACTACAACAGCAGAAGCAAAAATAATAATAGGAATTCATACCTGTAGGCTGATGAGAGTTAAACAGCTGATAAAGAGAAAACAAACAACATAGAAAACATTTCCTTTATTATAATGTCACTACATCCACACTATTCTTCTGCTAACAGACGATATATTTAGGGCAAGTTTGTGAAACAAAATGCTTTTAAGAAACATAATTATGCCAAAAAAGTCTATGGCATCAACCTTCATTGAGGCCTTTAAAATCACTGAGGTTCCCCTTATTTACAGAGTTAAATTCCCCCTTTAAAGTCCTTTATTTCAGTTTACACAACTTCGCCTTCTCTGTAACATAAAGTCCAGCATGTAGAGGCTGAGTGAACGTGGTCTGGACTCTGTGGAGGAGAGTCATGGTTTCAGAGACGCCGTAGAAGGACAGGATACCTGCGCTGTGATCCAGGTACACTCCTAATATGGAGGACTCAGGACCTGTGATAGGAGTCCTGACGTTGTTGTGCCAAAAGGTATAACGGTTGTTGAAACAGTACAACCCCCAAGATTTGTCATTATACCCAAATAAAGTTTTATCTGACCTCCCTTCTCTGCTGATGTCCTTGTAAGCGACTGCTACACAAACTCCCTCTCCTCTGCACTCCACCTCCCAGTAAGAGCGTCCGGTCAGACCCTCTTTACTCAGGACCTGATTCAGATCGGTGAATCTCTCCGGGTGACTAAAATAAGACTGTTCTTGATTTGTCCTTGTTGCTTTTCTGTTCCCATGAGACAGTAACAGATGTTTGTTCGCCGTCTTTGGATCCAGTGTGATGTGACGGGAGTATTTGATCACGTCAGCTCTGGTTTTTGGCTCCGGCTGTGGGATGTTTGTCTCGGTCACTTTTGTCCATCTCTCTCTCAGAACTTCCTCTTGTGCATTTCTGACTTCTGACTCAGTCCTTTCTTCTACAGCCGAGGCTGTATCAAGGCCTTTCTCTTCATCCACAGAGCAGAGATAAGAGATAGGCTGCTGACCAGTTTGGTAGACCATCTCCGTTACCTTATCATGGCAAAAGCAGACATTCTCCTGGAGGTTCTCAGATGGATCCACCAGCTTGTGTTTCTTGAATAAAGATACGACAAAATGAGACAGAAGGTGTTCCTCACAGTAAGAGGACAGACATTGCAGACAGGACTTGGCGGCTCTCAGTTTTCTCCCAGTGCAGACGTCACAGGCCACATCTTCAGGTCCAGCGTAGCAGTGATCAGCAGGAGCAGGTTGGAGTCTCGTCTTCTTCAGCTCCTCCACCAAAACTGCTAAAACTGTGTTTTTCCCGAGGACAGGCCTCCGTCTGAAGGTCCGTCTACACTGAGGACAGCTGTAGACTCTCTTGACATCCTCTCCATCCCAGTGGGTGTTAATACAGATCATGCAGTAGCTGTGTCCACAGGGGACCGTCACCGGATCCTTCAGCAGATCCAGACAGATTGAACAGGAAATACTTTCTCGGTGGAGCTGGTTCTCTTGCTGAGCCATCTCTCCTCTCTCTCTCTCTCTTTTTGGACGGTGTCTGAGCTCTGAGGGCTCACAGCTGTCTGCTCGTGTATAATCTCAGTGGATCGATCAGAGTTCACTGTATTAAGGGAGGAGATTTATGCCTTTGATAGAACAGACCGGGTGTGTGATCTGTCATTTACAGCCTGCATATAAAGTTGGACTCTGACACTTTGCTCAAACCCGTTGGATACTAACTGTTGCAGAGACCACATTACGACCTATTGTTGGACTCTTTTAGATTGACACAACTTTTCAAAGCAGAGTCCCTCCTAGAAAACGTTCCCATTTCTGCAGCGATAACCAGGACCTAAGAGACCTAAACTTACCTCAGTCCCAGCTCACCACAGCTGATAACATCTGACCCAATTATGCGCCAATTACCCAACACAGCAGCCTCATATCACCACAGTGTTCCAACCAATTCCTTTACACATTAACCACTCAGATAAAAAACACAGAGGATGTTGTGATAGCACTACTGCCCCTGTTTTTATTGAGTCTTATTTATAACATGTTGTTTACCTCGTACAGGTGCAGCTCAAAACAAGACCAACAGCTCGGCGAAATTTATTTTTGCCGATTTACACCTTAAGACTGAAGTCCTCACCTCCATGCCAGCTGCTCTCCCTTATGCCAGAAATAACCAGAAATTAGAAATGAAAATTGTAGCAAGAATTTTGACAGGCTTTATGTACTCTGGACTTGATAAAACAAAGTAGCCCAACAGCATCAGATGACATGGCACCACAGATCGTCACGGACTGTGAGAACTTCATGCTGGACTTCAAGCACCTTAGATTCTGGCCCTCTCTGATCTTCCTCCAGACTCAGGGACCTTCATTTCCTTGATTTTTGGACCACTGAATAATGGGCTCTACGCACAGCCCCACTACTTCTTTAACTTAAGGCTGACCCTTTATTTCCTGTCTTATATTATTGGACATACTGATTAATTCAGGTGTGACTGATGATTGTGACTAATCAGACACACCTGAATTAATCTGTTTTTAAAGTTTTTTTTTTTGTCTTTTTATTCCAGCTCTTATCTCAGGGAGGGTCTTTTCAAGTACAGTGTAAAAACAGTATACAGTAAAGGTGCAGTGTGCAACTCTTCCTGTTATTTAGCAGACCAGCCTTAGTGGAGAGGAATTAAGATATATATGAGTATATATATATATATATATATATATATATATATATAGATATAGATACAAAAAAGCATAAAAACAAACACTTTTGAAAACAAAAATTTTTTAAAACACAAATTGATTTCTTTATCTTTAAAAAATTAGTTAATTTTATAACTACTTTTGGCTTAAAGATATAAAATATGTTTGGGTTTACATTTTTTTTTCTAATTTTTTTTTTTGTGTGTGTTTTAAAAAAATACCCTTGTGTCTTTTTTTAGGTTATATTTTATGTTTATTTGAAAAAAAAAATCCATAAAAAATGTTTTCTCTTTTTGAACATTTTTACAATAAATCTTATATTTTCCAAACATATTCCTGAAATGTATATGCAAGTTTCTCATCCTTGAGAATTTTTTTTTTTAAAGAAGTTTGAAAAATATGAACGTTAATATTAATATGACACATAATCTGAGAATCATAAAAGATGTCACTCTGCATCATTATTGCAGTTCAGTATAAGAAGCTCCAGCTCAGCTTGAAATGATCACTGTGGCAAAGAAACTGCGAACAAGAGCAGCAGACGGTTTTTAAGGCAGACTTTATTCTTTGTGGTTTTAAGAGACGAGACAAATAAACAAAACATTAAAATCAAATCGTAAAATGGTTTGACTCTATTTTAATTTACAAATCTCAGCAGTGTCCCCGTCATTGAGAAACCTGAGTCCAGCATGTAGAGGCTGAGTGAATGTGGTCTGGACTCTGTGGAGGAGGGTCATGGTTTCAGTGATACTGTAGAAGGACAGGATACCTGCTCTGTGATCCAGGTACACTCCTAATCTGGAGGCCGGAGGACCTGAGACACGAGTGTGAACGTTGTTGAACCAAAAGCAGTAGCTGTTGTTTTCACAGTTTAGCACCCAGGCTCTGTCATTGAACCCAAACACACAGTCACTCCAGCTCCCTGACCTGCTGATGGTCTTATACGAGACCGCTACATAGACCCTTCCTCTCCACTCCACCTCCCAGTAACAGCGTCCAGTCAGACTCTCTCGACTCAGGACCTGGATGTAGCCTGAGAACCTGTCCGGGTGATGGGAATAAGACTGACACCAAACTTTGTTCTGGACAGATGCTTTCCTGTCCCCCTCAGATAAGATCAGCTGTTGATGTGCCGAGTTTGGATCCAGTGAGACGTCACACGCGTATTTTAGGAACTCGGCTCTGGTTTTAGGTTCTGGTTCTGGTTGTGACAGTAAAACATCCACTTCGGTCACTTTCTGTGAGATGTTTGTCCATGTCTCTCTCAGAACATCTTCTAGTTTCTCTCTGACTTCTGACACGGCTGCTGTCACGTCCTCAAAGTACCTCAGAGGACGGGTCCTGATGATGGGTGTAGATCCACTAAGTCCTGATGGTGAGAGGAAGTCCATGTACAGATCAGTGTCTTTCCTCTTCAGCTCAGTGATCTCCTGCTCCAGTTTCTCCTGAAGTTCTCTGACTCGACCTACTTCAGTGTCCTGCTGGGATCTGACCTGCTGCTTCACATCAGAGCGTCTTTTCTCCATGAGACGGATCATCTCAGTGAAGATCTTCTCACTGTTCTCCACAGCTCTATCAGCAGACCTGTTGATAGCCTCCACCTCCCGTTGAAGCAGCTTCATGTCTCTCTCTCTGTCCTGGATCCTCTGCTGGATGTTTACTTGACTCACCTTGAGCTTTCTGAAGTCCACATCCTCAGGTCTAGCATCCTGGAGTCCAGTCTTCTTCAGTTCCTCCACTAAATGTGCCAACATGGTGTTTTTCATCAGGACTGGTCTCGGTTTGAAGGTCTGTCTACACTGAGGACAGCTGTAGACCCTTCTCTCTCTGTCCCAGTGGGTTTTAACACAGTTCATGCAGTAACTGTGTCCACAGGGAATAGTTACCGGATCCTTCAGCAGATCCAGACAGATCGAACAGGAGAAGGACTCTTGGTCCAGCTGAACTCCTCTCTGCGCCATTTCTCTGTCTGAGTTTTCCTCCCTCGATCTACACAGTTCGTAGTCGGTTAAACTTTAGCGAGACTGTCGAGTTGAAGGGAACAAGGAAATACACGGTCGGAGTGGAGCTCGGCCATAGACGTACACGCTTAGATCGTCCCTCAGCAGCTGCTGCGCTTATTATCGCCGTGATTTTGTCGACAAGAGTGGAAGTAAAAGTCTTGATACTTAAAACAATGTGGCGATAAAACAAGAGGCTCCTCCTTTTAGTAAAGACAGCTGCTGCTCATCGTGAACGGAAAACTAAAACTTAATTAGAATAATTCTTCAAACTTATTTAACTATTTTTGTTTTAGCAGCTCTCAGTGGAGCGTATGCAGGCACGGTTCATCACACCGGATGTGCCGAGGTTTATTGTGAAGGAATACCGGAAGTGTTGTTGTTGTTGTTACCGGGTCTGAGTTGTACTTTATAGGCGCCTATACTGGATGAGTAATGAAAGAAAGAAGAATACAAGCGGCAGCCTTCAGTGTTGACAGTCGCGTCCACTATTTTTATTTCTTTCCTTCCCGAACGTCAAACTCGACCCCATAACAACAGCACGACTTCCGGTATTCCTTTACAATAAACCTCGGCGCATCCGGTGTAATGAACCGTGCCTGTTAAAAAACGGCTTGCACTGTTAACAAGATGACTTTACCCTTAAACAATTGTGATCTAAATAAAAGTTTACTTTTGACATAACACGACTTCTAAAAGTAGGATTATTTTGTGGTTTTCTCACGATTTTATTCAAATATAAAATGACTTTTTAAAGACTTAAGTCTCATGATAAATTTCCCCCTTTTTTTTTGCACTTTCTTCTTTTAAAAAATGACTGAAAAATCTGTGAATATTATTTTAATTTGTCTTTTTTACTATGGTTATTTCTCGGAGAACAGACTGTCAAGAGTTTATAAAAATTAAAGTTAGTGTTTTTGGATAGAGAGTAAGAATAGAGGTTGATAAAATTTAAATCTATAACCATAAAAATATGAAAATGAAAAAGAACTACGGCAAGACAAGTTTAATATCATGAAAAAAATAAATACAGAGTATTGAATGGGGGAAAATAAGCATGAGAAATGTCAAGTGTGGCGTGTGGTGTGAGAATGGGTCAAATTGCGTGACTGTCACACTCAAAGCGTGACGCTCGGCAGCTCTGTGATCGGTCTGTGTTCCTGCTGAGGTCTTACTGAGGTCCAGGTCTCTCTGATAGCATGAAGGTCTCTAAAATCCGTGAGTAGACTTTAGGCTTTATCAACTCTGGACTTGATAAAACACAGTAGACCAACAGCATCAGATGACATGGCACCACAGATCGTCACAGAATGTGGAAACTTCATGCTGGACTTCAGGCACCTTAGATTCTGGTCTTTTCAAGTACAGTGTAAAAACAGTATACAGTAAAGGTGCAGTGCGTTACTCTTCCTGTTATTTAGCAGACCAGCCTTAGTAGAGAGGAATTAAGATTTCATAAGTATGTTCAGAAGTGTTTAATCACTAATCCCAGAGGGAAATTCAGAAATTTCTCTTTTAAAAGATTTCATGAACAGATACATTTCTTCCATATGTTAAGTTTGTTATAACAAAATCACAGCTGTCATTAAAGTGAGAAAAGAACATTTGAATAACACAAAGTATTTTAACTACATATTTGTTTTGTTAAATGCATAAAACATGATTAAATATTTGCTACACAAAAGCTTTGATCCCAAAATTCTGACTCTGATCTCAGGATTCTGAATTTGATTTTAGAATTCTTTCTCTGATCGTAGAATTCTGGTTTTAATTTTAACACTCCGACCTTGATCTTAGAATTCTTTCCTGATCTTAGAATTCTGGCTCTAATCTAAACATTCTGACCTTGATTTTAGTATTCTTTCTTTGATCTTAGAATTCTGGCTCTAATCTAAACATTCTGACCTTGATTTTAGTATTCTTTCTTTGATCTTAGAATTCTGGCTCTAGTCTTGATTTTAGTATTCTTTCTTTGATCTTAGAATTCTGGCTCTAATCTAAACATTCTGACCTTGATTTTAGTATTCTTTCTTTCTTTCTTTGGAGGAACGCAGTTTGGGTGCCAAGTAAGCATTTGTTCCAGTAAGAGGAGGAGTCAGCTACACGCTCCAAAAAAGTTCATGTTTCCCAATCTGCCCGTGCAGGAAGGAGAGGGAGGAGTTACCAGGTTCAGATTCACTTCAGGAAGACAAACTGATCTAGAGAGATCCTGGGTCTGTGGTTATCGGCATAGAGTTAAATGAGTAAGGCACCCTTCAATAAATGTAAATAAATAGATAAATGATAAATCAGAGTTTGGTGAATCTAGTTTTTCTGCAGAGTCATAGTAGAAGCTCAAAACAACAGCAGTGTGGAGGTTTATTCAGACCGTTTAATTCAAAGCAGCATCTTTACACTTTTTATCTCACCACACAGTCAGACTTGATTTTTACATAATGCACTTTAAACATGGATATGTTGGATATGTTTGCAAGTTAGAGGACGTGTTGCTCCATGAAATACAAACCCTCCACCAAATAAGCTCATATGATGCTATATTAACATTAAAGCTACTGTAGGGAGTTTTTTGACATTTATGAAGCAGATTGAAGTTTATAATTTTGCCTTTTTATGAAACACAAACAAGCTTGATGATTTCAATGTCATATTTTTTTAATGTCAAAAACAGAAGTCCTTTTAACAGTAGCAGTCTAATGGAAATAACGCTTTTACTTGTAAAAAGACACAAACAATTCAGCTGTAACAGACTCAAATAACCGCACATTAAAAGGATATTCCGGCGTAAAGTTAAGTTAGGGTCAAACGCACTGTAACACCGAGTTAGACACCCCTGTAAGAGATGAATGTTGCCGACCACTTTCTTCTCTAGTTATACCAACTTTAGTAACGACCGCACGCTAGCAATACACAGCGGTCTGAACAGCACCTAACTTCATCAACAGGACATACAGGGTCCCAGCCATAGTACTAGACACCAAACATCTTTTTAACTTTGACTCATTTCTTTAGCAAAGAGACTAAACACAACTCACCTACTCTCTTCCAGCAGCCGCTTGTTTGTAGAGAGACCTCAGGCCAGTCCATTACAGACTACAGCGGGGTGACGCAGCTTAAGGAAGAACATTTTTGATCATTACTTTATAATTTCCTTGAAGTAATAATCATCATATTAATTATTTTTCACTGCAGATGCTGTAGTTCTTCTGCCTTAGCGTCTCGGTCTGATTGTATTTCCATGAAGAAATGATCATAAATGTTCTTCCTTGAGCTGTGTCACCCCGCTGCAGTCCGTTAGGTACTGTTCTGAGCATTATTTGTGGCTATAAAGTGGCGTTTTGGTCGAGGTTTGTTTATGGCTCCTCAGACCGCTGTGTATTTCTATCCTACGGTCGTTACTAAAGTTGGTATAACTAGAGAAGCAAGCAGTCGGCAACATTCATCTCTCGAGGGGGTGTCTAACTTGGTGTTACAGTGCGTTTGACCCTACATTAATTTTACGCCGGAATATCCCTTTAATGTGAGTTTCAGCCTATTTCATGAACGTCAAAAACTTCCTCATAGGAGCTTTAAGTCCTTTTAACAGTGGCGGTCTAATGGAAATAGCGCTTTTACTTGTAGTTAAACACAAACAATTAAGCTGTCAGAGACTCAAATCCGCGCACATTAAGACAAATCTCCCTGATCATCGATGTGCAAAACCCTCCCTCCCTTAAAAACCTGCAGCAGAGTCTGACTCTGACTGAGCGAGTGAAGAGGCAGTGATTTCATTGACCTTTGTTTCATTGTAAGTTCTCATTAAAGTGTAGACAAACGCCGCTCATGTGTTAACGTATTAGATCGACATCTATATCGCTAAAGAAAAATCGCAGGGTTCCCCTCTCAGTGTCTAAAGTCAAAGGTGAGAGCAGGTGAACCCTCAGCACAAGGACTCGGACATCCTCTCAGGCCGAGCTGACTGACAGGTGCCGGGCGGGGTGAAGACCTCAGGGTCGCTGATGCCCAGCTCGAGGTTAAAAAAGCGGGTGGAGGTGGTGACGCTGCTGTTCCTGGTGTAGGTCTCCTGCACTGGGTAACAGTCCTTTAGGGTGTAGACGCCCACCCAGGTCTCATCTGGAGGAGAGGACAGAAAAGGTTACAGGGCTGTTGGCTGCATGAAATACTGACCATACATGAGCAGCGTGTGACTGGTTATTTTCAGGTGATTCTCATGTTCAAAAAGGACAAAATTAATGATTAAAGTGATGAAAGTTTGCTGTTATCTCAGAAATCTGCAGCTGAAGCCAAACCAGAGCCAAAACTGACAGACTTTGACCTTCGCTCATGTGTACTCAGGTTAGGAGGTGGTTTCTGGGGTGTTTTTTTTTAAAAAAGGGCTTACGTTGGCGTGCCGGCTTTCTGTCCGACCACTCCTGGACCTCGATGTTGTCTCCGGGCCCTCCGATGAAGTACTGGTCCTCAAAAGTAGAGTTGTCAGGGATGTCGAAGGGATCCCAGGCATCGGTCAGAGCGATCTTGGAGCAGTCTTTGGTCTTCTGGTCTATCTGGAACATCACCATGCTCTGGTACAAATAGATGTACTCAAAAAACCTGGAGCAGAAGCAGAATGAAAACCTGAGATATCTTCACATTTACAGCCAGAAATAAGACACAATCCCTGACTGACCTCCGGATTTTCACCTTGATGAGATTTTAGTCTGACAAACATGTTTACATGCAGGGCTGCCAAGTTTCAGAAAATGGCAAGAGTGAGATTTTAGCGTATTGATGTGTTCGACCACACGGCGAAAAAACTGTTGCCTTTTTTAACGTCAATTTATACCTTAAGACTGATGTCCCCACCATGCCAGCTGCTCTCCCTAATGCTAGAAATAAGTGAGAAATGTCAACTGTTACAACTCCATACAAATACCTGAGTAGTTTAGCTTCTTTAACTTCTTAAGCCAATTATACTCAGATTTCAGGGCGGCGCTCATGGGGCCCTTGCCACCCCACACCATCATTCAGGACACACCCCTGGTGATTCCTCACATCCCAAATGCTGATCCTAATAACGCCATAAACCAGATCTGTAAAGCTTTAATATTTTTCTCTTTTTGTTCTATTTCAAATTCCAACGAACTCTTTTTTGTAAAACGTTTTTAATTATTAATAAAGTTGTGCCTTTATGTTTGTGTTTATTGTCTTCTAATTGACTCTGTAAACACTGGGATGGTGTTTATTTCTTTAATTTTAAACATAATTTAATCAAAGATATTTTTAATTATGATGTGTATTAAAGTTTTGGTCATCAGATCATTAAATTATTGATTATCTTTGCATTTATTGTTATTTACACGGAATATTTACTGAGTCGACATGTGCCCAGGCCGTGGAAATCCACGATGGAGGACCTTACTTCTGACACGGGGTGTGTTTCTTGTGTTGCTGCAGGACTCGGAGCCTCTGATTCACGCCGTCGTACGACACTGCGGCTCGGCTGTTCCTCCCGGTGCTGTGGTCGTACTGTACCCACCTGCCCTCCCACTGCAGCGGGGCGAGGCAGGGCCCTTTAGCCGCGGAGACTTCCACCCTGCGGAGGCCGAGGACAGAGGCCCATACCGCGGCGAGAAACACGAGCATGAGTCGGTGCATTGTGTCAGGGAGAAGTGGAGAGGGGAGGGAGATTATCCTGATGTTATTGTTGTTGTTAACGGGCTGCACCTGATGAAAACAAGCCCGTGATAGTAAGATCTCTATACATTTCCTGTTGATGTCAAAATAAAAGTTTCTATGCTCCCTTTCAAATTAAAAGATAGGAAATAAAATGTAATCCTTTTTTAAAATCCTTAAATATTTCACAGTGAAAGCATACAAACACACGAAAAAAAACAGTTTTAAAACAGAAATGAGATGACTATCATTATTTTACTCAAAAGAGATTTTTAAACATCTCTTTAGGACACAAATTAACCGATTGATATCAACTTCGCGTTTTTTTTACAGGGTCTTTAAAATTACATGGAAAAAGGTTAAATATTAAAATCTTAATTTAATCACATTTCTCTTAACATTTTATTAAAATTTATGCTGCATTCAAGTTACTTCGGGAGTTAGATGTCGTTGCTGAAAGTCACGTCTGACCCGAGTTACCAGCGTTTCAGTTACAAAGTCGGAAAAAATCAAAATGGCTACAGCTACGAAAAGTTATTTTGGCGTATGCCTTTGTCCTTGCTTCTATTCGGTAAACTCAAGCGCTAAAATAACTTTCGTAGATGTAGCCATCTTGTTTCTGCCTCTGATTTGCTTTTTCCGACTTGGTAACTTAAACGCTGGCAACTCAAGTGCGACGTCATTTTCAGCTACGACATCTGATTTTCGAGGTAACTCGATCGCAGGATTATATTCAACCATAGACAGTATAGAAAGGACGCTATCTGCCTCCTCGAAGCCAATCCGAGAACAGCACCCTCTGGTGACGGGCTGCAGTATAGGTCATAAATCCCGCCTCCTCCGGCAAAGCTCATGGAGCTGTGGACAAACTTTAGAAATTTATTACACAGAATATAAATGTTTCTCCCCCCTGGTTGTGATGTTGACATGTAGTTACTGTCAGACTGTTTTGTGTTCAAGTCCTCTTTTTTCTGTACAGCTCAGTTTTTAAAAGTTATTAGGGGGTTCATTTTTTCTATGATTGACACCTGATACAGCCTATGGGCGTACGAAGATTGTATAGCTCACCCAGGGGACGAATGACGCTATTTTTTAATGCTTTGTGTTCGTCTAAAAAAAAGATAAATTCATAAATATTCAAATATTGCACTTTACTGTCTGTACTTATAGTTGTGTTTTTCCTCCCTACCGCTAGAGGGCGGCTTCACTGTCTATTTACTGCCTCTGCTCGGCGCAGGATAATCACGTCTTCCTGTCAGCCGAGCCAACATGGCGAAGAAACAACGTGGGAAAACAGTTTCGTCCTCAAAAACAGCAAAAACCGAAGCACAGACGAAACATTTTAGTTTGGAGGTTGAATCCAGCGACGATGAGGCGCCCGAAGAGGTGACGTTCGAGGACTCGAAGAGTGAAGCTTTACGGAGCATGAAACAGGCGCTGGACAGAGCCAGGAGGTAGGAGGGAGACCCCGGCCAGCCAAACCCCGTTCAAAAAATTCTGGATTTAGTGGTGTTCGCGCTGATAGGCGTGTTAAATACACAGCAGCGATACTTAAAACATATATTATGATTCTATATGGAGTTGTTTTCTAATCGGTGAAGCTCTTTATGAAATTACAACAGTAGAAATTTAATAAATTAATCTCTCAGATCATCACGAAACACGAGAAGTTGTATTTAAGGTGTCAAAGAATGTTTTTTATCCTATGTTTTCAATTGCGTGTTTTTAATATGAATTTTCTTATTACCATTATGGAATTTTTAAATACTTGATTCTGATTGGTCAGTGTGTCATAGCAACGGTCTGTTATTGCTCGATAGCGCAGTTGTTCTGCAGTAATGGTAGACTACAGCACAAGAAATTTAGTAGCTTGTTGTTTACTATTCCAGTCTGCTTTAATAACCTGTTCACTATTCATGGTCTTGAGTTAATATCTGCACCAGCTGTTTAACATAAAACCAGAACTACAGTGAGCACTTTTGTTGTGTTTCTGTTAAGATAAAAAATAGTTGTGTGTTTGCAGAGAAAAGGAATTACTGAAAGAAAAAAGACGGAAGAGACAGGAGCTGTTCCAGGAGCAGAAGGTGAGATTTAAGGACTGAAATTAATGCTTTATTACTGCCTAGAAGACGTTCAGTCGGAGGTTATCTCATGAGTTAAGATAAGAAACCATGTAGACATAACAGCAGACAAATGTGTTAATTTAATGATCTTCTCTCGGCTCTTTCTCACAGAAAAGAAAACTTCTACCTGTAGATGTTTTGGAAGAAATCGACTCCACTCCCTCAAAGTAAGTTTACAGTTGCGATCTGCCTTATTGCTTCTTTCCTGTTCTTCTCCTCGATGACCCCTGACCTCTGTTTGATTTTGCAGAAAGCAGAAACAGTCTGAAGATGAAGGTAAAGAAACTCATTTTTACACAAAAATTACACCTAATATTCAGCTGTGTAGACTAACCTCAGTTTGTTTCCTCTCTGTGAAGAAGAAGAAGAAGAGCAGCAAAAAGGAGAGGAGAAACCGACGAAGAAGAAGAAAAGCGGGAAAAAGGCACATAGTCGAAAGTACGTAAAAGTACATCTTTGGAAGCTCAAGTGTGAAGAGGTTTAACACGAGGATGAGAACTGTTTGTTTTAGTGTTTCTTAATTTTCAGCATTTTTATATACATACTAAAATAAAGGTAGAATGAACTGGTTTCTGTTTATAGTCTGAGTAGAATATTGACCAATCAGGAATCAGCAGGTGTACAAGGGGGATGTTCTGTATGGAGAGCAAAAGCAGGCAGAACGCAGTCCAGCATGAGTCAGCATTTATGGGGGTTTCGGGTCGTAGTTGTCTTTTAGTTGGAGACGTTTCGCACCGTTGATATGAAAACCTGAGATAGTTTTTATAGTTTGGTGGTGTTATGATTATTTGTAGTAGTTGGTTTTTGTGCTTTATACAGTCTGGTGTTTTTTTTTTGCTAATGATCTGACTCAAACTCTCGGTGAAGAGCTCTTAATTCTACATCCTCTGTGTCCGAATAGATTTATAGATGAACATTGATCAACATGTCACTTCTGTATCACTTGGACTTTTCTTTCTCTGCTTTCTCACAGGGCAAAATAAAACCGTGATGTAGTTTGTTTTGTGTTAAATTCATGTTTAGTTGGACTTTGTGTCTGCGGTTGAATTTTAGAGACCCGGTTTAAGTGACTGAACTGTTTGTCTCTGCGTTCGTCAGTCTGAAGGGAAACTACACAGTGATGACGGTAAAAGATCAAACCTTGAAGACCTGCCAGCAGCGGGCAGCTGAAGACTTCATCCAGTCCAGACTGTACGGGCCGGGAAGCTGCAGGACCACAAGTAAGAGAGCTCGATCACACTTTGCTCGCACACTGAAGGTGGCGTGAGGCCTTAAAGTGTACGATCTAAACCCTCAAAGACCTTTTAAATTCTTTTGTCTTCACACACTCAAACCGAAACTACAAAATTCACACTGAGAAGCTGCTAGGTATTTCCTTAAGACTTACTGACCCATGTTGTTAGAGAGATCTTGAGCTGAGGAGGTGTGTTGAATCACCTGGAGATGTTCCTCTGATCACTCACAGACGTATCAAACCCACAGCAGAACATGGTTTAGGGATCGTTACAGGACTGTTTGAGGGTCAATCTGGAGACACTGGGATACGGTGTGTTTGACTAAAACTTAAATTTACGCCAGAATATTCCTTTTAAAGATCCAGTTTAGAGTGAATTCAACCAATAAGGGAACTGGTTAGGAACCAGGCATGTGCACCTGAACTGTTCATATCTTTACACAGTAGTTCTGTTGTATCTGGATTTTGTTTGCAAGCTACACTCTGTGGCAGAAGTCTGCAAAGACCGTGATCTGTCTCAATTTGAGCTTTGCTACAGAAACGTCTGTCCGATCCGCTGAAGTGTCCGCTCCTCTTGGACTCTTTCTGATGAGAGGACAGCGACATTTCGGCTCTAAACTCGACTTTCAGCCTTCATCATAAAACGTGTTTTAAAGGTTTTGTCTGTTTTCAGATAATGAGATGCTCTCACTCCAGAACAAGAAGGGGGCGAATAAAAGTGCCGCCGTGCAGTTTGTCAACAAAGACTGGGGTGAGTTCAACGTTTCGAAAGTCTTCATCTGTATCTGCTCAGATGAAACCGTCGCCGTAACGTCACTTTTCTGTTTGATTTTCCAGCCTGTAAAGAAAAAGCCAAAGCAGAGAAGCAGAAGAAGAGGTGGGTCCACAAGCAGCAGGTTTCCTCCAGCTGAAAAACTTCGTTCTGATCCAGTCAGGAGACGATCCGGTCCAGGGACGAATTTGGACCTTAAGTCAAACTGACTGTGGGACGATACTTAAGAGAAACTGAGTTCACTTCTGTTTGTTCTAAAGCAGAACGTGACGATGAAAGAAACAGACTTTTATATGTTGACCTTCAAACTGAAACCTTACCTGACCTTTTTTCTTCTTTATTAATAAAATGTTTTGAGTCTTTTGAGTGTAAAAACGTCAGGAGTACAAACTGTACTCAGAGGTTCCCTGATCCATACCCGCCACAGTCAAATAAGAATGATGAACAGTTTTAAGTTTTGAGGTTTTCTGTTGACGACTGTGACGATGGCGGAAAGAAAAATAAACTTGAGCCTGAAAACTCATTCTCAGAAGATTTAATACTCAGCAGGTCCTGAAGCTGATGTGAGCAGTGAAACAGACTGTAGTTTGAGGTTTTTAAAAGGGTTAGTCAGTGTTTAAGAAAGGAGAGCGACAGAGTGAGATGTTTTCATAAACCAGAGAGCGGTCATGTCGTTCTCCTCAGAGCCTCCAGACTGCAGGGATGAAGCAACTAACTGTAGAGCAAAAGTGCTGCTCGTCTACAAAAAGAGGATCAGAGGCACTAAGGAAAGATCTCTGGATCTGATTATCCTACAGCTGAATTCTGGTCTAAGGAAAGTAAAAGTACAGATGAACATTTTTTTACTGAGTTTGGCTACGATATCTCTCTCTTAAACGTCTGACATTTTTCTTGATAACCAACTTTAATCTGAAATTCTGTCTTAATATTCTGAATTTTTCTGAAAAGTTTCCTTTGAAAAAAAAAACTTTTAGGAGTTAGTATTTCAAAAGTATTTTTCTGAATTTTGGACTTTTTACTGATCTTTTAAAATTTTTTTAAAGGTTTTTCAGCATTTAGAGAGTTCCGATCCGAGCGCTTGCCTTGTCCGAACATACGGCAAGTGCTAAAATAACTTTCATAGATGTAGCCATCTTGTTTCCGCCTCAGATTTTGCTTTTTTCCGACTTGGGAACTGAAATGCTGGAAACTCGGATGTGACGTCATTTACAGCTACGACATCTGACTTCTGAGGTAACTCGAACGCAGCATCTGCAGGGTAAGACAAAACTCTCAAGGAGTCGAATAAAAGAGACGTCAAACAAAGAAAACAGCCGGGGCGACCACAAACTGCAACACGCTTACAGGCTTCGGTGAAGCTGTTATTCTCTACGAAATGCAAAGATGCTAACCTTTTTACTCTACAGAGAAATTTTATGATAATTTAACCACTTAAGCTGCGTTCCAGTTCTACTCTGAAGTCGGGATTTCCGACTCGGAAAGTCGGATGATCCTCTCCAACCCTGACTTGAGGATAACGTCATAATTAAAGATGGCAGCGCAGTGCATCAACAGTAAAGAGTAACAGTGAAAGTTCTCGTAATGTTTTATGTATCAGCACTTCTGTTTTGTTTTTGTGAAATTAAATAAGTGGTTTATGTTGTAATTCTTACATCTAACTGTGAACACAGTGCTATGGAGTTTGTAAGAGTAAAATACTGTGCTATGCGTTGTTTACAACTGGTGTCACTAACAACAGCTATCAACAGCTGACAGTGGCTAATGACGGCTGACAACAGCGAACAGTAGGCGTCCATCTTGGTGTTCCGACTTGTTAACTGGAAGTGAGATTTTTTCCCCTAGGATGAAATAGGGAAATCCACGAAGCCCCCGACCCATCTGATTGGTTCCTACAAAGTCTCTCACTTCCTCCTCAAATGCGCCCCCTCCTGTTTTAAAATTTCACTGCAGTTACATTGCCGCCCGCCCCCTAACCAATCAAATGGGTTGGGGGCGTGGATTTCCCTACTTCATCCTGGAAAAAAAAATCTTGCTAACTGGGACGCCGTCAACTCGAGTGTAACATCATTCCCTGCTCCGACTTCCGAGGTCACTGCGACGCAGCATGAATAGACTGGTACAAATAGTGTTGCCATGGAAACACAACCGATCATCAAAACTGGAGGCCTCTTTTTTTAACGGCCAAAATGAATCTTTTAAAATTAAAAACTAGTGACAGTGATAAATAAAACCCTGACTGGTCACTTGTTTTTGGCTTTTTTTTAAATTTCATGATCAAATTAAAAATATTGATCAATTAAAGCAAACTATGATTAAGTCCTTTACTTGAAAAATGCCAAAATGATGATAGGTTCAAGTTAATTTTAATGATAAAATAATCCAAGTGTCATAGAAAGTCTGTTTTGTCATTTTAAGAGGCACAAACTACATCAAAATAAAACTGTTCAAGAACAAACAAGCACATCAAAACATGTAAATAAACATTTGAGAAGACCAAACTTCCACTCGCACAAAAATTTGAGTGCATTAAGTTGTCTGTGCAGGATATCGAGTGATCCCAGTGGATCTGTTCCCAGGACAGTTTGTCCTCCTTCTGCTCCTGAAACTCGTCCTGTTGATGATAAACGGTCTGGACCCTCTTCTGTTTGTGTTTTCCAGGATACTCTTGAATCTGAATCTGAGCGAGTGCTTCCCTACAGGGAGCGTAACATCATTTCAGATTCCTTTTTCATGATGCAATGAACATTCCCACATGTTGGTGTGAGCGAGGGACTTTCACAGGCACTGCAGGCCAAATGAAAAAAACAAAAAACAAAAAACAAAAACACCAGATTCAGCCTGTAACAGCTTAAAAAAGAATGTTACCCAAATGTATGGAAGCCCAAAGCGGACATACATCTGTCTGTTATGTTTACGCTATGATATTCATGATCATTTTTACTGACAGATACGTACAAAACACATTTTTAAAACATCGGGTCTGGGAACAGGTCAACGCCAGGAACCACCTTGTGGTTGTTTTCTTAAACTCTTGACTGATTTTTCTTGTTATCTTGACAAAAAAAAAAAAAACATTTTCTTGTGATAACATGATTATTCCTGGCAGACAAGAAAACAAAACGACAGGCTGTTACTGCAACAGATTTAGTTTATTTCTGAACTTTTAAAAAACGTTATTCTTTATTTGTCTCAAAAACATTAAAAAATGTAAATAAAATTATATTTATAGCTAGTTTACCAAATAAGTTAGGAAAAAAAGAGGAAAACACACTGCTGAAGTGTCCGAGAAGGAGCAGAAAGAAAGAACAGCTTATGCGTTACAATATCAGGTTCATTTACATGCAACTTTTTAAATTTAACAGTGACTAAATGGCAAAAACATATTAATAATAATGATCTAAAATACACAAAAAATTCAAATGGTTAACGTACTCATAGATAAAAAGTCACTAAAATACAGATAATAATACACTGATATTAGTTAAACATAAAATCAGAACGACTAAAGGCTAGTTGTGGGGTTCCACAGGGCTCAGTTCTAGGTCCCCTTCTAGGACCTTTTTTTTTTTTTAAACTTTTTTTAAAATTTATTATTTCATTTGTTATTTTTAAGGGTTTTTCAGTATTCAGAACGTTCCTGAGTTAACACACCCCCTTTAACTCATAATATTGACCTATTTATGAAATTTTTTTTTCTTTACCCCCCCACACACACAAAAAGATATTTTATTAAAAATTGAAAATAATAATTATCAAAAATTCCTGACTGTTGAGACTTTTCTGAAATTGTACTTTTGTCAATAATACAATATTGTTTGTTTTTCTCTTAAATGACTTTTTTCAGAAAAAATGTAAACTCATTTTTCAGAATTTGAACTTTATCCTAATTCAGTTTTTTTTTAAACCAGACTTAAAATTCTTAGTGGAAAAAGTTATTTTTTAATTTCGCTTTCGAAAAGTTGAACTTGTGAATGCTGGTGTAGTGTTTCGCAATAAGTAACTTTTTTTTTGCATCGCCACTTTTTTGCGTCAGTAACTTCCACTTTTTTATCCGCACAATTTCTTTTTTTATTAGCAGCGGGATTTGGTTTCTTTTTTTTGCGTCAGTAACTTCCGTTGTGGCAATCTTTTTTTTTTTGCATTCTTTTTTTATTTTTAGCCGTGGCAGTTTTGGGCCACCATACAATTTTGTACAGTTGTACAGTGCAGTTACTGTACAATAAAGCTTAAGTTGGACACCTTATAAAAAGGGAAAACTACATGGTGATCTGGGTTTCTAATGTGAGAAAATGTGCTTTATTTGGAGCCGATTTGTCATTTTTCAGCCCACCTCAGTTGGTCTTCTGTACCCTCTGTCCATTCTGTGTATGTATTTCACATTCCCATAGGAAGTGAGTGGAGCTGCTCTCAGCCAATCAGATTTGCGGATCAGGCTCCGACAACAAACAAAAGATCGAGGCTAGCTGAGCTCATTAGACTTTGTCGATCCGTCTAGCCTAACGTTAGTTGTTTCTCTTCTCCCAACATCGACCTTCTCCTCTGCCTTTTAAACACTTTATCCTGAATCGACGCGGCACACAGTTCTCATCCAGTGTCCGTATTTGTGGTTTTGTGTCAGCTAATGTCAACCCGAGCTTGTTTCTGCGGTCGCTCCAGCTAAAACGCGTTAGCTTCTCTTTGCTAACCCGAGCCAGTTTTGACACTGACTCACACTAACGGCCGCGGCTTGTTGCTGACAAGCCAGTACAGTAAAAGAGTCGCGCCGAAGCCATGTCCGGTCAGTCGTCAGGGTGCGGGTTTCTGATGTCGGTGGTCGTTCACGGAGACTCGGCTCTGAACGAGCAGGAAAAGGAGCTCAACCAGCGGCTCCGACGGCTCTACCCAGCCGTTAACGAAAACGAGACCCCGCTACCCCGTTCTTGGAGCCCGAAGGACAAGTTTAGCTACATCGGCCTGTCCCAGAACAACCTCCGTGTGCACTACAAAGGTATGACACGACAGACACACTCGAGTTTAGCACTTTATCGCCTAATGCTAACGCCAAATCTGCTAATTTTAGCCTAGCTTTACGGTTAGCGGATCAAAACCAGCTGCTGGTGTTCTGACGGATTATGCGCCCTGTCGAAATGTACCTTAGACTGTTGTGCGCATGCGCTTTGCCATTGCCTGAGATTTAAACACCACATAAAGAATGAAAATACTCTAGAAATGACAATCGAAATGATGGATTTAGTAGTTGAATATCCTCTGTATTTTCCTTACACTCTGATAACATTAACGGAGTGATTATTGGTGTATGTTAATTACTCATTATTACACGATAATATGTACAAGTCTGTCATTAAACCCTTGAATCCAAGTGTTTTAATCGAGTTACTTAACATATTTTAATGACATCAACCCCTGTCTGTTTCTGTCAGATTTGACAGCCTTTTGCTACCGTTGGCTTTTTTTGACAAAGCAGCACAATTCATCGGAACACCTCCGTGGCTAAAAACAAAGTAGGCTAGGCTAGTAGCTTCATCAACAACAAGGCAGAGGACATCTTGCAACCCGACCAGCTGGCGAGGTGTATCCGCAGCCAAAATTGACCTACTAGCTCGTTAGCTTCTCGGCTAAGCAGTGAAGCAGTTTGTCAGCTGTATTAACTGTCATCATACACCTTTATTTACCGTGGATCAATGCTGCTAATGTTAGAAATAGACTAATATTTCATGTCATTCAAGAATCAGCCGTACACAAAGTGCATATAAGGCTGCTAAGGCTCGATATGAGTCACATAATCGTTGCTCAAACGCTAGCCGACATGGCCAAGGGCTAGACAGCCTTCTTGGTAGGGCAATGTTGCATGAATAGGACGTTAAATAACACTGCACACACGCTCAGAGTGATTAATATGTACTTGGTTTAGTAGACGTGGATGACAGTGTTGGTATTGGCAGGCCACTGCTGCTGAAGGATCCGTAATACTCAGAGTTTGCTCTGACATTGTGGTGGACGACTGTCATAGCAAAGATATCCAAAGGTTTTTTTTTTTTTTTCAGTGAAGGCCTACGAGAAAAGGCTAGAGTAAAAAAAAAGGTGTAACAGTGCTTCCTGGGTGTGTTCTACTATTCTGGGTCTAACCGGCCCTCTACGCTCTCTCTTCCTTGTTACAACTAGAATGTTCCGTCTCTTTTTCACTGACTCACCTGAATCTCTTACAGCAGGTATATACAGATGTTGTGTATGTTGTATTTATCATCCACTGTATACTGCAAACTTTTACTGGACCCCTAACACATAAAATCCCGTCTTTAAGACTAAATATTAGAGTTTAATGTCATTTCAATTTGGCTTGACTCTAACCTTTTTCACAAGGAGCAAACAAAGAACTTTACAAAGTACTATTATTTGAAATTCATTTTAGGTCAATTGGTCATATGACATGGTAGCTATTGAAGGACAACAGCCTTTTTTGAGAACATCAACCGGTAATTTATTGATGGTCCCTTATTTAACACCTGATGTTGACAGCGAGGGTGCCGAGTAGATTTTACTGCGCTCTTGTCGCTATTCCAGGTTATGAGAAGACAGCGTTAGATCCACAGTAAATGTCCAAAGTAGGGATGTAACGATATGCACATTTGACATCACAATTATTGTGACCAGTATTTATCACAGTTTAGTTGGAATATGTTCAAAATGTTAAAAAAAAAGTGCTCATACACGCTCTGAAATCATTTAAGAAAGTTTTATTTTGAAAAAACAATCAAAATAAAACGCAGAATGAACTTTTCCTGAACCTTAAATAACAGAGGAACAATAAGTTTAAAAAATTAAAGATGGGGCCTTAAAAGAGCCAGAGGTCATCAACACTAGTACTAGTAATAAAGTACAGAGTAATGTGCCAGCGACATAAACATGAACGTAATAACAAATAAATAGAATTTAAATAAAATGGCATTCCTTATTGTGCAAATTGTACGAATTTTCAGTGCTCATAAATATCGACTTTTACAAATATAAAACAAAGCAACACAACTATATGAAACAATACAACCACATGTAAATAAATGTGTAGTGCAGGTTTTTAAAATAACATAAAATATGTAAATAAATCAAATGAATGAAACCGATATCCTCTCGGATGGCACACTGGTCTCTGGGACGCACAAAAGCTTCCTAGCAACCCTCTTGACCCTTTGTAGAAGCCGAAATACGCCCAGATTTTGGACTTTGTTTCCTTTGACAGCAGAAAAATCTCTGAACTGCCCACAAAACTGCCCTCCACCATGTTTACAAGTTGTATACTGTGTAATGCGCATGCGTGCGGCGCGCCTGAGTCCGAAGGACTGCTGCGTGCGGCTGCTCTTCTAAAAACTGAGCATCACTGTGAGCTTTCCCAGAGTGCAGCAATGAAACACAGTTTTAACGGTAGTCATAATTTGAAACCGTAGTACTAACCGTCAGACATTTTACAGCGGTTTATCATTTTACCTGTAATCGTTGCATCCCTAGTCCGTAAGATATCCAACCTAAAATAAACTGCACCACAGTGTAGATTTAACCGCGCTGCTTTTGCCATTACCGGTTATAGAGAGTTAGAAGACACCGGAGTGAATGTTCATCAAATATCCAACCTAAAACTAACTTCACCACGGTATTTACGTGAAAAAACATTTGTTGCCTTGACTAATTTTTTATCATGCGCACATGTGCCCTTAAATACGTTTTACAATTTGCACGAATCTATTTTTAGTCGCAAATGCGAGTGAAACGGTCGCACTGTCGAGCCCTGCCAGATCTTGATTTTGTTTCCAGTATTTATGGAGAGTAAAAATATGGAATAAAATAAAACATCGAATTGGCTCTTTAAGGTCCTTACACACCGGGAACGATGCAAATATACAACATGAAATATTCAGAGGTGAATTTTGTGAGCGCTGATGTGAACACTTGTATTGACAGGATACGGGTTCTAAAAAAAATATTGACGTCCGAAATAATCGCATGAAAAAAACGCTCCCGGTGTGAAATGACCTTTAGACTGTCTGAAGTGACCTGAAAACTGTCGAGGATTTTGATTAAAAATCAACATCAATCTTGCTTAAAACAGATCTCTAAACTCTCTAAAAGCATATTTTAGATATAAAATGCAGTAAATATAAGTCAGTTGTCTACTTTACGTTACTGAAGAACATCATTTTTTTTGGTTTACACATCCAAATACATGCCACCAAAACTCATGCTAACACATTACACAGAGAGACACTTAAAATAGACCACCCCAAATATAAACAGACACAGTAAAGCTGCATCGATGGAGGGTACCGGGTTATTCAGGGAACCATCTGAGGCAGCAGGCTGACTTGGAAGTACTTCACTGATTCAGGTACTTAATGCCAACTGGGTTAAACCATTTTTCGTAGTTTTCTTTTCACATGAGACTCCACACCTTGTCCCGGAGGCAAAAGCTCAAAGTGGTGATTTAACAGACTGCTGTGGTTTTCTAAAATTTAGCCACTTCGTCTGAAAGGCCGGAAACAAACAAAGCTGACCCATCATGGTGGAAATGTAGTCCACCACCTCTTTGTAGACCTGATTTGTTTACTTCAGTATGAATGCGAGTCCAGCTGGACTTTGTACCCGAGTGTGATGAGATCTTACTACAGCTGTGATCATGGCAAGAACAGGAGACTGCAATAGACCCGCTTGTGCAATTTGGTGCATCAATGATTAGTTTGAGTCGAGCGTAGCCGAACTTTCAGTGTGCCGTCCACAGTGATCCTCCTCAGCTTTTTGATGTAACTGGGGTAATATTATCATAGCACCAGGGATCCAACTCTAACTAACGAACTAACTTGGTCATATTGGTGGTGATTACTTGATTACTGCAGCTACATAATGTATATAACCATAGACTGTATATAGAATGGACGCCGTCTGCCTCCGAGAACAGCACCCTCTGGTGACGGGCTGCAGTATAGGTCATAAACCCCGCCTCCTCCAGCAATTCCTATGGAGCTGTGGACAAACTTGAGAAATTAATGACACAGTATATAAATGTTTCTCCCCCCTGGTTGTGATGTTGACATGTAGTTACTGTCAGACTGGTTTGTGTTCAAGTCCTCTTTTTTCTGTGCAGCTCCATTTTTAAAAGTTATTAGGGGGTTCATGTTTTCTATGATTGACACTTGATACAGCCTATGGGCGTACGAAGATTGCGTAGCTCACCTGGGGGATACGCTGTTCGAGCCGAGTGTCATCACAGTAACTCTACTGCCAAATGCGTACAACGCTACTACGCAACGTTGGTTTCAGGAAGTGGAGAAAAAACGCAGAATTACTGACTCCGGCATTGAAACTTGGAATAGAAATTTTAATGGTTCCAGGAGAATCGAAATGTTAGTCCCAGTCCCCATCGATGCTTGAGACTTGATGCCCAACCCTAGTAACAAGTCTTTACGTGAGCCTGAAGATGAGTCATGATTGATAAGTAAGACAGCTGCTTTGTACAAAGTCGACACACAGTCATATTTGTCTTTTATTGTTCTTCTTAGATGTTTTGACTTTGCTCGACCATGTCCTCCATTTTTGTAGAATAAGGTTACCGTGTTAGTCCACTGAGGTCAAGAGTGCATGGATCGGTCTGGTCTGTGAGGGTTAACCTACCTGAACCTGCTGAGACCCTGCGTCTGTCCTAATCATAAACTCAGCTGAACTCAGACCTCTTGGCCCTTAGCCGTGGACTCTTGGTCTGCCACCCTGTGGTCACAAGAGCAAAACACACAGATCAGTGTTGATTCAAGATGGCGGCAAAATCAACCAAAATGTTGAACAGCGAGTCCACCAAAAAACCAGTCAAGGTACAAAACCACTTCAGATTTCTGATTGAAACTTAATTATTGATACTTAGTAGAGTTTTTAGTTTGATAGGACACACAAGAACTTACTGACTGACACCATACCTGATTTACAGACTGGTCTGCACCTGACCGGTGGACTGACACCATGACTAACTCTCTGGCTGACTGACTGCTCCTGAATGAAATTATTTTCCAAATCGACCAAATCACAGACCACTCTGTTCGGGTTCAGGGTGTTGACATGAGGAGTTTCTATTCTGGTTCTGTTGTCATTTCCATGATTAGATATCTGTGTAAACAGATCACAAACCTCGTGGTTTGGATTGGATCTGGGTCATTGGTTCGTTGAAGTGTCTGTATGATGTAATCCCATTTTCTTTTTATTTGTTTGCTCAGCAGATTAGATAGTTGTCATAGAGTTAGTATTAAAGTTGGTTATTATGTAGTTAATTATGCAGAGAGTGAAATACATGACATGTCCATACAGTAGACAGCAAATTTTACTGGTGCTGATGGGAATCATACATGGACGGACTGTCTCCTGTGGTCAAAACCAGCCGGGAAACTCCAGGAAAAGTAAAACAGAAACTCTGTATTTTATAACTTACTAATTAATGCACGATATTGGAAAAAAATAATATTGCGATTTTTTCAACCCTGCGATATATATTGCGATATTAAAAATACAGGAATTTTCACCAGATGACCTGAATAGCACTTAATGTTATGCTGCACCGCTGAAATCTTGAGGACAGTTAATCTGCTCTGATCTTACCTCTTTTTGTGAATGTTAGTAGAACGGCTTCTGTCTGTCTCAGAGATATTTTTAGCTTTTATTGTGCTGGGACGTTATTGTGGCAACAGATGAACACAGAAGACGTGTTTTAGTCAACATCATCCATCTTTTAACCGAAATAATTCCAGATAACTGACTTTCCTTTTCTTTTTGGCAACAAATCTTCATTTTCGGTGGTTTTCGCTTGTTCGTTGCCGAGAAACGCATGTCCTCCGAGAATTGCATGCACCTCGCAAAACGCGCACTGCTTATAGTAGAGTGGTCCACGGAAATGTACAATTTAAAACCCATACAGTTCTTATTTGTTGGGCTTAACAGTCAGTAAAGTTCCGAAAGTAATTCTCAGCGGACACACGTCTGCCTCCATGTGCAGAACATGTGCAGGGGTGGGTTTCCTCCTCCCTGATTTTGATTGACAGCTGGCAGGGTAGTCTGATTGGCAACTGAGAAGTGAGTCTGATTGGCAACTGAGTTAAGGACGAAGGCGATTGGTGGATCGCTGCAAAGCACATGCAGAGTCACATGGAGTGTATCTCAGTCGGTTACCCTTGAAATTAAATGAGTTCATTCATCTCCAATATCGCAGGCTCTGCGATGTGACTATCGCACACACGTACATCGCGATGACGATAGTCAAACGATATATCGTGCAGGCCTATAACTTACTAATTAATAACCTTTTAATTAAAAACACAGAGATATGATTCCAGATATCTGGAAATAACTGATTCAAACTTCACATCCTGAGGCCTCTAAAAGACTAATAAAGATAACTGAACAGAACCCATGATTTAGTTCTTCTTCTTCTGGCCCTGTTGGTGTTTAATGCTGATATTTATAATGAACAGATAATTATCTAAGAGTTACCACATTTAAATGTTTGAGGCTGTAATAAAAGTGTAATGTTATCATCATTTAAACACTCCTGTAGGTCTGTTTCTGATAACCTGAAGGTCGTGGATTGTGGATGAAACTCGTAGAGTACATTTTTCACTCCTTGACATGTTTTAGATGAAATGGTAATGCAGGAAGATGAACAACCCAACAAAACTGTCAACAACTGCAGTTGGTGTGTTTGTTTTTTGTGTGTTCTCCTGACCTGAACCTGGATGGTGTGTTTATGAGGGGGGCATTTGTTAAAACAGAGGAGAAACGTTTATTCAGGTGTTTTTCATCAGCTTATCCTCCAGGTTTGAAGTATTTATCTGTGAACATCAGAAACCAGGATGAGAATATATGATTTAAACCAACACTGCAAGAAACTTTCAAATATTATAGATCATTTTTCTTATCCCAGCCCTGTTTTTTTGGTCTGCAGAGAATCAAACATATGTTTTTGATAAGCAAGATCATAAACTTCTGTTGTTTGTTCACCAGAGCTTCTTTCTTTCCAAACTATCTTCCTTTCTAACATCAAACTGCTGCACAAAAGGCTTTAGTAGGGAAGTTGTTGTTGTTGTTGTAGAAATCATGTACAGACAAATATTAATGACGATGCAACGATATTTTGTTCCAGCCCTCAAAATTCTTCTTTGAACAGCTGTTTACTTAATTTCATCCAATCAAACAACAACTTCTGTGGATATTTAGCATTTTCTCAGCCTCTTCTGTACATTCATAAAAAGAGCTTTTATCACGGTGTCACGACGTGTTCCAGGATCCTTCGCCCTAAAAGAGCCGTCGTTACTCTGAAACAAGTCTTTTCCCACGTGATCTTTCTGCAAACATCCATAAATTCTGCTCTCCCTGTACACTGAAAGGTTGTCGATTTACCTGAAAAAATATTGGGACAAGCTTCTGGCTGTTTCCTCTTCTCTACGCACATTAGGTTGTAAAATTTCAAAAAGCTGCTCATCTCGATTTATCTGCTTTTCTGATCATTTTGACGTGTTTGTTCAGGGCAGTTTTCCTTCACTAATAAAACACACAGTGGGGGGGTCGCACAGTGGAAAACCAAAGAAATCTTTAACACACACTGGAGATGTTTGACCTGCTGCTTTAACACTGTTGACCAGGTAGATAATGACTGTTGGTTTAATTTAATCTCTTCAACGGCTATAAATACACACAGTCCTACAAAGAAATTAATGATGACAATGAGACAAAAAAGAGAGAATTATTACCGCTCTGTTTGGATCATATGTTGTTTTAATTTTTAATGTCATGTGTCTGTTTCTCTCACCTGCAGGTCATGGAAAAACCCCCAAAGATGCAGCCTCAGTACGGGCCACCCACCCTATCCCAGCAGCCTGCGGAGTTTACTACTTCGAGGTGAAGATCATCAGCAAAGGCAGAGATGGGTAAGGACGTCTCATTCATTCATTTCTGCCACTAACATACCACACGACAACAATCAGCCGGTCGGCCATGTTGGATGTACCGGTGAATCTGACGTTGCAACAACACGGAATCTGATTGGTCACACAGTATGCGAAACTTTAGAAAAGTCGATCATGATCCGAAAAAATATAAATGCTGCAATATCTCAGGACGGGAAAACGTCGCTGATGTGAACGCTTGTATTGACAGGATACGGGTTCGGAAAAATTTTGATGTCCGAAATAATCGACGAAAAAAATGCTCCCGGTGTGTAACGACCTTAAGTCGGAAAAAAGCAAAATTGGAGGCTAAAGCGCTTGTCTTGTCCTTGCTTATATTCAGGCAAGGCAAGCACTAAAGTAACTTTCGTAGATGTAGCCATCTTGTTTCCGCCTCCGATTTTGCTTTTTCCCGCTAGAAACTCTGGTGTGACGTCATTCCCAGCTCAGAATTCTGACTTCTGAGGTAACTCGAACGCAGCATAACTTACAGGGTAGAGTCGGCCTCGTCTGCAGAAGACTGTCTTGATTTAGATTGACCAAAACTTGCCAACAAACTCCTGCGCTCTTCAGATTTCATGTTTCTTTTCTGCGATTACAAATGTTCCACCCTGAAGAGGTGACCCCATGAAGCCCCTAAAAACACCCTGAGGTGGGGCGTATACTAGTGTAGGATTTTCCAAAAGCTGTGGTTAAAGTGTCAGGATACTTGAATCTTGCAGCAGTGAGTCATGTGAGCTCTCGGTTTGTGTTTCGCTGCTGTGCATTAACTTCAAAGCATGATGGGATGTTGGCTAACTGCATATGAAAACACAGTGTGCTAATAAAGCCTGATGTGATTTCCGCACTCGGCTCATAACCCGGCAGAGCTGTTGAGTAATGTTCATGGAACTATGAGAGCTCTGTGAGTGCGGCGGCGTGTTTAATACCCCACAAATGAGATGTCATAAATAAAACACAATGAGGACTTGAATTAGCGAACCTCTCTAACAGTTTTTCCTCTCTGCTGCGAAAACGATCAGATTTAGATTCGGTTAATCCTCACACTCGGCTATCATAACTCGTAAGCCTCTTATAATCAGGATTAATCATCGTTTTGCAAACTTAGTTTGGTAACAATGGGGGTTTTAGGGTCGATCAGTGTAATCTGGATTAACGTGGAGCCTTGTGACTCTTATTGTAGCTGCTGGTTATTTAACACATGAACTCATAGTGGCAGTATGACTAATCCACATACTGTACAGAAAACCCTTTAGATTGTGTTGGAGTAGAAAGTGAGCCGAACTTTAGCTGTAGGGGAGAGTGGGGTCAGATTAGCCATTTTTCATATTTCAGATCACTACATTAAAGCAATCCTAGTTTTGTCTCTAACTAGTGTAACCGTTATATTCCAAGATGTTGGTCATCCCTGCAAACCAATAGAATGAGTGTAAACAGAACTGTCTTGATAATATAGTATGGTCTCCTATGGTCAACTTACCCCGTATATGGTGGGGTAAGTTGACCCCCCCCACTCACCACCCCAACCCTCCCTCACCTTCTCTCTCCCTAAATAACAGTCACATCTTCACATTCATGTGTATTTTTATCCATTATACGCTATTCAACTGGTACAATAATTCTTTTTATTATTGTTGCATATAACTGCTAAAAAGCTGTTTTTGTAAAAATCCATTTTAAGTGATTTAGAACATTCACAGATCTGTATTTTGAAAAGAAAAAGTCAAACATTTCAACAATCTGAACTAAAACTCCAATCCTCATCAGACTCCTTTACTTTCTCAGTTACCCCTGAACTACTATGATGACTTTATTAGTCCTCTAAGATAAAATGGTGGACTTCGATGTTGTAACTCATAGATACCACAATTAATGTTTAAACAAATTTAAAATGATCTTTTTTGGTTTAAACACACTTATAATCAAAGTTATGACTAAACGCACTTTCCAGGGTGTAAGTAAAAATAAAAATAAATGTCTAACCTCTTCACTCATGTGCTTCTAACTTTCTAAGACTCCATGAATTGATGCTCATCTCCTAAATATTTGGTCACATGATCAATTTCTTTGACCATTTCCAAGCAACAGGGGGTGGCTCAACTTACCCCACTCTCCCCTACTTGTTTTTGATATAAATCATAAATCCAAACAGTTTTTCTATATTTCTCCAAGTCTGGATTCTCTCTGCTGACAAACCATCAGTCATGAGTCGGCAGTTTTTTTTTGTTTTTTCTCACTATAACATGCAAACCGTTTTCAGCGATGAGGGTTTATGAAAGGCTTGGCTGTCTTTCCTTCTTCATGCACTAATAAAGGAACATCCTCTCTTATTTTTTATTTTATTTAAGACTTAGAGACGTTCACTCTGAGTTCTGTTGGATATGGAGGTCACAGGGATGAATTAAAGCTGACCGCTCCGTCTCCAGTGAGTGTTTTTAACCCATCTGTCTGTCTGTCTGTCTGCTCCTCAGGTACATGGGCATCGGCCTCTCAGCTCAGGGTGTAAACATGAACAGACTCCCTGGTAAGACGACACTCTGTGTGCCTTTGGGTGTGGTGTGAAGAGCTTGTCTGTCAGTGTGTGTATATGTGTGTGTGTGTGTTCTTTAAGTGTATTATATAGATCTCTATTTGTGAAGGTGTCATTTTGACTGTGAACTTACAGGCTGAACTGTGGTTCTCTGGCTCCAAGTGTGACTTTGGGTAAGAAACTGTTCGTGTCAAAGAGTTATCTAATAGAGAAATACTTGAAAAACAGATTGTGCGGTACATCCAGATTTAACGCCCAAGTGAAGCAGGAAATGTTGGAGGTAGATGTGCTGCGGTTGGGAATCAAACCCGTCAGTACGTTCAGTTTTTATACGTGTAGTTAGGTTGATCTACGGTCAGAGCTGGACGAGGTAATTTAACCGGACATCTCCTCCTAATTTACATTCACTGAATCAAGTTATTGATGAGAGTACGTCTGCAACCGCTGCAGTTTGAAGCAACACAGCGTCATGTCAGAGATACCGACCAATGAGAGCTCAGAGGGCTCTGCATCTGCAAAAGTTACAAGAGCAAACAGATTTAATTCCAAAGATACAGGAACAGTCAGAAGACTCCTGCGACTCTTCCTGGAGTCCACATCCAACAAATATGACGTAGAATGAAGAGTTCTGTGTCCCATTATTTACTGCAGCTTTCTACTCAACTGCCCCGATCTCATTATTAATTAAAGCTCCTGTGAAGAGCGTTTCAACATTTATGAATCAGACTGGAGTTCATATCGATGCTTTTTTATTATATACAAACACAAAAAGGACCATCAGTGACCAAACCAGGATTTTTAGCGACTGAAACCAACGCAAGAGGAGGGTAGATGTCCGATTTCTGAGCATTACATATTACTAATACCTGTAGAAGACAAAAATTAGCAAAGACACCTCCAACTTCCATCGCAATCAGAACGGCTACGAAAAGGTTGTATCTACCAGTCGTAGCTGATTGTAACCATTCAAGTTAATGTGTCAATTTCTACCGGCTTCTTTCCATTCCGCTGCGGATCGCCAGATTTCGCAGCTGATCGCAAGAGTTCTATTTTTTCCGGACGCCAGAGCATGCCAGATAAATTCAGCACAGATTTGCGGGTTCTGGCGATTCCTGCTGTCTGTAATCTGCCATGAAGTTCGCCTCACAAACGGATCCGACAGGAATTGGCGGATGGCGAAAAATCGCTGCCGTTCCAGATGCAGTGGAAATTGGGGGACAGCTTTGTCCACAGGGGGCGCCAAATCTGACATTAACCGAAAGTCCCTCATAGGAGCTTTAATGTTTTTATTTTCGTGCCTTATTTTTGTGTTTATGGCTGTTTATTTCCTTTTAATTAATTTGAAGGCCTTTGTGGGTTTTATTGGTTTTTATTGCTCGTATCTTTTATTTCTTTTTAACGGTTTTGAAATGACCTTTTTTGTTTTATAATTCTCATTTTATTGCTTGTTTCTCTTTTTACTGCTTCTGCCTCCTCAGCTTCTTATAGCTTCTCGGTTTATGCTGCTCTGTGCTTACGTTGCTCTAAGGTCTCTTTGCTCATTCAGTCACTTTGACAAACCGGCCGCTGGCGCTCGCTCCCTTCGCTGTGCTGTCACACGGCGAAGACGCTGTCGGTAGATGTTCAGACGGGTGCTCTTGAGGTTATCAGGTCAAACAGGAGTCCCTCTGCCACTCTGAAAACCGCACCCACCCGGGGAGCTCTGGTCTCTTTGTATGAAGATAACAGGAGGCCCCGAGAAACTGCAGAGGAGCCAGCTGATGGATGGACGCTAATGAAAATGAACTAATTGTGAGGAACTGATGCCAAACTGCTTCAGCGTTGAGTGCTCCCTCTCAGTGATGAATGTGGCAGCGGCAGGATTAAAACTCTGCGGCTCAGCAGTAACTCACAGGATCCTGCCGCTCGGTTTCTAATGTTAAAACAGCCCCGAGGCCGGCTGTGCTGCTGCTGCTGCTGCTGCTGCTGCTGCAGAGGCTGCTTCCTCCTCCTCCTCCTCCTCCCCTCCCCGACAAACACATGAAAATGCTTTTGTGCTTAATTATCTTGAAATCTCACACACTAAGAAAGTAAGAGCTGTTGAAACAAGAAGTCCAAGCACAACAAAATTCAGAACTTCTTGGGGAATTTACAGATTAAATAAGGAGCTGGGGTGTAAAAAAGAAAACAAACAAACAAAGGTCTGCAGTCTGAAGGTGTTTGAATCAAAAGCCGAAGAGGGAAATGAGGTGAAAAATCAGAAATTCTGGGAGCATACCCAGCTGTTTATAAAAACAGAACGAGCTGCATCCCTCTGCAGTGTTGGAGAAAACAACAACAAGCTGTCCCGATGAGTATAGAAGAGCGGTTTTCAGGGTTCGCCTCACTTTGATGCCGTACAGCAGTCAGCCATGTCTGCAGCTGCACTGACGTTTGACGTTTCCCCGAGCGGAGCCCTGAGATCCCGCAGGTGTCCGCTTCACGGATCACTGAAACGCCCCGTGTGAATGAGAGTGTGCTTGTTTATGCTTTTGAATTAATCTAAAATCTTCTGTATTTTTTCCTCTTCGTGTCTGAACTGTCTGTCAGAATATAAGCAATGCATTCCTGCGACAGGTTGAACTACTTGAGGGGCCCAGTGTTTATTCTGTGGTACAAATTCTCACAGTCTTGATGAGTGCTTCTCGTTGTTTTTTAAGGATATTTTCTCCTGATAGGAGTCGGTAAACTTAGTAAGAAGACTTCTCATGGAGCAGCAGCGATTACAGACAAAGTATGATATTAAGTCTCCATAATCGTAATCACCTCCATCAGTCAGTGTTGAAATGTTGAACCCAAGTTTTTGTGGGCGTCGTTTTTCCAAGTTTCACTTTTGTTTCTTGTTGATTTTGGCGCCCCCTGCAGACAAATCACTCATCTGTGGCTGCAGTTAGAGGCATTAAAAGTTACAAAAGCAGTGTTGTCAGTCTAGTTTCTGGTGGTTTCCTCCTTATGAAGGCGTCGCTCTTTGGTTCAGTTCAGCCTGTTTTTAAAACAAGAGAAAAACTCCCCTCTGGAGCTTTTGAAGTTTTCATCTTAAAGGCACATTTCACTTTTTTTCATGGACAAAAAAACAAACAGAAAAAATGACAAAAAAAAATCCAAGAAAAATACTTTTTTTCTTCCTCGTTTGTCCCTCGGGGCTTCCGTACAAACCTGCTGTGTGTGTTTTTTTTTTTCACTCATGTTATTCCCTTTACATCACTCAGGTTGGGACAAGCACTCATACGGTTACCACGGAGACGACGGCCACTCCTTCTGCTCATCCGGCACCGGGCAACCCTACGGACCCACGTTTACAACGGGCGACGTGATTGGCTGCTGCGTTAACCTCATCAACAACACCTGCTTCTACACAAAGAACGGCCACAGCTTAGGTGAGACGCTCCGACACCGAACACTGAGCGGAGCCGAGGAAGAGGACCGTCTCTAGACTGTAATCCCAGATCTGTGTCGACACTTTTTCACTGATCTAGAGTTTGATGAAACTCATGGGTGTTACTATCGGTCATTTAGACACCCAAAGCTACGGGTTGTTAGGGGAGACCACTGACCATGCATGTGTTGAAAAAAGTCCAGATCACTAAAATTAAAAGTGATTTTTCATCGGACAGGGACGATGTGTTAGATACAGTAATATGCTGTTTTCCGATTATACTTCATTCGGCGATCTTCAGGGGGGGTCTAGTCATCAGGGAAATGGCGAAGAAAACTATGTTACTGTTTTTAAAACTCCTTTAAATCAAACTCAAATCAGACTCCCTGTTCGTGTGTCCGTGTTCTTCTAATTTCCTGGTTTTACTAAAAACAAACCCTCTACCCAGTCCAGTGCAAGTTTGTTTACTTGTTTTGTTGTTTCCTGCCCACACGCGGCCTGCTGGCTGCTGTCAATCAAACACAGAACCCTTCACCCCCCCTGCAGCTGACTACAAAAACAGACATTTGCTCTTTCCCAGCTCTACATTTGGAAACATGCTGGCAGCATGTCTGTGCGCAAATAAAGAAAACCGTGATTTTAGAGGATCTGTGGTGTCTGTGAGGGTGTCTGTGAGGGTTTACTCCAACCACCTTCACTGTCACCAGAGACCAGGTTTTCTTTGGGACTATTGGTACTTTATAAGAGTCGAGGCTTGGGTGTCAAGATCTAACTGGTTCCTGGTTTCAGAGGTTTGTAGATCCAATTTACGGTCGCTAACGGCAACATAAACGTTTCAGGATTAAACCTCAGAGAGGATTTCACAGGCTGGAGAAGTACGACTTTTTACCTGCTGTGCCAACATAACATGACAACACTTGTGAGAAACATAGAATCACGGAGGAACTTCACCTGTGATTGATTAGTTTGAATATAAGCGCTGACTTGTCGTCTACTGTCTTTTTCAGACGGATTGAGTGATTGATGATTGTATCCGTGTTAGCTCGGTTTGTATGAACACTGATCTGCTTAGAAAAACAAAGTCTTCTCCTTCTTTCTGCTGACTCTCTCTCTCTCTCTCTCTCTCTCTCTCTCTCTCTCTCTCTCTCTCTCTCTCTTTCCTCCTGCAGGTATCGCCTTCACAGACCTACCAGTAAGTACCCACCTTTATCCGCCTCTTCTCTGTGTTTCGTTTTTTTGTCTTTGTGGCTTCATGACTGCCGGACAAGAGGCGATCTCTGAAATAAAACGACCGTTTCATTTTTCCACACAATGTTGACTTTATGAAATGGTTTGAAATCCTGTTTTTAAATAGCTCGACTCTAAGGAGGTTACAGCCTGTGGCTTGTTTTCTTTCTGGAGACATGAGTGAAACTAAAGCTCCAACTTCTTACTGCCTCTCTGAACTCATAATAGTGTCTTGTGGTTAAATTCCCTCTCTAATTTTGATGTGTCTGACCTCTCATACATTAACTGTTGTTTTCCTAATACTGAATGACTTACCTCTTGGTTTGCTGAAGACTATTTTAAGTGTTTGTATGTAATAAGTGATCGAATCATACAGAGGATGTCGTCACAAAAACATCATTGGCTGATTAATGTTCCAGTTATCTTGGAAGTCAGATGTCAGAGCTGGGAAAGATGTTACACCCGAGTTGATGGGTGAACAAGTCGGAAAACCAAGATGGATGCCTACTGTTAGCGGTTGTCAGCTGTCGTTAGTTGCTAGTTGTTGTTAGTAGTTGTTAGCTATAGCAGTTGTAAACAACGCAAAACACAGTATTTTACTCGTACAAACACCACAGCACCGTGTTCACAGTTGGACGTTTGGCAGTACGACATAAACCACTGATTTTATTTAACAAAAACAAAACAGAAGTGCTAACAAATAATACATTACGAGAGCTTTCACTGTTACTCTTTACTGTTGATGCACTGCGCTGCCATCTTGGATTATGACGTTGTCCGACTTTCCGAGTCAGAAATCCGACTTCAGGGGGAGTTTCAGATGAATTTCTGACTCGGAGCTCAGAAATTCCGACTTCTGCTTACAACTGGAAAGCAGCATAAGTACTCAGACTTTCTTCGTAAAAACACGGCTCCTCTACGATCGAGCTTACGTCACGAAAACTGTCCAAACTATATCAGGAAGTAGCCAATGAAGACAGCCAGGGCCTGTTCTACGAAGCAAGTTCGGCCTAGCGAGGTAGCCTTGGAGCTGTTTGTTAACAGTTTGTTTACAGCTTGTTTACACTTTGTTTACAGCTTGTTTACAGCTTGTTTACAGTTTGTTTACAGCTGTTTTGTAGTTTGTTTACAGTTTGTCTACAGCTGTTTTGTAGTTTGTTTACAGTCTGTTTACAGCTTGTTTACAGCTTGTTTAGAGTTTGTTTACAGTTTGTTAACAGCTGCCTTCAGTAAAGATATTCCTGGGAGTGAAATTGTGATAAAACGTAAAAACTGGTGTGACAAAACTTGAGGCTCTTAGTTTTAACAGGATACGACTTGTTTTTCTTTTTGCTGTTGTGGCTCATCGTCAGGCGAGTCTGACTCCTGTGGGCTCCTGTGCTCTATTGTGTGTGTGTGTGTGTGTGAGAGTGTGAGAGAGAGCTCGTTCCACACCAAATGAGCATTAATTCAATTGAGATTCATGCATCTATTAACCGCAGTAGATGTGAGGGGGGTCTCTTGTTTTTCTGTCTCTTTTTTTTCCTTTTCTTCCTGCTCAGCAGCAAATGAAAAAGTGGGCCGGCTGTTTCTTTCTTTCTTTTTTTGAGGCAGAAGAAAATAAGAGTCTTAGCCACAACAATAATCCATTGAGCAGAAAAACAGGCTTGGCTTTTAGCCAGGCATTCATCTTCCTCCAGAGTTGTGCAGTGAAGTGCGTCACCTCGGCACGGCTGACCTTTGTGGTTATTGGACCATAACAAACAAGGCGACTCCAAAAGAGGGGCACACAGACCGTCGGTACCACCACCCGACTTATAGAGACTTAGACTTTTACTGTCACTTTATTCAGAGCAGATTCAGTCTCACTCTGACTCTCTAAGTTTCCCGGTGGTTCCACTCGTCAGTCTCATGCCTCTTGTCAGTCATTACCCCGTCTGATCGAATCACAGCGGTGATCAGATTGTCAGGGAGGTGGAACAATGCGCCCATACACGCCTCCTCCTCCTCCTCGTCTTCATCTCTCTGTTTATCTGCTGGTCCTGATGTCATCGGGACTTCATGATCAGGTCTCAAGAAAAAGACATCTACACACAGACATCTACGTTCTGTTACTGTGTGACTGTGTCTGTCTGTGATGGCGTCCGTCAGTCCAGTCAGTATTATTAAATATAGATACTGTGTTATAAATAAACACACAGGAATACTCTGACTTCATCGTCCTTCACAGCCGTCAGAAGAAGACGTAGCCGACTCCCAGTGAGCTAGCTTTTAAAAATGATGTTTGAGAATGATCGTAAATCCAAATACAGTCACAGTTTTAACCCTTTCAGGTTCCTCTTCAACTGGATGTAAAAAACTTCCAGCTGCTCTTTTAACTGTTTTCATTTAGTCCAGTAACTCACAACCTCCTAGGAAGAGTTCACTTCAAAATAAAAGCATAGTTTAGTAAAGCAAGACAGAAAAAATATCAAAATAAAATCCTGACAGATATATTTTCTCTCTCTCTCTCTTTCTGCTGCAGCCTAACTTGTACCCGACGGTGGGCCTTCAGACTCCAGGAGAGGTGGTGGACGCGAACTTCGGCCAGCACCCCTTCGTGTTCGACATCGAGGACTACATGCGGGAGTGGAGGACGAAGATCCAGGCGCAGATCGACCGCTTCCCCATCGGAGAGCGCGAGGGCGAGTGGCAGTCGATGATCCAGAAGTGAGTTTTCACGGGTCACAGGTCCACTCCAGGTGTTGTTCTTCTTCCCCGTGGAAAGGGTCAGCAGTGATGTTGCAATGTAGTGGTCGCCTTCCTGTGTTTCCACGGTAATAATTACCATCACCGTAATGACCTTTTTGGATTTGGGGTTAATTTGGCTGGACTAGTCTGCGATTCGGTCTCTAAACCTCTCCAGAGTTTAAGTGAAAATCTCCTTTACCCTGATGTCATATTGTTTGATTGGGTTTATTATGTTATGGCTTCAGATCCAGGTGACTGTAGGAAACCGTCGCCAACGTGGCGAGGATCAGGGCCCAGATTGAGAGCTCCCCCGTCAAAGAGCAGGCGCTGTGATCCCGAAGTAAAAGCTGTGGGACTCGGTCTCTCTCCATGCCCTGATGGGATTAGCTCTCTGTTGCTATGATTACTTGTCCTGAATGGATTTAATCTCCATTTGATGCGGATTGGGGTTGAGGGTGGGGTGGCTCGGAGAGGGCCGTCGCCTTTGCTGCCTGGGATTGTAAACAGGAAGTTTGTGCACGCCAGTTTGATGGAAAGGACGAATTATTGGCCTTTTTATGGGGCAGCGGTGACACGATGGTCTGGAGGAGCAGGAGCCTCTGATCACAAACATCTCAATGAAAACTGCCGCCAGATCAGGATACCTTTACATTAGTGCTGGACGATAAACCGATAATGGGATATACCGATATACCCTATAAATATATCAATATCAATATAAACCATGGTCGATATGCTTTTTCGATAGTTGCGTGTGTCCCCGTTAAATGACGAGGATACAGATGTCCAGTTTAGTGTTGGATTTATTTGACTGTGGTTCTACAGATAAAGATACAAAGCAACAATCAGTACAGCTCACACCGTACAGAACATGACCATCGAGCAGCATGAGATAGCATCAGCCATATTCACGTAAACAATACGTTAACGCAATATAGCATCCGACTTAGTGAAACATCATAAAACTCACTTCTGGCATTTACGCACACTAAACCGGGATGTGAAGGTGATTATTGGGTAAAAACAGGAAAGAGGATATTTACGAACTATCGTAGGTGCGGTATGATCGATCGCATTGGAACGCCTGTGGTGCGTTCATGAGTGTAGGACAAATGAAAACTCCTCCTAAAACACAATATAACTGAACGGTATTTACTTGTAAACACCTAAACAACACGGGTGTTCTAACAGGCATTCTGACATGTTTTGGTAGGCTATATCAACAGCCAATGAAAAGGGGAGTTGCTCCGGGTCCGCTTCGTGTTAAACCAATCATGTTGAATTAGAACCAAGTAGCAAACAACTGCGTAGTAGCAGACAGCAGCTACACCCAACCATAACACTTTAGTTTATCACGGTATCAACTGACATGAAAAAAAATATATCGTGATAAACTTTTTCTCGTATATTTCTCAGCCCTATTCTACATCCTGAAACACAACACACCTGCTCACACTGTAAACAGGCGGCTGTCTCCTTAAACCCTCCATCAACAGATCGATCTGCTCTCAGTTTTGTAAAGTTATGATGTGCAGAGATAGAGATCATTTTTTAAAGTGTCTAATGACGGTGTGTTCATGTGGTCCTCGTCCGCTGTCTCTCCAGGATGGTGGCTTCCTACCTGGTCCATCACAGCTATTGTGCCACAGCTGAAGCCTTTGCCAAATCCACAGACCAGGCCGTGCACGAGGAGCTGGCCTCCATCAAAAACCGACAGAGTGAGTCCTTCTTCTGTCCCCGACTTCAGGCACTCAGGAAACCGCAGAACTTCTAGAAAAGCAGGTTTTGAACTTGATTTTTACCGAAGCATTGTCTGCTGTGTGCAGAGATCCAGAAGCTGGTGTTGTCGGGTAGAATGGGCGAGGCCATCGAGACCACCCAGCAGCTCTACCCAAACCTCCTGGAGAGGAACCCAGACCTTCTCTTCATGCTCAAGTAAGACCAGAGTCATGTATCAGCCTCCTGATCGTATATGTCTTTGAAAACTCGACGTCCAGTCAAACCTGCTCGTCCGCCTTCAGTGGGATGTTGTTTCACCGAAACAGACACTGACTCTGTGCTCTTCCCTTCCTTCGTTCCTTTAGGGTGAGACAGTTCATCGAGATGGTGAACGGGACGGACAGTGAGGTGAGGTGTCTTGGAGGTCGCAGCCCAAAGTCTCAGGACAGTTACCCCGGCTCCCCCCGGCCCTTCAGCAGCCCCAGCCACAAAGCCAGCAGCTCCCAGCCCTACCTCCCAGGTATACCACTCACCTGTGCTCCACGTATTCACACGTTGTTGTCAGTTTCGGTTGAAGAAGATCCTTCAGCGTTTATCTATAAGTTCTTGGTTTGCAGTTTCTTAAAGGTTCCTCCTCTTTCACTCGTGTTTGTTTTTAGGGTTCGACAGCAACTGCTGTAATGGTGTGACGTCCAATAAGAGCCACGGCTCCTCCCCTCACAGTCACAAGCCCTGCCCCCCGGGCTCTGGCTCCACCCTCCCCGCATCGGACATAAGCCTCAACGGGAGCCGCAGCCAACAGCCCATCAGCAGGTTCGGTAAACTCCGGTTCATAAACTCTGCTGGGAATATGTTCGATAACAGATCGTGACGCTCTCTTTGTCCCTGTCCCCTCCTGTGTCTCGCCTCAGTAGCGATGTGGACATGGAAGTCGACCACTTCACCAACGGAGTGACAGAATCCTCCTCCAATGGTTTCCTCAACGGCAGCTCCAAACACACCACAGAGCCTGACGACTGTGACGCGGACATGGGTGAGTAGATCTGTCACTGGAGGTTTTACCGTTTTAATTTGATCATTTATCGTCACTTTCCTCGCCCCGATTTCCGCTCTAAGTATTAAAAAAAAAACCTGTTCTTTAACCCTAACCTGCTTAATCTGCATGTCGACCCGTCCGCGGCTCCGCAGAGGTGGAGTCGGCTCAGTCCAAGAGGCAGCTGTGCGGCGGGAGCCAGGCGGCCATCGAGAGAATGATCCATTTCGGCAGGGAGCTCCAGAGCATGAGCGAACACCTCCGCCGCGAGTGTGGCAAGAACTCCGCCAACAAGAAGATGCTCAAGGTAACGCTGACGACGCTGAGATCACATGATTAGAATTAAAGGGATATTCCGGCATAAAAATTAAGTTAGGGTCAAATACACTGAAACACCGAGTTACACACCCCGTAGAGAGGTGAATGTTGCTTCTCTAGTTGTACTAACTTTAATCCAGTCCATTACGCACTACAGCGGGGTGCCGCAGCTCAAGGAAGAACATTTACAATCATTTCTTCATGGGAATACAATCAGACCGAGACGCTAAGGCAGTAAAATTACAGCGTCTGCAGTGAAAATGATTAATATGGAGATTTTTACTTCAAGGAAATGATAAAGAAATGATCATAAATGTTCTTCCTTGAGCTGCGGCACCCCGCTGTAGTCCGTAATGGACTGGCCTGAGGTCTCGCTACTAATAAGCGGCTGCTGGAAGAGAGTAGGTGAGTTGTGTTTAGTCTTTTTGCTGAAGAAATTAGTCAAAGTTAAAAAGATGTTTGGTGTCTAGTACTATGTCTGTGACCCTATATGTCCTGTTGATGAAGTTAGGTGCTGTTCTGAGCATTATTTGTGGCTATAGAGTGCCTCTCTGTATTGCTATCCTGCGGTCGTTACTAAAGTTGGTATAACTAGAGAAGCAAGCGGTCGGCAACATTCATCTCTCGAGGGGGTGTCCCATTGGTGTTATGGTGTGTTTGACCCTAAATTAATTTCACGCCGGAAGATCCCTTTAATGATTCGGTCTTTTTGTGTCGAGGAGAGTTGACACAGTAGAAAACTGAGGGAATCTGGGACTAAGATCCAGTTGGTGTTTCACGTTCGCTCCCCAGTCACTCAGGGTTAATATTGGAAAAGTCGATCTGTGTGAATTTCATGTCGATCAGCACGAAGCGTCTCCTTTTCTCTGTTTACTCAGTTAAATTTAACTCTTTTGTTCAAACGCTACAAAAGTCAACAAACTCAGAGAATCATTAAAGGTTTTTTCTTTCAAGTGTTGTTTCACAAATATTGTGCTAGATCTGAAAAAGCCTGTAATACACCAAAAGTGTCACAGATTTCGACCAATCAGAATCAAGTATTTAAACAACATCAGGGTATTGAGACCAGATGAAGATTATCAGTCCAGGAAAAAGAGGTCAGAGAAACGAATAAAGGTGATTAAAAAGAGTGAAATTTAAAGAAACAGATTCTTGATCAGATGTGAAGTTTTGTGCTGACTGCGTGTCTGTCATCCGTGTCTCCTGCTGCAGGATGCGTTCAGCCTGTTGGCTTACTCGGACCCCTGGAACAGCCCGGTCGGCTACCAGCTGGACGCCATCCAGAGAGAGCCGGTCTGCTCCACTCTCAACAGTGCAATATTAGGTGAGTCAGCCGGCCACGCCGTTCATTTTAGACTGAGATTATGAGGAGAGTCCAGAAACGGACCGAAGTCGTGTTGACCTGAACGATGGACTTTTGAAAAACCTTCACCCCCAGTTTTTACCGCATCCAGAAAGGTGGCGATTTTTGCTGTCCGCCAATTTCTACCGGATCCGTTTGTGAATACAGCCTTTATGTAGCTGTTCCAGATGTGGTTGAAATTGGGGGCTTACAGAGAGTCTGGGTCCGGGTCCTGATGTTCTTGGTCCTCTTTCTTTCTTCCAGAGACTCACAACCTGCCCAAGCAGCCCCCCTTGGCTCAGGCCGTGGGTCAGGCGGCCCAGTGCCTCGCCATCATGGCACGGACTGGCAGCGGCTCCTGCGCCTTCGCCTCTGTGGACGATTACCTGCACTAGCCCTGCGTTCGCGCACACACACACACACACACACACACACACACACACACACACACACACACACACACTAAGGACTTGTCCAGAAATGGCTCCCAGGCCTCCTCCATCAGTGTAGTTCTTTAGCCGAGGAGTCGCTCCTCCGCACGATTACGACTCGTAGGAAGTTAACCACCTCACTCGCTTCTCTTTCCGCTTTGTTGATCGGCACCAACTGGGGATCAGGAGCTGTTTTTGGGCAGATCTTTGGATCGACAACACAAACACACACACACATTTAAACACACACACACACACACATTGGCCCACCACCTCCCTCTCCATCTTTAGTATAAAAATTCGCCTCCACCTTGGTCTGGCCTCTTAAACCCCGCCTCCAGCTGACCGAGGCTGCGCTGCATCGCTCTGACTGACAGCGGGAGACGCCGGCCGAGAGCAGCTGACGTGGAAACACTCGGAGAGCCGAACTCACGCAGGCGGACACCCAGCCTCCCTAAATCCAGGGACTGCAGACTGATTCAAAATGAAACCCTGGAAGAATTAAACTGGAACCATGAAAAAAAAAAAACAAACGTCACAGAAAACAGACGAGTGACCGTCATGGCCGACCACCGTTTAACGTGGTCCCTGTAGACCTGGATCGCCAGGCTAACGCACACACATGACACACACACACACACACACACACACAAACACTGAGGTGGGCTGATGCTGAAAACAGGATCGGAAGTCCGCCGAAGTTCGCCGAGTGCTCCGTTACAAACAGCTACTCCCCTCCCCGTCCCCTCCCCCCGCACCGACTCCCCTCCTCCTCTGACCCCGCCCTCCACTCACTTCAGGACTTTGGCGAGGATTTGTGTGACGCATGTGGACTCGGGACTTCGAAGAAGCCGGAGAGAATCCAGAGTCTGGACTCCAAGTTCCCTGTTTTTAATCTTTTTTGTTTGTTTTTGTTTGTTTTCACTGGGCAGAGTGGGGGGGGGGCGGGGCAGGGCGGGGCGGGGGAGGGGAGGTCACCTGGCTCTTGTTTTGTTTTTAGTTTTTCCGGGTTTACAAGGCATGGTGCGGACGACGAAGATGACGATGATGATTATTATTATTATTATTATTATTATTATTCTAATTATCATTATATTATTGTTACTTGCATTCACAGTATATTTGTTGAGCGCCAGCGAGAGTTCCAACAACTTATTATAATAAAGGTCCCGATTCCACCGATTCCCAGTGACGAGCGTGTGTACATGTTAACGTTTATATATGAATTTAACAAAATGGAATTATATCAATAGAGTGAGATATTTAGTTATCAAATGAAAGGAAATCATTGAAAAAAAAACAACAATCCTTTAATGCTTTGTACCGACTCCAGTGACTCCTGAAGCGTGCTGGTTGTTTCCGGTCTGTACAAGTTTTTATGTTTCCTGCTTCCTTGACTTCAGGGTTCCTGCGCAGGCTGATTTATTTGACCTGCTACAGGTCTAAAACTCTGGACCTGCTCTTAAAGCTCGTGTTAGGAACTTGTGAGTTGTTTCAGTTTTGGCGCCCCCCTGTGGACAAAGTGAAACCTATCAATCTCTTTACCAAACACATCCTGTGCGTGTGGTGATATTCGGCTTTTTTAATTTGACAAATAATGAGTGTTCGGGTTACCTTGGAAGTCAGATGTCGGAACTGAAAATGACATCGGAAAAACTTTCGGGAAGAAAGCGAAATCGGAGGCCTGAAACAAGATGGCTACATCTACGAAAATTATTTTAGTGCTTGCCTCATATTCGGATAAGACAAGCGTTAAAATAACTTTTGTAAAATAACTCGCTTCCGATTTAGATTTTTTTCGACTCTGTAACTGAAAAGCTGGTAACTCGGGTGTGACGTCATTTTCAGCTCAGACTTCTGACTTGCTGCCCACATTGTGACATCACTAATTGGCGAATTTCCTTATAAGGGCGTGATAAACGCAGCACTTCCTCCTCTGTTCAAACTTTTCTGTGTCAGATTTTGGCCGAATTTAATGATTTGTCATTTTAAACGGAGACACTTGATGATGTTGCATGGCAACAGCGGAGGAGGCTTCTGAAGTGTGAGGTCCCAGAGTGCTGAGGGGGCCCTTTTTAAAGGAATATTCCAGCGTAAAATTAATTTAGGGTCAAACACACCGTAACCCCGAGTTAGACACCCCATGGAGAGATGAATGTTGCCGACCACTTGCTTCTCTAGTTATACCAACTTCGGGCCAGTCCATTATGGACTACAGTGGGGTTTCGCAGCTCAAGGAAGAACATTTAGAACTCGGTGTTATGATGTGTTTGACCCTAAATTAATTTTACTCCGGAATGTCCCTTTAAAGGGAGCAGCTAGATCAGGGTTTGTAAAGACGTCATGAAAATATGTTTAAGCTATAAATCAGGTGAAGATACCAGGACAACTTAAATCCTGAAGCTGAGCCTCGTACCGTCTCTTTAAACCCTTTTTTTTTTGTTTTTTTTGGTTTTTTTTTTTTGTGAATTTTTACCAGCTAAAATCTCCTGACCGAGGCTTTAAGTCTTAAAAGTTTCTCAACTTCAAATCTCTCTCCTGTTTGTGAAATTAGGAAAGACTCTTTGACACATTTCTGGACTAAGTCTGAATCCTGCGTAGGAACCCTGCAATGACCTCTGACTCTGTTTTACTTGTTACCCCCCACCTGAAAAAAAAAAGATCCCAGCTGCACAGCAGGTTTGATGCAAGTGTTGTTAACCTTTATTTTCTTATCGATGTCTATGCTAATCCTTAACACACAAAGAACTCAGGAGCCAAAAATGTCCCTTTGTCCCTCCTCCTCCTCCTCGCTGTAGGATAGGAAGGTCCAACCAGGCAGCCCGGGCCTCGATTAAGTAACGGCAGCCTCGCTCTTTTTGTTTTAATTTAGCGGCACAAAAAAAAACAACAAACAAAAACAAGCAACATCCTGAATCCTGCTTTAAACTCTGAAGGAAAACAGTCGTTTGATCGAAGTTTTCAAAGAGGATTTGTTTCTGTTGCTTGTTTTTCGAGTTTCCCCGAAGATCCTCATCGCCGACCCAAACTCGCTCAGATTTCGCCCCCCGACCCTGAATGCGTGCTGCTCCCTGGAAGCACATTGCTGTCTGGTTATTGTTCTCGAAGCTGCTGTTTAAATAGCATTCAGGTATCCACAGCCCCCCTCGAACTACCCATCATCCCTCAGAGGCGAGCGCCCTCTGCCCGCCGCGTTACTGTTTTGTTACAAACCCTCGTCTGACCTTGTGTGTTTTTATGAAAACGCTCAAACTTGAGTTGAATCACAGAGAGTATTGTTGACAGCACTAACAGGAAAAAGAACCAAATACTCTGATAAAGAGCATCGCCGCTGTGTGCGTGTGAAGCCTGATCCACCTCCTCCCGCAGTTTCTCCCAGGGGTCCGGAGTTGAGTCTTCTCCTCGCGGTGGAACCGAGCTTTTCTGTACCTTGGTTTGTTTTTTTGTTTGTTTGTTTTTTTTTTTTTCTTAATTTGGATCGCAAGCAGTCACGGCATCGTTTAGAAAACTTCTTAGACAAAGTGTCTGTTGTCTCTTTCTGAGTAAGGTCTGAAACCTATGCATGCCATAGTAAAGTGGTGGTAAGATCAAGTTAGATGTCTCTTATTTGATTCTTTTCGTTTCTCCTTCTTTTATAGCCAGTTCACGGTGTATAAGGAAGATGTCAACCAGTAAGTTGTCCACTGCTGACTGTGTGTCCATTTGGAGAAAAAAAAAAGTGCAATTTGTGTGAGGGTGAAAAGATTTATATTAAAAATGATAAATGATGAAGGTTTTTGTCTGGATGCTGAGTGACGTGGAGCGGGAGTTTGTGTTCTGCCTCCAAACGGCTGTCTCCTCATTAACCTCGTATTTATGGAGCTGTAACGAGGTCGACTTTATCTACAGTGAAAATCACAGTTTACTTTTTTTACACTTTTGTTCTGACCACAAGAAATCTGGACGGTGAAATCCAACTTGGAAAAAACTGAAGTAGCTGTAGACCAAAAAATGTGGGCCCTTAAGAAATATTATATATATAAGAAATCCAGTTCATTTGGGACCTTTTTCTTGGAACTTAATCTTTTTCCCAGATTCTTTAAATTTTTTTACAGAAATTCTGAAATTTCATCAGAATTTTCATCAGAAACTTAACACTGAAATGAAAAAAAGAAAACAAGATTATGATTTTAAAAAATCCAAATTCAAATTATTTCATAATTTTATGAATAAAGTCTAATTTACAAAAAAAATCTGATTTAAGGTAATGTACAAATTTTAAAAAATGGGGTTCACTTTTTCTAAAAAACATTATTTTAGAGAAAAAAATCCAAATTCAAATTATTTCAAAATTTTAAAAATAAAGTCTAATGTACAAAAAAGAAAAAGAAATTCTGAATTAAGGTAAAGTTCAAATTTTGAAAAATTAGGTTACTAATTATTTGAAAAAAAATCACTATTTTAGAGAAAAAAATCCAAATTCAAATTATTTCAAAATTTTCAAAATAAAGTCTTATTTACAAAAAAAAATCTGAATTTAGGTTAAGTTCAAATTTTGAAAAATGAGATGACAATTTTTCTGAAAAAAAAAAAAAATTTAGAAAAAGGGAAATTATCTGTACGTGTCCCAGTAACAAAATATAAAGAAATATAAACCTGTATGCCTGAAATGATTGTTTACGATGTGATATTAGCAGGACTTTCTCTACACGTTTACACATCTGTTTCGTCGTTGCTAATTTGAGGTTATTCTGCACACAAACTCTGACAAAGACCCGTTTGCTGCAAAAACAAAAACTAAAATCCATCCAAAGATCCAGATGTTGGAGAGTGACGTGCTGGATGACGTACTCTGCAACGTGGTACAAGGAATATTTTCACGAAGTGCACCATGTCGCGTTTTTCTGCGAGGAATTAAATCACCTGCATCGATGGAAACCAAAACCTCAGAGTGTTGAAAATAGAAGAGAAAGTCAGGAAATGGCTCAATACAAACTGTTTTATTGCATTGTAGCATATAGAATTTAAATGACATAAAATGATTGACTTTAACATCGGGTTCTTAAATTTTTTAAACGCATGTAATTTGTGGAAATTTTACCTTTTATGGACGTTTACATCATTTCATCAATTACCAGCAGATTTTAGAGGGTGATACTTCGTTCAGTGTCACAAGGATTTATAAGAGATCATCATGTCTCTGGTTTAAGAGTCTTTAAAGGATCTTCAGTTTTCTCAAACGTAACGAGTAGATTAAACAAAAGTTTGATCTAAATCTGAATCTTCTACCTCTGTTTGGTTTATAAGTTTGCTACTCGAAGCACAAATGAACATTTATAACAAGCAAAAAGCCCCAAACTGTGAGCTCCATCTTTCCTTTAATAAAGAAAAGGAGCGTTTCCTCGTCTCCGTTTGAAGTCAGCGTTACACGGTAACATCCTCATTAGTGAACTCTGGAGGTCCATTGTCTGACCAGTTCAAAGCAGACCCATTCATCTGGTCCCATTATGGCGGCATGCAGTCCCACAGCTCACGACAGACGCACTGGCAGAATCCGTAGACCATGATCATGACCAGGCTGGCGGGGACCAGGCTGACCAGCAGCACCCCGAGCGTCGTCCTCTGCATGATGAGCAGGTAGACGCCCATGGGCAGCGAGCTGAAGTACAGCAGCCCGAGTACCCAGACCAGAACCCGGGCCGAGGTCTGGCACAGAAGCGCTGCGCAGTTCCACACTGTCCACCTCTGTGTGACGGACGCCATGGAATCCAGACTGGATGAGCGGTAACCACGGCGTGATGTGTACGATCCACGTCTCTGTTCTGAGGTTGTGGGCACCGGAGGGGGCTCCATGATGGTGATGACCACAAAGTTAGGGGAGCCCCTGATGGAGGAGTAGGTGGTGGTGGAGGAGGCGGAGGAGGAAGAGGAGGAGAAGGAAGGGGGCGTCACAGCCGGGTTGCTCACCATCAGCGAGCTCAGGCGCCGCGGGCTGAGGAGCAGCTCCGTGGTGGTCTCCTGGATGTTCCTCTGGTTCCTTCTTTGGAGGGTCAACGCCGCCACCAGATTGCAATCATCCGCCAAGCTGCTGATGGCTTCACCTGGGAGACGGGTCACATAGCGGCAGAACGGGCACACCACGGCGTTTGGAGGCGACTCACCCAGATCCAGGATCTTGGCGAGGCATTTGGCGCACAGACGATGACAGCACTCCAGCACCTTTGGCCTGCGACCCCCTAAGTTGTACGCGCAGTAGCAGATCTTACACTCCAGCTCCTCGGTGGTCAGAACCTCCACGTGGCGACCACCTCCTCCGCTTCCGCAGCCGCTTCCGCAGCCGCCGTTCTCAACGCCCTGCTGCTCAATCATCATCCCTGTCAACAGAGAAGTCCAACCACGAGATCTGGTCGAGGCGCGGCACCGAGGGGCTCCACAAGCTCCCCATAGATGATGGTCGTGACAACGGGTGACTCCGGGGAAGGTCTGGGGTTCATCGTGGTCGTCCAACTGGCTCCAGCAGAGAGAGAGAGACAGAGAGAGAGAGAGAGAGAGGGAGAGAGAGAGAGAGAGAGAGAGAGAGAGAGGGGTTTTAAAGTTGACGTGGGAAGTCCTTCGTGAGTTCTGGCCTCTGAGCAGTCGGGGTAACGGTGCTTCTTTTAGGGGCAAAAAAAAAGATCCTTTCATGGGTGGAATGAAGAGAGAGTGAGAGAGAAAGATGTAAAGAGAAAGAGAGAGAGAGTGAGAGAGAGAGAGAAAGAGAGAGAGAGAGATAACTGTTAACACAGCATTAGAAGAGAACAAACAAGAGGCGAAGGGACAACAAAGCAAAGCCTGTACAAACCAGAGCTGGAATTTTCGAGCCTGATCTTTTGTTGCGCGGGGAAATTCAGTCCAATTAGTGACTCACACACACACACACACTCACACACTCACACACACTTATTTAACACAGCTCTCTGTTAATGATGTGAGGGCGAGCAAGCACAGCAAACATGAATGAGCGTCTGACTGATAAAATGTGTGATTGTGCGTTAATGTTAGCTTTAAAATTTAGGAATACGTTTTTTTCTATCGTTTGTTCAACCAACAATAAAAACAATCAAAAACCTTTAACAGACTGTGGGACGACAAAACCACTCTCCAGAAGTGAAGCCGAGGCATTCACAGCTCCCCCTACTGGCTGTGTTGGGGATAATGGTGCGTTCAAGTTGCATACAAAAAAGCTACGTTTTAGATCGTTTCTGCCTCCTTTTCGTACCGTCTGCCATGTTCTCGTTCGCGTAGACTTCCTCTCACAAGACCGTTTTCCAAAGCACCCGGAGAAAAGGAATCATTAAGGGAATCATTAAAATGAAATGCAAACGATGTCGATGGATTGAGCCATTTGGAACCGGTTGTCACCAAGAACCTAAAATATAAGGCAAGCGCTAAAATAACTTTCAGGCGTAACATGTAGCCATCTTGTTTCAGGCCTCCGATTTTGCTTTTTTCCGACTTGATAGCGCCGACATCTGACTTCCGAGGTAACTCGATTTGCTCATACATCATCTTCAAACATTTAAAATTCTTGCTTTAGTCTGACTAAAACTGGACTTTTTGATGGTTTTACGAACTTAAATAAGGCTCGATATTGGGGATTGATTTTCTCTTTCATGTCCAGGCCTCAGCCGGACTGAAACTAGCCAAAATATTCTGGCATCCTCCATTGTTTTCACATCCAGTTTAAGTTGAATAACATTTTTGCATTGCTAGCAACCCAAGGTAGAGAACACAACTGTAACCGAATAAGAAGGGGCATGAAAAGAAAAACAATTGCGCGTTAAAATATGTACAGAGCTGTGAGGCGATCCGTGTTTTCATTATTCAACATACAACCTGTTAGCCTCTTTCTAACACGTTTGTTGATTGGTTTGATATGTCATGTGATAAGCCAATCAGGAGACAGTCGAGTGAAAAGGGGAGTGTCGCCACCTCCTTTAGTGGAGACAGGAAATGAATCCAGTCTTATCTGTGTCTGAGGTCCCATAAAATCATCTGTTAATGCCACTTGTTGGGGTATTTTGGCTTCACTTTTTATTATGGGAGAAGATGGTGTGTCGTCCATTTATACTAACAATGATTCAGAAATCTGATCTAACTGAAGTGAGGACATTGAGTGGATCTTAAACGACGTGATCCAGACCTGTAAACAAACACTCAAAAACATCTCTGCGCTTCTCTGACCAGTTTTTTTTAGGATCTCCTCCGATGGGCGAAGCTTGGTGGACCGGCGTAGAGTGAGTGAAGGATGGTTTCCGCGGTAGAAAGTGGAGCAGGTCATTAGTGGAGATCACGGTTTGGCGCTGAGCTCTGATCTTGATTCAGGTCCAGAACAGGCAGGCAGCAATGCGAAATGGGTCAGAAAGTCTTTGTAGTCTTTAGTTTGGCCCTGATACTCATCTAGACGGGTTTGAGCTGACTCTATCATGTGTGGCAGGTAGCCCAGCTGTTAGTCTGTGATTGACTGTAGTATCTCCTATTTATCTGCTTTCCTTCTGTTAATGTCAGTTCTTAGTTTACAAAATGTCAAAAATAATGTCGATAAAACAGTTAAATGTGACATGACATTATACCAGAAGGCACAAAACTTAAGGAAAACAAATGAGGATAGGAAATGATAAAGGCAGTAGGATACGAAAAAGGTGACATGATAGGTCACATATCAAAAAAATATGATACAACATCAATGACACGGAAAGTTCCGGTACGATACGATACAATACGACACGATACGATACGATACAATGCAATACAAACTATACAATTTGATCCGATCAGAACAACACAATACGATAAAAACAATATAATATGATAAGATACAATACAATACAATATTATACAATACAATATTGTACAATACGATACAATGCAAATGATATGATTCGATACAGTATCATACAAACGATATATGATACAGTACAGATGATAAGATTCAAACAACACAATATGATAAAAATGATATAAGATACAGTACAATACGATACAATACGACACAACAAGATGCGATACATATAATACAATACAATACAAATGATATGATAGCTGATCTGATCCGATTTAATATGATACAAACGATATGATACGATATGATATGATATGATACGAAAAATAGGATACAATAGTATCAGTATGATACAATTCAAATGATACAATACATTACAAACAATCAATAGCTGATCCAATACAATACAATACGATACAAACGACATGATGCAGTACGATACAATAGGATGCCATAGGATTCAATACAAATGATATGATATCTGAACCGATCCGATACAATATGATACATATGATATGATATGATAGAATACAATATGATTCTATAGGATACGATAGAAACGATATAATATGATACTTTACGTTCAGATATGATAACATTGTGACACAGTGAAGCCTCACATTGAGGATTCAGGATCTTGATGAGTCTGTCTTTAGTGAACACTTCATCATTTTTCTTCATTTTCTTCTGACTGCTTTCATAGATCTAAGGCAGTATAGTGAATATAATCATTATATATCAGCTACAATTACTGTACACACACACACACACACACATTTTCACACACTGACGTCAATGAGCCAATCCACAATAACAAGCAGCAGCTGGAGTCAGTTGTGAAAAGCCTGTGGGGCTGAGGAGATGTGAAAAGTTGGAAAGATTTAGATCACAGACAGGAAGTAGAATTGTATTTCAAAATAAAAGCCATGCGCTCAATACAGAAAGATACTGAAGTCAGGTGGACATATTGTTCATACCAACTTAAACTTTATTGAATTTTCTCTCATCTATCTATCTAAAAACATCTATGATAAAATCTAATTTAGACTTCTGATTTAGTCTTAATTTGGACCCAAAATAATGTTGGATTTAACTTGTCTCTATATTTCTGTAAGTATTAAATTCTGATTAATATAATACTATTTTAGTCTTCTAAATTGGACAAGAAGTTAAAGAGGACAGGAAAAAAATTAATCATGATTTCAACAGCTAAAAATTGTATTGTCATGAGAGGGATTATAACCTGTGTGAAGTATCAATGGCATCCCCCTCTAGTGGACACATGAGGAACTGCAGTTTTACAAAAGCTTCTTTTTTTCAAAATAGAGAAATTACATTTTCACAATTGTAAAAGGTGCATGTCAATTAAAGACTTTCACGACAAAAAGAACAAGTTACAAATCATCGACATAAATCGACGACTTTTATTTTGGTAGGGTAATCACAGGAAGTGTGATCGTACACACTCCGGTCAACTTGACGCGGATCTTTGCTGGAAGAGCAGAGCGGCACAGCAGAGGGGCCCCAGTCGTTGTCCAATGCTGGGGAGCCGGGAAACAGGAACTGCGGGCGGCGGGGTGGAGGCTGCCGGGTCTCAGGGGCCTCCGGGCCGGGAACACCCCGTGGAGGAGGAGACGCCGCCCGGCCGCGCAGGGTGTCGTCTCACCGGCCTGGTCAACTGGAGGCAGAGACCGTGGAGGACTTCAGCGCTGTTTGCTGCAGCCAACACGCTGTTCTGGTAGGCATCATGACGCAGGGATATCTGACACACTCCCAGGATAATAACAATGAGCTCATGGTGATTATGGAGAAACTACTGGAGAGAATTTAAAGCTCAGAAAAAACATCGTTACCACAGTTTTATCGTTAAAATCAAGTTTGTGTTAGTTTCCTTTAAATCCTCCTTAATTTTACAATCATGGGCTAAACTCTGTATTTTTTGTCTTTGTAAAGGGGAAGTCTTATATTTGATTAAAACTGCTCTGTTAAAAAAAACAGCTGCAAAAAGTTGATCCTGTCTCTGCTAAATGATTGACAAGTTAGTTTTTGATTAACAAGTCACCAGAAGGCACAAAAATTAAGGAAACAAAACAAGAGGATAGGAAACGGTAAAGGCAGTAGGATACAAAAAAGGTGACATGATAGGTCACAACCTGCTTCAATACAACAACGCAAGGCAGAATGAAAAAAATGCAAAACAATATGATACAACATCAAAAGACACAAAAAGATCTGGTATGATACGATAGGATACAATACAAATGATATGATACAATACAATACTGAACGATATGATATGATACAATACAATACAATATCATACGATATGATATGATATAATACCGTACGATATGAAACAATACGATAAAATACAATATTGTATGATACATTACAATATCGTATAATATGATGAGATACAAAAGGATTCTTTGATACTTTATGTTCAGATATGATAACAGTGTGACATAGTGCAGCCTCATAGAGAGGATTCAGGATCTTGACGCAGTGTGTCTATGTCTTTATTGAACACTAAATCATTTTTATTATAGAAACTACTGAACAGTTTGGAGTTAATTTAAAGCTCAGAAAAAACATCATTATCTCAGTCTTATGGTTAAAATCAACTTTGTGTTAGCGTCCTTGAAATCTTCCTTAAATTTACAACCATTTGTTAAACTCTATACGATACAATACTGTACGATATGATATGATACGATACAGTACAATACGACACAATACGACACAATACCGTACAATATGATACAATATGATACAAATGATGTGATACAATACAATACAATATGATACATTTGGATGATAAATAGATCTAGTTTGGTGAACCCAGGCGGCTCTGTTATAGTAGCTTTAATAATAATAATAACTTTATTTTGAAAGCACCTTTAAAGACAGAAGTTTAAAAAGTGCTTTGACAAACAATCGTAAAGCACAGAGCATCAGTACACGGAAATAAAAACAAATAAAAAACAGAAGCTCAGTTAAAAACAAGACCTTTGGATTGAGGGCCAATTCCATTTTTCATAAGGAACCCAGACAATACAAGAACCCTACAACATAAAACGAGACCACAAGGACCAAAATAAAAACATGAAATAGGTAAGAAAAAGAAATGTGATAAAAAAACACTGTCTCCTGTCAGACGTTGGTGTGAATCTGAACTGTCGTGTTTTGCTCTTCTCCAGGTTTGTGACCTTCAGCTCTTTACGAACCTTGAGCCTCACAGCCATCCTGCTGTCCCTGCTGGTCCTCGCTGTGACTGCTAAAGACTTCATCAGGACCAGATCCACAGGTAAACACCTATTATACCTTTACAAATAAGGATGGGAATTGCTAAGATTTTTACAAAATAAAATGCTGACTCATTGACAGGTGTAAGAGGTCAAATCTCTAAGACACAGATTTAGGATGTGCTGACTAAGACTAAGTATAAATTTGGGACTGTTGGCCAGAGAAGAGGAGACATCTGATGAACTTAACTTAGACTCTGTGGCTTCATTTTGAGCGTCTGAATGTCCGGCCCTTCAGCTCACGATCATTTGGACCGAGCCGAAGTGGATAACTGTCCCGTGGTCTGGCGAATCAATATTTGACCTTCCTTTTGGGAATCATGGACGCTGCATCCTCAGCTCCAAAGTCGGGAAAGAACCGCTTGACTTGTTCTCAGTGTCAAGTCTTTGCAGGATCACTTAGTTCTCCCTGCCAGAGTCTAGTCCTGTACCAACAGAGTCTCCATTTTTATGTCGAATCTGTAATTAGAGATCATCTGAGAGCTGCAGGGCGTGAGTTCATCTCAGACCTGGAGATGATTTCACCCTGATGGTTCCTCATTAGCCTGATGAGTGAAAACAAGTCTGACCTGAAGATGAGTCACGAACGCTCCTTCATCAGCCATCTTGGTCCTCTTCAGAGAAACGTACTCCTCATGTTTTCACTGAGGATGATGATGATGATGATGATGATGATGTCTTATTTTTAAGGAGTGTCTCTGATGCTGCCAAACCAGTTAATCAGTCGAACTGATGGGAAAATCCATTTTAATAATTACACGTGTGTTTTTTTATGTGCTTTACATTACAGCACCTGTTTTTCTACTGACTGTGACACTAACTGGTTCTCTGACCTCCTCAGTGACGATACGTAACACACTAATTATTTTCTTTTCTGCAGGGGCTCATTTGTGGCGCAGCATGACCACAAGGTAAGAAACTGCATTTAAAGTGACAGTACATGTGTGTGAATTTCAGGAGCATGTATCTAAAATAAGAGATCTAATACTGGTCCAGTTCTACGTCCAAAAGCTTGAATGTCAATGAAGGGACGGTGGCTTTTAAGGACAAAAAGCTCCAGTGATGAATATAGTTGGTTCTCCTTTTTGGGTTTTTTCCAATATTTTAGTTTTATTCATTTGTTTTATTTGTTGGTACTATTAGTGATGCAGCTGCGTATCGTATCGTATCATATCATGTATTGTTGTGTCTTGTGTATCGTATCATTTATTATTATCGTGTAGTATCGTATCGTAGGGCTAGGCGATATGGGAAAAAGTTTATCACAATATGTTTTTTTCATATCAGGCGATATCGATATATATCACGGTATAAAAAATAAAATTTTACTATGCTCTTTTCGACATTTTGTCGTAAGGTGTTGCGCTAGAGAAAGTGGATCGAATGGTCGTCTGTTTCCTGGGGTACAGTGCGATAGTTGCGTGTAGCTGCCGTCTGTTTGATACTTGGTTCTAATTTAGCACGATTGGTTCGGCACGAAGCGGACCCACAGAAACTCCACTTTTCATTGGCTGTTCGTAAAGTCTACCAAAACATGACAGAATGCCGACTATTGAAAAGCATATTGACCATATTTATATTGTTACTGAGAGAAATTAATTTTCGATATCGTTATTGTTTTATTGCCCAGCCCTATCGTATCGTATCGTATCATGTATTGTTATCGTGTTTTATCGTATCGTAAAAATAAAACACGAAAAGATACAATATGATGCAAAAAGTACGGTGGCTTTTTGGGTGGCCTGAGGAGCAAAACACAACGGCAAATCAGAAAAAACACAACGCAAAAAGAGAAAAAAAAACTACCTACGTTCTTCGATTTTTGCTTAACGTTGTCGTGTTTTCTGATTTGCTGTTGTGTTTTGCACCTCAGGGCCACCGTAAAAAAAGGTTAAATAGTATACTATACATAACAAAATAATATATACGATACATAACAATACAACACAACAATACATGATACGATATATACAATATATATAAATACAATACAGTATATATGTAAATATAGTATCCATCCTTCTAAGTTATTTTGCTCATAACAACCACTCTCTTCTTCTTCTCTTTTGTCTTCGACGGCCGCTCACTAAACTCTTAAATGCGTATGTTACTCGTTTGTCCATTCAGAGCTACTGTAGAAACACGCTGGTGTGTGATGTCAACTGTGGAGCACGCTCAGAACACCTCTGCCAGAAAATCGCTCCTCCAACCACATTATCTACTTACGGTTAACTAGTCTGACTTCCTGAGCTCTGATATAATGTTCCAGCCCTCACTTAAGAGCCTGAACTTTGAGTGAAAGCGGCTGTTATGGGTTCACCCTGTTAGGGACATGTGCGGACAAGCAACAAGGAGAGATTTCTGGGCGTGCTGTCGTGATATTTTCTCGATATTTCCATTAGTGTGTAAAAAGGTCCACAGAATAACAGAATAACATCCTCGGAGAGAGTACAGTCACCCGAAATATTGAGTGGACTTTGAGACGCTGCGGAGCTGATTGGTCACACATGACTGTCTAATCTGATCCTCCCGTAGACTGAAGCATGTGATGGCTCCTTCTCTCTCAGGACACAAACCGCACACTCACCTTGTGATAAACAAGTGTTTACATAAAGGATTAGACCGTTTACTACATGAGGAATTAAGGACACGGCGTGGGAAAACATTTTCTGAGATTTCAGGAGCCGAGTGCTGATAATTCCTTAATCTCTTCCAGCAAAATACGACCTGCGATACACTTCTCCGGATTAGAGATTTTAACCTTCCTGATTCGAGTAAAACTGTATGAAACTATAATTTTAAAAAGAGTTTTAACCTTTTTAACCTTCCTTCTGTGTTAGCTTTTACTATGCACCCACTATGTTAAGGGTCGGTTTTGACCTGTGTCTTAAATCAAATCAAATAAATTACACTAAAAACAATTCTCTATCGTCCAATTTGGTTCTCATCTCTAGATTATCTTGTCCTTTTGGTCTTTCTTTGTCAGTATACCCCTCACACAGACATCTATACTGAACTGATCTCATGTCTGGACATGCCCAATGTTGTTTTTTGTGCAGAAAAAACAGGCAAAATGAGAATTTCCTAAATCTCACATGATTGTAAGAGGATCTGACTGTCAGTGTGGTGCCTGTCAGTGCACTTATGATTTCAGTTTTTGCTCTAATTATTGGATATTGATCTAACCGGGTCAACAGCGACCCAAACACAACCAGTGCCATAATTTTAATGAGAGCATTTTATAATTTAGTCCATTTAATTTTTTTTAAATTTTGTTGAAATAGAGGTTCCTGAAAAAGTCAAAAGTTCAATTTATGTGGTTCTTTTATAGCCTGGCTGGGCCATCCTGTTGTGTGAATCACTTGATGTCAATAAATAAATAAATAAATATAAATTAAAAAAAGTAAAAAAAAATAAAATAAATAAAATAAATAAATAGTAATAATAATAATAAATAAATAAATAAAAAATAAATAAATATCATCAAGTGATTCACGCAACAGGATGGCCCGGCCAGGCTAGTTCTTTTAAGCATTTAAAATCAAAAACGGCGCAGAACCTAACACAGGAGGAGGGTTCATATTTCTGCTAAGTGACCATAAATTTCAGCTCCAGAGATTTGTTTTTTTGATGCCATGCCGTATAATCTCCTGCCACTAGATGGAGCCAGAGCACACAAAGTTCGAAGCGATAATTTAAAGCTGTTCATGAATCCTCCTTCGTACTTTTACCTCAGAGAGAGTGAAGACTGTAGAGTATGAGCAGGAGAAGTGCCAAAAAGACTGAAATAATACATTTATAACAAGTCCTCCATCATTATTATCGTCCTGTAGCTCTGCTGAGGTGATATTGAACCCCAGGTCGCCGCCTCCAGCCGCTGTTTCCTGTCTTTCTCTTGATTAATATCCCACAAACTCTCTTTAGGGTTCGGGTCAGGCCAGTGAAGCTCAGTATAAAGTTCAGTAAACTATTCTGTGGTAGTTTTGGCGCCGTGGGCAGGTGCCACAATGACATTTGTACAACCAAAGGATCTATCTTCATGTTTCTGTGCAGTTTCTTACAACCAGGAGGTAGAAGAGTGTTACTTTCGTGTGTCTGACCTATTCACGCATGTGATTGGTGACCCAGTGACGGAGGTGGTAGGTCACCTGGTTCAGGCTCTTGCCCTCATTTTGAGAGTGTTTGTGCATTTACATGTTTGTGAGTGTGTGTGTGTGTGTGTGTGAGGGATTACATGCCAGCCCCAGAGGCTCGGTGGGATTCAGCGGAAGGTGACAGGGATTTGTCGGCGCCAGCCTGGATGCAACACATCTGAGTTATATAACTGTTAGACTGTGAGTCCAGGTCAGGGGCGACTCACGGGGTGTAAAGACACACCTCAGGAGCTGGGTTTCCATCCCGGGGTAATAACAGTGATTAGAGGCACAAAAGGCCAGTGTCAGGAAATCTTTAGGGGAGCAGTGCATGTGTGAGAGGGAGCTTAACACTGTAAGCGAGGTGGAAATGTAGGTCAAACTGGTTATGATGTGTTTTTATGATGAACGAGTGCAAGATGAGTAATTTAGAAAATACTTTACATTCATCAGTTTGTGCTTTTCTGTTCAGATGAGGGTTGCTGTTGATTTAAAGACGTATTATTTCCATCCAGGTCACTAAATAACTGTACACAGATTTTCTCATCTAAACATATCATGTCACATTGCATTGCATAATATTATCATATAACGTTGTATTATCAAGCATTGTGGCAGAGGGAATCAGATCAAATATCTTTGAGTTTTTATAAGAATCCAATTCTCATATCATATCATGTCATGTCATGTAGGGCAAATGGGGCCATCTCATGTCGTATCATATCATATCATATATCATATATCACATCATATCATATCACATTGCATGATCGAATATTGTGGCATGGAGAATCAAGACATTTTTTTTTAAGTTTTAAAAGAAAACATAGCTCATGTCATATCATAACAAGCCAGGTCATGTCATGTCATGTAGGTCAAATAGGGCCATATCATGTCGTATCACATATCATATATAATATATCATATCATATCATATCATACCATATCATGACATGTCGTGTCTGCAAATTGGGGCCATATAATATTGTATCATATGTCATGGCATATCATGTCATATGATATGATATGACATGACATGATATGATATGATATGATATGATGACATGACATGACATGACATGACATCATATCATATCATATCATAGCATAGCATAGCATAGTACATTATCAAATATTGTGGCATGGGGAATCAGATCAAATCCAATCAATCAAATTAAATAAAATCAAATTAAAAGAATCCAATGCTCATGTCATATTGTATACTATCCTATCATATCATATCATATCATGTCATGTGGGTCAAATGGGGCCATATCATGTCGTATCACATATATCAAATCACGCCATGTCATGTCATGTCATGTTTTATTATATCATATTGTATCAACAGTACACTAAAGCCTGCTGGCTCCTGTCTGAGTCTGTCACACTGATTTAAAATAAAACTTTTAAGTACAAAAAGAAACAAAAACAAAGACACACTACAGCATGTTTTAATACAGAGGTCATATCAGCTCACCATACACTTAATTCACTGTTCTCTACTCTTAATCTGCATCTTTACCGCGACATAACTCTCCCTCTGTGTCTCTGTGACATTTGGCCAGCAGGGTGGGACTATGTTGTTGTCACCTGCTGTTGTCTGTCACTGGTGTCTCGTGGGTAATTGTACATCAATGCACAGAGCAAATCTCAGGCAAAGGCTGGCGGGAGATTAGCCGCTGACCCAAAATGCGAGCTGACAGCTGGGTTATTCGAGCCAACAGAGTCTCACTGTCAGTGCGAGTTTGAAACAATGCTTCTGCAGACTCTCCGTGTGTCATGCCAAACAGCTGGCGCCTGGAACATCCTCTGATATGAATAACACAAACAAACAAAAAGAAAGATGGAAAAATAAAATAACCAGGTTATTAGACAGATGTCAGCACACAAGAAGCGTGTTTTCTGGGACTATAGGAGTTTAAGTCACACCAGCCAAAAGAGAAGAGAAAAGACATTTTGTGGGGAAATTTATTTGACAAAATTCAAGACCAAGGACAGACATTTCATCCTGAAAGGCAAGTTATGATAATAATAATAATCTAGCCATCTAGATTTTTAGCCCGTGATTATTTTTTTTGTTTTTTTCATCGCAGTAAGAGTAACCTCCACTTTTCGCCAGTCCCTCACAAGTTTCTCGCTCACTCCAAACTCTCTCTCTGCTGCTCGATCGCCATTTTTCGGCTTCATATTTCTCTTCTTGGAGTTTGTAATCTGCAGAATATCATTCTCAGTCTTTCTCTGTTGTCGATATGAGTTAGTTTTTAAATCTTCAGTGGTACAGGAGTAGCAGATACTGGTACACCAGCCTAGAGCACCCTCTAGCGGCTGTCTGTGTGATAATAACAAATGTGTGAAATTATATATTTTAATATATATAAGTCGCAAACCCAGCCAAACTATGAAAAAGTGCGACTTATAGTCCGTAAAATACGGTATATTTACCTATATGCTGTAATGTAGATCTTTAAGGGACTGTTTCCCTGAATTTGATGATAAAAAACATTTAAGAAAATCTCTTAACATTTATTTACAGATATCAACACTTTGGTACATCTATTTTTTTTAGTTGAGTAGTATTAATCGACCATGCATCCAATTCAACCTTCAGGTGTGTCTGCATAATTAAAACCATCACTTCTATTTGCCTTACATCCCCCGGAGTAGCACAAAGTCATCGAAAACTTACACTTTATGTAACTTACTTAAATTTGCTGCGTTCCTCTTGTACTCAAAAGTCGGGATTTCCGAGCTCCGAGTCAGAAATTCATCTGGAACGCCCCCCTGAAGTTGGATTTTCCGACTCCGGAAGTCGAATGATCCTTGTGAACCCCGACTTGACGACAACGTCATAATTTAAGATGGCAGCGCAGTGCATAAACAGTAAAGAGTAACAGTGAAAGCTCTCGAAATGTTTTGTTTATTAGCGCTTCTGTTTTGATTTTGTGAAATTAAATAAGTGGTTTATGTTGAACTGCCCAACGCCTAACTGTGAACACGATGCTATGGTGTTTGTAAGAATAAAATACTGTGTTTTACGTTGTTTACAACTGATAACCGCTAACAACAGCTGACCACAGCTGACAGTTGTAAACAACAGCTAACAATGGGTAACTGTAGGCGTCTATCTTAGTTTTCCGAGTTGTTAACTGGAACGCTGTCAACTCGGGTGTAGCGTCATTCCCAGCTCCGACATCCGACTTCCGAAGTAACTGGAACGCCGTAATAGTAGCACATATATTTCAGTCTGGCTCACGGTGGTACGAACCTGGAAAAGAAACAGATTTACTTCTGATTTTGTTAAATGTAATGAGTCTCGAGTTGTAGATCTACACATGTGAAGGCAAATATACAACACCGCCAGTCATTTCTGATGCATTCAAGGAAGTCAGGAAATGCCAACACTGGTTAGCTTTAGCTGGCAGATTTATCAGTTGAACAGATTTGAAGCTGTTCCTCTATGCTGATCCGTTTAGAGACATAAACAAGCTATCGTCAGATTACCTCCGATGGAAGTTGGGGTGTGACTGCGATTGGATTTTGTTCTGCCTGCTTTTGCTCTCCATACTCGCAGATACGTGATGGGTCAATCCCAGCGGGATTACAAACGGAAACCAGAACATTCTCCACTTAAAGCTCGTCATCTGTTGATCCCGTATCCTCCCTCTTAGCCTGCTGTCTCCAATATCAAATAACTGCCTCTATAAGTCAGAGATATACGTAGACAGCACTTATATATAAACGGACGGTCTATTTTGGAGCAGCCAATGAAGCTGTTCTGTTTTATGGGTCAGTAACAAATCTGACTTTGACAGACTAACACTGTTGATGTCCTGAGGGTGTCCGTATCCTGGATGTACTTTTGCGGGATTGTCGGCGTATTTTTCAATCGTCACTCATGTGGTTCAAAGTCATGTGACTTGGACAGAAACTTGTTGTTGTTGCTTCCAAGAGAAGAAGACTTTCTGTTTGTTCCCACAACAAAAACACACACAGAGTGTCTTAAGAGTTGTGAAACCTGAGTGCAGTGTGTGTGTTTGTGTGTGTGAGGGTGTGTGTGTGTGTGACTCAGCTGTTTCTCCACTGATTTAGAGGTGTGACAGGAAGTGGTCGAGCCAATCAGATCTGCTGACTCTGTAGGGGTGTGCTTCACTTCGAATCCTCTGATAGGACTTAGAGAAGCTGGTAGAAAACAACACAACAAACCGCCCACGAGTGTTTCATCACAGATAAATACTTGAACAGGATTGATGAATGAAAGTTTAAGATTTACTTTTAACTTGACCTTACATCAGCTCGTCTGCTCTTTGTCAAGTCTGTTCTTGGAGTTTTTTAAAGGCTGCTTTCACATATAATCTGCACAACCTAATGTAAAAGAATTTAACTGTAATAAATAAAAGATTATACAGAATTTTAGACTTTTTTCTCAGATGTTATAGTCAGTGGAACTTGTATATCCCCATAACATCAGGGATTCTGGGGGGTCCCTCTCCTCTTTTAGGAGATGGAGCATCCAAGGTTCCCAAAATGAATGTCAAATATTGATTCTGACGTGATATTCGCCAATGCAGTAACTTCCACTACAGAGTCATGTCCCTTTGTTACTCAAAGATCTTGGCAGTCCAGTATTGGATCTTTTCTACAGAGATTTCCCCCGATTCTCTGAACCTTTTAAAGATCTTCTGGACTCTTACTCATGAAATCCCTGAAATCTTTGTGAAAATAACTCTAAAATGTCGAACTGTGTCCTCACACAGTCTGTTTCAGTGTCTAACCCCCAATTTCCACTGCATCCGGAACCGCTATGAAAAAGGCCGTATCCGCCAATAAGAGGTTTTCACTTGACAGGAAGTGAGTTGCTGCTATAGAGACCAGCAACATGCCGATGTTTTGCTCCGTTTACGGCTGCTCGAATCGATCGAACAGGGAAAAAAACAAGAGCTTTTATCGTGTGCTCAAAGTAGTGTTACACAAAGGGGAAAGATGTAAGAAGCTGACTGAAAAACGCCAGAAAAAATGGCTGTTTAATCGTGGTTCTCAAGTCCAGTCCTCAAGCCTCCTCGTCCTGCATGTTTTGGATGTTTTCCTGCTCCAACACACCTGATTCAAATGATCAGCTCGTTATTCAGCCATTTCAGAACTTGATAGCGAGCTGATCATTTGACTTGAGAACCGCTGGCCTACGGTCTGGAGGAGCTGCGTTGGATAATGCCCGTGTGTGCAGTGACCACTTTGTCAAAGGTAATGACTTCATTTTCTGGTAGGAATTGGCGTACAGTGAATTTCGCCGCCGTTCTGGATGCGGTGGAAATCCCGGGTAACAATTCCAGCTATTCTGACATGAAATTGAAATGGGTATATTTTTAATGGAATAATTAACGTTTAGTGTGTTGTCTTTGCAAACCATCGAAATCTGTTTTATTAAAATTTTAGTGTCTTGCTGGATTGTACATTTTGTCCCCGTACTCCAGCCTGGATCAGGACCTCAGAACGAGCTGAGATGGTTCACAGACACCAACTGAAAGTTTCACCGTAGAAAACTATGATCAACTACCTGAGTTCATCCTCATCATTGAGTCGTTATTTTGGAAAAAGCTGATTAAAATTTGATCGACCTGATAGCTGTAAATCCAACCAGATCCATCTCTGTTTAAAGCATCAAATATAAACAAAACTCTGTCATCAACAAAGAAATAACACTGTCTTGATTACGCATGTCTGCTGCCAGCTGACTGTCCATGTCACTGACACATGAGGAGGCATGTTTGGGGTGGGGGGGTCGGATGGTAATGGAGGTGGAGTGTGCTGCTGTTTCTTCCTCCCCGACAGACCCCATCCCTCTGTCCTCCTGATGGCTGCCAGTTGGAATGTAGTGTGACCGGGTTATTTTTAGACAGGGCCGCTTGAAATACTCCAAGCGGGGCTTTATTGACGATAAACACAAGCTGCTCTCGCGCTGTGTGGCACGTCAAACCTGAAGAGTTTCTTCTCAAGATTTCGTTCACCGCAAAAACAAGTTCCAGCCCGCTGTTGTTTCTGCTGTCGCTCATACCGTCTCATCCTTCCTTTGTTTGGCAACCTTTATTTCCTTCATCACCTCTTCGAAAGAGACCCAAAGATCTGGAGATGTCTCCTGATGATCGTGGAGCGGGACTGAGGTATGACTGAACATGTGTGGCTGAGTTCACCTCTTGTGGTGTCTTCCTGTGTGTAATGTTATAATTCATAAGAGGAGAATTGACTCTGTGGAAGATGAAAAAAGAGCTGAAATTAAAGGATGATTGAACATTTTTGGGAATGGTACTGGCACTGATTTTGAAGGGGAATCAAAGTACTTCACATTGATGATAGGACTGTTTAAAAGGGACTATTTCCCAGTCAGTAATCTACATTTTTAAAAATTTGACTTACCGACCGGTCAAAAGGCAGGAAAACAGTCAGAAAACTGTCAGAACTGAATGGATGTCTGCTAGTTTGCTTGTTCTGAACCTGAAGCTTTGGTCCTTTCTGAAGTGACGCATCTCTCTAGTCAAGTTGACCTGAAACAGCCTCCGTACAACTGACACACCCCTCCCTGCTGTGAGACGCCACCTGTTGACTGTGTTTGCTCACGTCCAGGTAGTGGAGCATCACGGCATCATGGCTTTTGTTAGTGATCGAAGCTAGTGGCGTGTGGCTGTGCTGTACCTTTAAGGCAAAGGACAATAAGAAACTGACGGGTACTGTAGGTGCCGACCAGCCAAATGTGCACATCCCCGTTTAGTAGATACCATCATCACACAAATCCAACCTGGTCCAACGTGGTCTTAAAGGGATATTCCGATGTGAAATTAATTTGGGGTCAAACACACCGTAAGAATGAGTTAGACATCCCCTCGAGAGATGAATGTTGCCGACCGCTTGTTTCAGAAGGTGAACCTAACCTTCAGAACCGAACTTCATCAACAGCAGTCCGTAGTGGACTGGCCTGAGGTCTCGCTATAAACAAGCGGCTGCTGGAAGAGAGAAGGTGAGTTGTGTTTAGTCTCTTTGCTAAAGAAATGAGTCAAAGTTAAAAATATGTTTGATGGCTAGTGCTGTAGCTGTGACCCTATATGTCCTGTTGATGAAGTTAGGTGCTGTTCTGAGCATTATTTGTGGCTATAGAGTGGCGTTTTGGTTGAGGTTTGTTTATGGCTCCTCAGACCGCTGTGTATTGCCATCGTGCGGTCGTTTCTAAAGTTGGTATAATTAGAGAAAATCAATTTTTCGCCGGAATATCCCTTTAACTTTGAGCTCCAGACAGTGTTGACTCTGTACTCACCAGACATCTCTATATCTCTGTACTGGCCGACACAATAACCCACATTTCCCATGTTTGAACTTTTGGCCTTTTCCTTTGTTCTTTGGGTGCTGGCCCCACTGTCACTCTAGAAGCCTCCTCCTCTGTTGCCATGCCACAGAGTTGTGTTTCTAGGTTTTAAATGACCAGTTATGAAATGAGACTGTGTGATCAGAAAGGGGTAAAAAAAAAAATTTCCACCAATCCAATTGGACAAGGATAACTTTGGTACACGTTTACTTCACCATTTGAAACTTTGCGACTGTTTATATAAAAATGTAAAAAAGCATAGTCCACCTCTAAAACTACCAACCTGAGTAGTGGACTGAAATCCTGTTCCTCTGTGAGTTTGCATGATGTAATGAGTGTCTGACCTGCTCCTTGACCTCAGAAAAGCTTTACCGTTAAATATTCAGTATGTTTCTCTCAGTTACGAAACAAAGAGATCAACATAAACACTGACATAAATCTACTTGGAAAGCTGTACACATCGTTGCGTCACCACTCCCCATCCGTCCATGACACTGGTGTCTTGTGTTACTCTTGGCTTTTCTGGCAGACACTTGCAGACGGGCTTGTGGTTCAGGCATTAACTTTCTCACTCCATTGATGTCAGCTTGCAGAACATTGGTGTCCATACTCAGAACATAAACAGGTATTAGTTGCATCAGAGTTGAGGGGGTTTCTGTCGTGTGTACCCAAACAGAAACTTGGGTAAACATATTTACTACCTCCTTCCCTCCCTGCTCCTCAATCACATGTGAAGAGCCGGGATGTTTTGCCACCATTCCTCGCATTGTTTGTCTGGCGCTATTTTTAAAGCCTCGTCACCGGGCTTGTTAGCGGCTCAGACGTGCCGCTCCCTGTGTTGTTTCAGAGATTACTTGTTGGGTAAAAAGTGACATCTGCCTGACAGCTGCTCATGCGGTGCCTCACTTCTTCCCCCCCCGGTCCTTCGCTCTGTTGACACGGTTGTTGTCAGTTTCTCAGTGGAAACTTGGACATTTTTCCGATAGAGTGATGAGTGTGGGGAAATGTCCCAGCTCAGTGATTGGTCCACTATTGAAGGGGTGGTGGTCTGTAAGGATGTGAAGAGCTGAAACGGGATACAGCAGCTTCTTAGTATGCTGAGGGGTTCATTGAGCTCAGACGACATGTGACATCCTAGAGGGCTGAAAAGTCCTGATTTACAACCCATGTGTCGTCCGATGACAGCTATTCTGGTCCAGTTGTGCAAACGCTCCTCAGTTGAACTGGAAACCGAAGTTTAGTAAGGCGCGAATTACTGAAGAATCCCAAACAGTCAGATGGACATGGCAATGAAACTGAACTTCAAATCCAACTGTCCCCTTCTCTTTGTGTTGGTGTCCTACTAATCCAGTCTAGATTCCAGTCCACCATTACCACCCACTCACCTCACATTATCTCAGTTATTGCCCAGCTACTGAAATTTAAAAAGTGGCCACAAGATACTGATCTCAAGAAGATTTGAAAATGATTTCCTATGCTAGCCAACGGTTTTTACAGTGGTGAAGTTAGTTTTAGGTTGGATATTTAACGGACATTCACTGCAGATCTACCGGTGTCTTCTCACTCACGTAACCGGGAACGGCAACAGCAGTGTGGTCAAATCTACCCTCGCTGTCAACGTCGGGTGTTGAGTAAGGGACCATCAATAAAATACCAGTTGATGTTCGCAGAAAAGGGTGTTTTCCTTCAATAGCTTCCATGTCATGTGACCAATATGTGGACCAATAAGACACACATTATTTAATCAATTTTAATTTAAGTTTTTTGTGTGCTCCTTACTTTTTCAACTCAGTAGAACACGTGCCCCTTGAGGAAAAAGTTAGTGTCAATCTCTGGATTTACCAAAAACCTAAAATAGGCAGAAGGACCGGTAGCGCTTCAATGGCAACTGTTCATGGGATGAAATAACAAAGTTCACATTTTTATCCGTTTTGCAGTCAAATTTTTCTGTTGACCACACTAAATCGACAGAAGTCTGTTGACTTTTCCCTTTCAGTCAACCAGTCCGGTATCACTCCAAAAACCCATACCAGTTTTCCTTGTGTCTGTTTTCTTCAGTTTGGTCAATGTCTCCTTAAGTCAGCTTCTAGTGTCTACAGGCAGAGGTGAAGCTTCTGGAAGAGAACGTGTTAATAAGAACAAAAGGCTTTCATACCAGACTGCACACACGTTTATATCTGCCATCATTTTAAACGGGGCTAATGGTTTTTGGAGCACACCTTCAGTGGACGCTTGAGGAACTGTCGTTTCTTGCACCTCCAGATCGGCTTTATGTGCGGTTAGCAGTGGGATGAGAGGCGTTTGGTGATGGAAACTGGACTTAACTGGAGTATCATGGGAAGGTATCTTTGGCAACAACAGCGGCGTCATGACTGAACCCTGCTAATCAGTTTAACAAATTATTGATCTTGTCAAGACTGTAGGACTAAAATATTGGTGATATGTTGAGTGGAAGCCGACTGGTGGATGAAACTAGAAATGTCCTCTTGTGTTGGTTACTGGTATGCCAAAGGAAATGATCAAGTGACTGCCAACCAGGACAGGCTAAGAGGTTTCCACATGACAGATGTGCCCCTGTACTGTCGGTTTATCCACTTATAAATAAATAAATGTAACCAAAGCTCATCTTAAGGGTTTGTGATTTGAATACCCTTCAGGGATATGTCTTCCCCTCAGAGCTGATTAAAGGACTGACATAAAACTGCAAAAAGGAAGGAGTACGACTGCTTACACCCTGTGAACCCTGGCAGCTCCGAGTAAGAGAGTCCCTTTCCACGTTGGCAGCAGAGCAAACTGTAAGGAAAAACTTTTCCACTCTCCAGGTGATCTGTGACGAAGTGAAACTCGACAGGACTTCTTCCACAAAGCCTGACATGTCTATCCAGGAAAAAGTCTGTCTTTCTTGGAAGAGAGAAACGCTTATCTGTCACTTTCTGCTTTTATCCCTTCACGGTATCACTGTCACATGTTGCCCCCCATCATGTTTCCCTGGAAGTCTGCCTCCCGGCGGGGGCATGTGCCTGGAAGTCGAGAGGGGAGCAGTGCGCTGACCTTTCGTCATAAGGGTTATCTGAGACCTGGCTGGGTGTTTGGGTCTGCTTGGAGGGGTGGTGAGAGTTTATCAGATACTGTATTTTCTCTTCAACACTTGGGCTTGTTGCTTGTGGGGAGAATTTGAGGGGTCATGGAGAGAGAAAGTGTCATTAGAGTCTTGAACTGATTGATAATTGGTTTTAAAAGGTGCTTATAGTTGATGCTTTGTCGCTTGCGAACAGGAGCTACAAGGGCACCTTTTCCTGTTTATGGGAACAGATCAGTCCAACTATGGGAGCCTCTGAGGTGGATGGCAACTTTTTTTATCTGAACAGGTGACCAACAACATGGAAATCTTGTTCACGTTCCTATTCCGATCAACCACCTGCCTGTTAAGTCATCTATCCAGCTGATGTAGTTTCTTAATTTAGACCATGACATTTCTCTTGGACTGAATTGAATCAATGACTTTCATCTGGTGTAATTCCAAGCCTCAAATAAACTCATGAAGTCGAGTCAAACGTGGACTCTATTTTAAAGGCTGAGTCACTGTGTGTTTTATCAGTGTTTACATGGAGGCCATGAGGTCAGGTCACTGTTTTCGGAAATCAGAGCTGAACGAAGCGCGGCCCTTTGAAACCAATCAACACAATTTAAGCAATTTTAAAATATTTTAAGCAATCCAAGCATCTCACTTTTGTAATTTAGGGCCAGTTAATACGATTAAGTATTTAAAGGTACTCTATTTCAAGCCTTTTTTTTTGGCCATTTTAGCCATTACAAGCCGATCCGTACCATTTACGTACATTCAGGCTATTTTAAGCCATTCAAAGGTGATTCCAAATCATTTTATATTTTAAACCATTTCAAGCCATTTTATATAAGTTACATTATTTTTAGCCTTTTTTAACCAATTGACACTATTTCAGCCATTGCATTTACACCATTCAGGTCATTTCAAGCCATTTTATGTCATTTCATACCACTTAAAGCCATTTTATAATTTTTTAAGTCATGTCTAGCCAATCTTTACCATTGAGTTATTTAAAACTACATCATTTTTTAGCCACTTTTGTCACATTTTAACCTTTTTCAACCAATTTATCAATTTCAGTATATTATTTAGGTCATTTCAAGCTATTTTACCCCCTTTTATACCACTTTAAGCCCTTTCATAATTTTTTAAGTCATTTCTAGCCAATCTTTACCACTTACTTATTTAAAACTATGTCATTTTTAGTCTTTTCTTCCCAGTTTGTAACAATTATTTCAGCCATTGCAAGCCAATTTATACCACTGAAGTTATTTAAGCTACTTTGTTCCTTTTAAGTCAATTTAAGCCATTTTTAGGCCACCGCGTCACACGGTTTCAGTCATATCAAGCCATTTTTCAATCCAGACAGTATGTATTGTGTTTGAATATCCACCATTCTGAGATATTTTATAAAGTTAGGCTAAAAACACCTGTGAATGCAGGTAAAGGGAACAGTGTGGATCCCCAATCCAAGTCAAAGCAAATTTTAAGTTTCAAGAAGTTTCACAACAGATTGATTATTTTATTCGACCTAGAAGGGAAAATGGAAACAAGAGCAACTCAAATAAGGTGTTAATCGCCAGCTTACCCTCAGTGAGCTTCAGCACTCTCTGGGTGTTCTTGAACATGACTCACACAGCCTCTGTCTGTCTTTCCCTGCAGCTGGGAGATCATCGATTCAGGCCAGGACAGCCGGTCTGGGTCTGGACCTCAGCTCAGCGACTCCCTCAGACTTTTCCTCCAGGAAACATCGGCTTTCAAACAGCAGAACCCGGGCAAGGTGAGGCAGAGCGTGAGAAAACTGACCTTCACTTCTCACTGATTGACTGAACTCAACTTTGTTTACATTCATTTCTCAGTCAGATACATGTGTTACGTGTTCAGAAAATTGTCTTAAATGTGAAAGTGTGTTTCCTGGCTCAGCTCTGTTTTTGTCTTTTTGTCTTTTCCAGTTTTGTCTGCTGGTCTGCAGTTTGTGTACCTTCTTTGCTGTCTTAGGACGCTACATTCCAGGGATCGTGATCTCCTATATTCTCGGTTGGTGAACTCAGATTTGAACTTTGAACATTTTCTTTCTTATAAATCAATAATAAAAGCAGAACCAGAGACAAAATGGTCACACACCTCATATCTGATCAATCAGAAAGTAGCACAGCTTTCATCTCTGTGGCAGAAAAAGTTTCTGTGACATTTAGATTAACACTAATAGACATGAACAACAACATTACTCATGGAGAAGTCCAGCGTTACAAATGATTATTTCAGTTTGATGTTAATGTTAGCAAACATGGTGCACAAACCTCCTTATAATCGAATTGTCTCTGCGTCTCACGGCTTCTTTCCGCAGTGCTGGGTGTGTTCCTGTGGCCTCTGATTTCATCACATGAGGTCGGTTTGTGGCTGGAGCCAGTTCTGCAGAAGCTGGACTTTGGCATCGGAGAGTTTCTTCAGAAAGTTAAAGAGAACCACGGTAACCATCGAACGTAATATCATATATCATATGTTTGTATTTGGCAGCGGACAATACAACCCCAGTTTCAAGACAGTTGGACGAAAGTGAATTCTCATGAGGTAAATTTGTATCGAGCGAAAAATGTGAAAAATGTGTAAAGAGATTAAAAAGGCGTCCAGAGAGGCTGAAGAGGTTCTCCACTTTGTGAGAGACTGTGTTAGCAAAGAGTTCAACAACCGCAGGATAATGTTCCTCTGACAGTAATCATCTACCGCAACCTTCAGGCTTTAGGCAGCATTAAAACGGACACGACAGAGACTTGAGCTCATTGGAGATGGACTGAATCGTCTGTTTTCATGTTTCCTTCCTTTCAGAGAGGAGGATCCTGCAGGCTCAGACTGACAGAGAGGGCATCGAGTCTGACCTCTCCTCCATGTTCCCCAAGGTTTGCAAATCTTCATTTCATGTCAATCTAATTTGTCCTCTGCAGAAGGATCAGGTTCAGTTCGGGTTTTTTGCTCATGAGATCCACATTAGAGTTTAGACCTGTGCTAGCATCGATGCCCAAGTTTGGTTTTTCACTTTTCCTCTGAGAGTCCAGTCCTTCTAGTCTGTACTGGACTCTTTAGGTCGTGGTTTGACTCCTAAACCTGTCCTCTCTGTGTGTTTCCCTCCCACAGCTCGACTCCACAGTCTGTAAGGAGATGTCCGTATCGGACACAGAGGTGTCTGATGTGACGTGGACCGATAACGGTACCTTCAACCTGTCAGAGGGACACACGCCACAGACGGAGAACTCAGAGGGTACGCCTGTTAGCTACACTAAAATAATGACCTGCTGCTGTAGCTCCGTCTTTCTCCTCTAGGGGGAGCACAAACACGGCTGATCCAGCAGCAGGAACTTGATTTATTGGCTTTGTTGGAAGTTAAAGTAGAAATTAAAGCTAAAGAAACTTTTGTCCGATTCTTTGAGTTTTATGTCGTTATCGAACCTCAAACTTCATTTTTGTCGTCTTTTACCTCTCAGACCTCGACAGAGAAGAAGCCTTCACCGGTGGCCTTCAGGAATTCCCGTCACTCGACAACGGCGCGACGACAAACGGCGACGATGACGACGACCTCAGCCTTGGCCTTCCCTCGCACCCTCAGCCCCAGGAGCCGATCAAATCCGCGCACACACCCCGTCCTCATAAAGACCAACCCACCCTCGAATTAGTCAACCAGATGGCGGGTGATGTCATCGCCGCTGCCGTCACAGCGGCCATCCAGGAGAGAATAGAAGCGGCGGTTAGCTTCACGGCGCTGAGCGTATCGGATCAATCAGGACTCCCAGAATCCACCAGGCTGCTGGAGTTAGCTGAGGAGTCCGACAGCGAGGTGGAGGACTTTGAGCTGCTGGACCAGTCAGAGCTGGAGCAGCTGGAAGGGGAGCTGGGGCTGGGGGAGGAGAAAACCAGGGTCAAAGAGGAGGCTCAGGACAAGAGCGACAAACCGGCGTCTTCTGGATTCTTCTCCAAACTCCTCAGACGCCACTGATGAATCACACGAACGGTCAACGGGGAGGAGGACAGGTCAGAGGACACGCGGAGGGGAGCTCTGGTCACCGAGGACTGTCGGAGGTCGTAAGAAAACCTCCATTTATCTAATTTTTCTGTAAAGCAACATTTCAAGAGTCCCTTTGACGAGGATTATCGTAGCTGAAATCAGATTTCATCCAGACAATCCAGACCCAACCAAAGTGAGATGAAGATGAGAACCAGTCGCCATTTGTTGCTGTTTTTGTCCAGTGTAGTGCGCAATAGTTCATGAATCGACCTTTATCGCCCGGTGTTACATCATCTATCTGTGCCATCATGTTGGTGTAGACTGAAGGAAACCCAAGTAAAAAAACAAGTTACATAACGCCATCTTGGGCGGAGAAATCTGCCACGGACTCTATAGTTATGATTTTTTTTCTATCTTTTCCCTCTTCGTCCTTTTTTTTGCACCCCTGCCATTTTTACCCACGTCAGAGCGACACATCAATCAACCTGACTGATCCAGGAGAAAGTCTCACACTAAAGCGCGAGGCTGTTTGGGAATTAATGAACACTTAATTGATGTTTTAAGAGGATGATTACGATCACTGAGATCACGGAGGTCAGGCTGTTGTGTAAAATGTTGGTAAAAATGGAGTCTGATAGTTTGCAACTAATTTTAAGTCAAAATTTTGTTAAAAAGTGTTAAAATATAACTTGTCAAATGGTAAAACTTCACATTTCAGTCAGTTGAGACACTCACCAAAACACCGAAATAGTTGTGTGATGTTCTGTAAAGAAACAAATTGATATTTCCAAAACCCCTTGAAACCTCTTTGATCGTAAGATAGGAAATACATTTTTTACGTACTTTCTTCGTCTGTCAAAGTTTTGTTTACGACCCGGCCTCTTAGCAACGCATCCATGCTGTTCAACTTCTGGCTCAAAGTGCGGTGTGCGAACCCTGGAGCGTTACCCCAGTATGTTAGTCCGACTTTGAGAAGTGGTGCGATTCCAGTCAGGCTAACGTGTTCACATTAAAAGTCCAGTTTCAGTCGGATAAGTGACGACTTAGTCAGATTCTGTTGAACCCTGACCCTAAAAGCAGACCCAAACTGACCCCTCTCTTTCATGTTAGAAATAAATATTTTATTTCTGTGATGGTGACCCCCAATCTGGACTCAGGGTAAACCTTCAGCAACAGAGCAGGTTTGACTGAACCTCTTCCCAGTCTAATAAATTATGCCAAAAACCACCGCTGTCATTTTGCGCCGGTGGAGTTGAACTGAAGTCCTCGTCTCTCTGTCAAACCAAACCTCCATCCTGGTCCACAGCAGAACAAATCCATGGGTCAGTGAAGTTCAAAGACTCGATTGTTAATGTTCGTTACGTTTCCTTGCACTGTTCTTCTTCAATGTGGGAGGAGCCTCATTCGTCAACCATGTCCCCTTAAACAACACTTCAGTAGATAATTAACTCTTGGACATGAATCAGCCTCATAAGAACTGAGTAAAATCACAAGAACCAAGTTTGAGAAGATTTTCATCGGCCTTTATCGTCGATTTTTTGTTTCACCCATGTTCCATCTGTTAACATGGAGTAGGCAGGATTTTCATTCTATACCACAGCCGGTCTTTAGGGGGAGCTCTAAGCTTTGGTTCCACTCATGTAGCTGTTCTGCATCAGTCAAAGTCAACTTAACTCATTCAGTGCCACTGGCGGATTTTGACAGATTTTTTTGTTTTTTGTTTTCCACCAAAGCCGACAAATACGTCATAACCATGTTACAATAACAAAAACAAGTACTCGCCAGTGAGAGGTGTGTCATCAAGTGTGCTAATTAGCCGAGTTTGGGAGGTTTTTTTTCTCTATGAGGAGAGTCGGAGAATGCCGAAGTCATTAGCCAAGAGATAACGTCTCGGTGCATCGGCTTGGTGGGCGCGGTGCTACCATCTCTAGATCGAGTGGAGATCCCGGAACCGGACCCTCACATCGTCAGCAGACAATCAAAGAAACAATTTCCGACATGTCGTTGTGCCGGAATTCAGCGACAGTCCTGGCGAGGAGGACGTGAGCAGTCCGTGGGGTTTACATCGTGGCGTTAGGTTCTCAAGAGCTAATCACAATCTGATCTTGAGAGTGATGAGGAGTGGTGTCCGAGAAGGGAGGACCTTAATGCCACCGATATAACGTAGTTTGAAGTGAAATGAAGTAGACGAACAGATTTCTGCTTCAAAGTCTCTCCTTCGTAAAAATGTGTTTTTCCAGATCGGCAAAGATGAGATGACCACGCTGCATTGAGCAGGCAATACCTAAACACAGGAGTGGGTGAGAGACTCACTTTTTTTTTCTTGTCAAAGAAGAGACTCACTCCTTTCTTTTGAGATATTGCACTTAATTCTAGTCCGAGCACAAGATATTCTTTGGGTCCTGATAGATACGGAAATTCCTACTGCGGTCAATGGTGGCACTGGGTGAAAACTGCATTCATGAACCTGGCACTGAATGAGTTAAGACTTGACTGAGACTTGCTCACAACCATGTCCCTCATCGAGTTAGACCCCTGGATCCAGATTAGACATAAAATACAGTAAAACTTAGTTCCAGTGAGAGTTTTATGCGATGATGTTTGTCCATTTGCACCTTAAATATTATTCAAAGATGTTCTCACACAGGCCGGTCTGCCTCTGAGCGTTTTCTTCGACATGCCTTGTACACTTCTGTTTTTATATTAAAGACACTACGATGTATCATGTATCCACTTGAATTAACCATGCGCTGCCTTGTGTTTGCATAACTCTGTAGATAGTGATCGCAGCCTTCGTTTGTCAGTGCCTGACGGGACTTCATGTGGAGCTCAAACAGTCAACGAAAAAAGGTTAAGGCTTCACCGAAAAGAGAAAAACGAATGAACTCAGTCCTTTTTATTTACCTTTAGGTGGTGTCACGGTGGCTTTCACACAGACAGAAAAAACATCTCTATAAACAAAATGTACTTTTATGTAATTAAACTCAAGAATGTCAATAAAATGTCGTAAAGTGTCGTGTGTGTTGGTTATTTGTGAAAGTGTGTTTTCTTAAAGGTACAGTGTGTGATTTTAAACAGCATTTAGCAGAACAGACCTGGAGAGAATGAGGATCATATCCATGAGTATGTGATCACCTGACTATAAAAAACAAGCCTCTGCGGCGCCATCTTTGGGAACGACGCCAAGTCCAGCGATCCGCAGTGGAACGGAAAGACGCTGTTGGAAACTGACACGTTAACTTGAACGGTTACGATCAGCTACGATCGGTGGATACGGCCTTTTTGTTGACGTTCCGGATGCGGTGAAAATTGGGGGTTAGAATCAGGCTGCTTCCTCTTTGCAGGAAGTTTGAAGAGAGTAAGTTAATGACCCATTAGTTAATGAGTCTTGTGTAATCTCCCAATGAACCACTTTGAGCAGTTGACATTTATTTTCTGGAAGTTTTACAACATATCTTTACCTCGTGATTTGAAACTTTGCAGACATCTAGTATGGACACTAAACATTTCTGCAAATTAACTTCACAACATGATCATGAATGCTGTGTTTTACTATCAACAGTTCATTTCTTGTAAATGCTGCAGGGAGGTGTGAGCGCTGCGGCAAACAAAGACGTGTCACTTTTCAGGTATGAAACAAATCATATGATCTTAACTGATGACTTGTGACTCATCACGAAGAGAAAGAGAAAGTAAAACAGCTAAAATACTATCAGTACTACCATACAAATACAACTGCAAACACTGCATCTTTTAAAGTAGTCTTGGTCTTATCTTTGTTTTCTGATCAGCACGGTTTTAAACTATAAAACTTTACACATTCAGCCTCTATTAGGGATCAGCAGCCTCTCAGTTTCTGACATGATTGTCCATGTGGTGATCTGAGTAGGGAGGGACACTATAAAAATGAGGACTGTCAGATGGTTTGTGGAAAATAGGGTGATCTCACCAGCCAAAAACTTTAACAGTAACAGCAGACTTTCAGAGGTCGATGTATCGACATGTTTTGCGGGTAACCTGGGTCAAGATCTGGTTAAACAGGAAACAGGCCCTAAAGCTGTAAATACAGGAGTTTTCATTTCTTAGTATTGTTCTACTTTTAGCTTTCAACTTACATCCTGAGGCCAGAATTTTCAGCACTCTAAGATTTTCACATTTTCTTTGCTTAAAAAAGCTAAAAACAAAAGAAAAAAATGGAAATACTTGAAGCCAACTGGGCCTCATTTATATGTTGAGATGAAAGATAAAATCTTTGTTTTTTTTCTGTTAACTAAATAAATTTTCATACAAACAATGAATAATACAAAAAAATAGGTTAGAAACAAAGACTATCCCTGTTTGGACTTTCCCAGTCTGTGTTTCATAATCAACATTTGAACCAGATCCAAAAAACCTCCAGGTTGTACCACCTGTTAGGTGAGGTTCAGGAAAAAAACATTCGTATAAAAAGCCTCACCGAGCACAGACATTACCTTTACCTGTCTTCATGGTCACATCACATCTGCTCTGCACATCACAAACATGGGAGTCCTACAATCCAAATTCCGTGAGTCAATATGCAACTTTATAAATCATGATTATCATTTATTAGAGGGTTTGATTTATTTCCAATTCACTTTGCATGCCAACAAAATCCTCTTTGGTGTTTTGCACTTATGTTATGACACTTTGAAGTGATTTTGTGCCTGTGTGGTGATTTCCACTACAGGGTTATGTCTATTTTTCATGCACAGCAATCCAGTGTTGCTATGGAGCATTATACTGAGCTTGTTGCTGTATTTACAGTCCGTCCTGCAACACTTTTTCTGAACCCAGTCATGCAGCTAGCCTGATAATAATCAGATGTTGTATCAGGTGACTTTAAGGTAGCAACTCTCCCCACTTTTAACCCTAGCGTTTATGGAAACTTAGTCAAATTAAGTTTGATTCTGACAGCGATTCTGACAGCGTCCCAACTGTTTTGGAAACACAGCTGTAGTGCAACCAGCTGAACCGATCAGCTGTATTCACAAAAATGTAGGATCATTTCTCTGTGAGTTTGTTTTAGTTAGTTTGGTAAATTAGCTTTTTTCTCTCTCGCAAAGCCACGTTTGTATCTTATTTTATTCTAATAAACAGAAATGTTTTTTAAAATTGTACATTTTTGTTGTCCTCATTAACAACAATAACCTTGATAGTTCCCCCACCTGTTGGTCAGGTCAGCTGTGTATGCCTCAAGTGGACACTTGAAGAACTGCAGTATTTAGCACGTCTGAAAAAAAACTCACAACATTAAAGGGATGTCCTGGCATAAATCTTAGTCATGGTCAAACACACCGTAACACCAAGTTAGACAACCCGTCGAGACATGAATGTTGCCGACCGCTTGCTTCTCTAGTTATACCAACTTTAGTAACGACCACAGGATAGCAATACATAGCTGTCTGAGGAGCCATATCCAAACCTCAACCAAAATGCCACTCTATAGCCACAAATAATGCTCAGAACAGCACCTAACTTCATCAACAGGACATATAGGGTCACAGCCATAGTTCTAGACACCAAACATCTTTTTAACAGAACAGAACTCTTGCGATCCGCAGCGGAACAGAAAGAAGCTGGTGGAAATTGATACATTAACCTGAATGTGTCCTTTTCGTACCTGTTCCAGATGAGTTGGAAATTGGGGGTGAAAGGGGTCAGTGCCTGAAACATATCTTTGGAACATCAGTTTGGACGATGCACAGTTTAATGACCTTCTGCTGATGCCACAACCTCATGTTAATAGTCTATCAGCTGTTCAGTATCAGACCTGTCGATGTTGAAGTTGTTTGATGTTTCATGTCTGTTCATTTCTGCTTTTCCTCAGAGCAAATCCGGCACAACAATAAGAAGATCCGGATCGTGTTGGTGGGGAAGACTGGAGTTGGAAAGAGCGCCACAGCAAACACCATTTTGGGACAACGGGAATTTACATCAAGGTGTTGCCCTAAATCTGTGACTGGATGCTGTGCAAAGGCCGATGGTGAGGTGGATGGACAGAAGGTCTCCATCGTCGACACTCCTGGTCTGTTCGACACCAGGGTTGATGAAGACAAAATCTGTGAAGATATAACTCAGTGCATTTTGTATGCTTCTCCTGGACCACATATCTTCCTGATCGTCATCAAACTGGACAGATTCACAGAGGAAGAAAAACAGACGGTGCAGAAGATTCAACAAATCTTTGGAGAGGAAGCAGACAAATACAGCATGGTCCTCTTCACCCATGGTGACCAGCTCAGAGAGACAACTATCCAAGAATACTTGAGTGAAAGCGAAGAGCTGCAGGAGCTGGTGGCCAAATGTAACGGCCAGTATCACGTCTTTGATAACAACCTGGAGGACCGATCTCAGGTCTCAGAGCTGCTCCTCAAGATCAGAGATATAAACAAGAAGAATGGAGGAGACCATTACACCAGTGAAATGTTCCAGAAAGCAGAGAGGGCGATCGAAGAGGAGAAACGACGAATCCTGAAAGAGAAAGGGGAGCAGATGCAAAAAGAGCAGGAGGAGCTGAAGGAGATGATTAAAGAAAAACACATGCAGCTGGTGAAAGCAGAGGCAGACACAGAGAGGAAAACTCAGCTGATGGCAGCCTTTGACAATGAACTGGAAAAGGAAATGGAGAAGCTGATGGAGCAACAGGAAGCAAAGGCCAGAAAGGAGGCAGAGGGCAGCACCCAGCTGCTCTTCCAGGTAGCTAAGATTGTTGGGACGTTGCTCGTTGTGGCTCTGGGAGCGCTACTCGTATGAAAATGTTTCATGGTTGGTTTTTTTAAGCATTGTCGGTGTTGAGTGAGGGTCCTTTTAAGGGTAACGTGTTAAGGCACAAATATAAATCCCATCAAAACGCGGACTCATCCTGCATATTGTTGGACTGTCACGATTTATACAAAATTCGAACCTTTATTCAAATTCTGGGGTGAAAGATTTTGTTCATGCTTTGGACCAACACTGTAGGCCTGACTCTACGCATGAGGTCTATGTGCAGAGGTCTATGTGCAGAGGTCTATGTGTGTCCATCTCAGGGCTCGAAAGTCCCTTCAATCATGTCCCAACCCTTTAAATGAGAAAAGAGCTAAAAATTGATTAAAGTGACATTGTTATTCTGTGTCTTTTTGGACTTAATTTTTCTGTAAACCAGGGAAAATTTCTTTAACTATACTTACAGCAGTCTTTATGTCATTTTATGTGCTGATGTGAATCAAGTCTGGAAAACAGAGGTTTTACAGAAGAGGTATACATGTGAGAATCTCATTATCTGTAGTAAATTCCAACAATAAAGTGCACCACTGTGTAAAGTTGTTACTGTCAAGTTTTAATTTTTTTCTTTTTTAATCTTTGCACCAACAGTTTGATTTTAGTGACTTGGCTGCGACACTCAGTAAACGACTCAGTCTGATCAAAATCAGGTTAACCTCATCGACGTGGCGACAATATCTATGTATTCACAGTTTTCTATGACCAATTATAATATGCTATGAGTTAAAGTCAACAACTCAGTCCTCCAGAGCTTTGGTTGCCAGAGTCCTCCTTTTTTACATGTATGAGTGATGCTTTCTGTATTACTGTAAAAATAAAATAAAGTAAAAGCATTTTAGTGCTGCTGCTGATGTAGGCCTATGATTCTTACTGCCAATATGTCAAAGTTCAGCTACCGTTATGTGCCTCCTGCTGTGCAATGTGCACTGAGCATCCAAATTGCAGGTAGTTGTGGGGCGAAACAATGTCGCTAAAAAGGACACATCCTTCAGGAGCAGAGAAAAGAAAGAGGAAGAAGAGAAAAAAATGTTAAGATAAAGGTATGTTTGCATGTTATGGAATGGTAATCAAAGAGAGTTGTGGAGGTGTGTGAATGATCAACAATCAATATTACTGGCAGAAATAGAGGGCCCCAAAATTAGATTTTGCTTGGGGCCCCATTGAGGCTTGGACTGGCTCTGGGTGTTATGCTTTTTTTTCAGGCTCTCTTCTTCCTCTCTAATTCCTTTTGATATCTTTATATGATTTTCAGATAAAAAAAGAGCCTCTGTTTGTCACTCTGGTGTATTAAACTATCATTATTTCAGGCCCCATCTGAAACGCTTCGCTTTAGCTGCTCTCTTTAAGGACCGCCCCCCTCCATGAGCCTACTTTCTTCTGATTGGCCAGCTCTCCTGAGGCTTGGAGTCTGGCTGTTTTCCTCTGTGCAGGAAGTTTGAAGAGTGTACTTTAATGACCTATTAGTTAATGAGTCTTGTGTAATCTCCCAATGAACCACTTTGAGCAGTTTACATTTATTTTCTGGAAGTTTTACAACATATCTTTACCTCGTGATTTGATACTTTGCAGACAACTTATAAGTATTTGTTGTAAATGTGGAAAGCATAATAACACACACACACCGCCCCTTAAAAAGGTCGATAGACAGCCTGTGAACATTTCTGCAAATGTTGAAAAAAAGTAAAAAAAGAAAAAAAGGGAAATACTTAAGGACAGCTGGGCTTCATTTATATGTTGGGATAAAAGAGAAAAACTTAGTCTGCTCTTTTTCTGTCAACCAAATAAATTTTGATATGAATTATAAAAAAAAAAATTAAGAAAAACAGACTATCCCTGTATGGACTTTCCCAATCTGCGTTTCATAAACAACATTTAAGCTAAATAAAAAAAAAAAACCATCCAGTTCATACCAACTTTTGGGTGTGGTTCAGGAACCAAAGGTTCGTATAAAAAGCCTCACTGATCACAGACATTACTTTCTGTTTTCTGTCTTCTTGATCACAGCACATCTGCTCTTCACAACACAAACATGGGAAGCCAACAATCCAGTTTAGGTGAGTCAATTTGCAACTTTTTCAATTATAATTTTAATTTATATGTAACACAGGGTTTGATTTGATTTCGATTCACTTTCTATGCCAACAAAAGCCTTATTTATACTGTTTATTTAGGGCAGCAGTAGCTTAGGAGGTACAATGGTCATCCAACAACTAAAGGTTTGGCAATACCATTCCTATCCCTAGTCTGTCCATTTTTTCATCTCATAATGCACTAAATGTTTTTAACGGGTGGCAAGCCAGAAATTCAGGCAGACCAGTTTCTCAACAGGACTCTTCTCCTACAGAGCCATGCCATTGTAATCCCTGTTGTTAGAATGTGTTTTGTCATGGTGCTGCTGAAATATGAAGGTTTTCCCTGAAAAAGTCTTTGTCTGGATGGCAGCAGATGTTGCTCTTAAACTTGGAAATATTGTTCAGAATTAATGGAATGTCTGTTTATTATTTTCCTCAGAGCAAAAACAGCTCAACAATAAGGAGATCCGGATCGTGTTGGTGGGAAAGACCGGAGTTGGAAAAAGCGCCACAGCAAACACCATTTTGGGACGACGGGTATTTGAATCAAAACGTTCCCCTGGGTCTGTGACTGGATGCTGTGCGAAGGCTGATGGTGAGGTGGATAAACAGAGGGTTGCCATCATCGACACTCCTGGTCTGTTCGACACCAGGGTTGATGACGACAAAATCCGTAAAGATATAACTCAGTGCATTTCTTATGCGTCTCCTGGACCACATATCTTCCTGGTCCTCATCAAACTGGACAGATTCACAGAGGAAGAAAAACAGACGGTGCAGAAGATTCAGCAAATCTTTGGAGAGGAAGCAGACAAATACAGCATGGTCCTCTTCACCCATGGTGACCTGCTCAAAGGGACAACTATCGAAGGATACTTGAGGGAAAGCAAAGAGCTGCAGGAGCTGGTGGCCAAATGTAACGGCCAGTATCACGTCTTTGATAACAACGTGAAGAACAGATCTCAGGTCTCAGAGCTGCTCCTCAAGATCAGAGATATAAACAAGAAGAACGGAGGAAACCATTACACCACTGACACGTTCCAGAAAGCAGAGAAGGTGATCGAAGAGGAGAAACAACGAATCCTGAAAAAGAAAGAGAAGCAGATGCAAAAAGAGCAGGAGGAGCTGAAGAAGGAGATAGAGAAAAAATACAAAGCAGAAATTAAGAAAGCAAAGGATGATCTGGAGAAAGAAAAACAGCTCAGAGAAGATCTGGAAAGAGAGAAAGAAGAGAAAGAGAAAATACTGGAAGAAGAGCAGAATGGGCAGGCGAGAGGGGAGGCAGAGAACAGCTCTTATGTAATCTCAATGATAGAGTCACTAATGGGGGTACTTTCGGAAGTTGCTGTCGCTTATTTTAAAGGCTGGTAAGACAATCCCACCCCACTGAAATGTCCTGATCCTCCTTCAGTAATATTTCAGTGTTTGAAAAGAATCGGCTGGATCATCTTGTTTTTGCTTTCTTCATGATTCACACATTTTATGAATCCTTATTACAAGTGAAGAATTTCTAAACTTTGATCTAAATGTGCTTTGTGTTATTCTGACTTTAAACATTTAATAAAAAGTTCAACAAACTCTTGATTGACTGATGTTGTTTTTGATTTTGGGCCTGTCTTAGCTAGCTAAAGGACTTTTTAGCCTGTTTAAAGCTAACACTCTGAGCCTGACATGGTTAAATTCTTCTTTAAGTAAATTAATAATCAAACCTGTAACATATTCAGTTTTTCATGGTGACTTACAAGCACTGGTTTCTTCCTGTTGTACAATAATGTTATTTAGCGCTATCTACTGGTAAAATTACAAAAAGGCTCCTCACCAATCTGTCCCATCGCTGGGGCAACGGTGGCCGTGGAGGACCAAAATTGATTATCAGGCTAAAGATGGCGTCATCCACATCAGACGTAAGTGAAACTGTTGATATGGATGAGGTGGTGTTGTTTTCAGTTATTATCATCAGTGTTAGTAAAGTTTATAGCTCAGTTCTGAGAGACTGATCGTGTTTTTTAACGCAACACAAACTGAGGCAATGTTTCATATAACGTCCACATTGTTAAAATAAATAAAATAAATAGTTGTAGTAAAATATTTTTTTCCCCACAAGAATAAAGTGAATAAAGTTGGTATATTGTGACCAAAAAAATCACGTCATAGTAAAGTCATAATATTACAAGAATAAAGTCACCTTTGTTTTGGTATAAAGTCATAATAAAGTTTATGTTTTGATTCACTGTGAAGAGCCAGCTGTCTGTGTCAAAATGAGGAACCTGGAGCGTCTGCTTAAATCTGGATGTCATTAAAAAAATAAAATAAACATTCATCTGTAATTAAGACTCAAAATGGAAGTAATTGAGCTAAAACATTGTGTCATGTCAAACTGGTTGTACAAGTTTTCACAAATTGAAATACCATAGCCAAGAAAAGTTTATTTTAGAGTCAATCTTTGAGTTGACTTTATAGTTATTATAATTGATAATAATAACAAACCCAAAAGTATAAAAACGTGTGAGAGAGAAGCTTGGGGCTCCTCTCCTTGGTTTGGTCAAGAGGCACTTTAATTAAAATCGGGCGTGTCTTGTAATCACTGATGGCAGGGGTGATCAGTGTGTGTGCTGCTGGAGTTCTGTCTCTGAAGATAAGGTAAAAAGGTTTTATTTTAGAGAAGGCTCAGAGAAGAAATGAAAAGAGAGGAAGAAGAGAAAGAGAAAGCACTGGAAGACCAGCAGGGAGAGCAGGCTAGACAGGAGGCAGAGAAGAACTCTAAGGTACTCGCAGTGATAGGTGCAACCTTGGGGACAGTTTTGCTTTTCGGTTTGGCTGTTTTAAAACTAAAACACTGATTAGATAATCTCATCTCACTGAAATGTCCTGATCCTCCTTCATTAATATTTCAGTGTTTAAAAAGAATCAGCTGGATCATTTTGTCTTTGCTTTCTTAATGATTCACACATTTTATGAATCCTTCTTACAAGTAAAAAAATCTCTAAACTTTGATCTAAATGTGCTTTGTGTTATTCTGACTTTAAACATTTAATAAAAAGTTCAACAAACTCTTGATTGACTGATGTTGTTTTTTTTGCAAGAGAAACCGAAATCCTGAGGCAACTTTTCCCACAAAAGAGGATTAGGGCCACAAGAAGAGGGAAAAAAAATACAGGAGGTAGATCTTCTTTAATTTCCGTACTGAGATCACAGTCGAATTTTTGAGATTAAAGTTCTCCAAATTTGTCTGGTTGTTTCTTCTGTAGAGTCGTAATCTTTGGCACAGTCTTTTCAGAGTCAGAATAGTTATGACCACACTGTGTTTGTTTGCTAAAAGAGGAAGGATTTCCTTGTTACTAAATCCAATTCTGAAGTAGAGCTTTACAAATGGTGCTACAGAGGACATGTTGTTGAGTGACGAGCGACAACGCTGTGGATTCATTATCATTAATCTGAACATTACAACTTTATTCATGAATTTGAGTCTTTATTTGTGTCGACTTTATTCTCAAAATTTCGACTTTAATCTTGAAACTTCTACTTGAATCTCTTTCCTGTACTTATTTTTTCTCTTCATGTGGCCCTAATCCTCTTTAGTACTTATCCTACAACGTCCACATTGTAAAAAAAAAAAAAAACATTTTACGAAAAAGTTGTAGTAAATTCTTTTTTCCCCCACAAGACTAAAGTAAGTAAAGCTGGTATACTGTAAAATTAGTAAAGTCATGATATTACAAGAATAAAGTCACCTTTGTTTTGGTATAAAGTCATAATAAAGTTTATGTTTTGATTCACTGTGAGGAGCCAGCTGTCTGTGTCAAAATGAGGAACCTGGAGAGTCTGCTTCAATCTGGATATCACAAAAAATAATAAAATAAACATTCATCTGTAATTAAGACTCAAAATGGAAGTAATTGAGCTAAAACATTGTGTCATGTAAACTGGTTGTACAAGTTTTCACATATCAAAAAATCATAGGTGTACCCCAGAAAAAGTTTATTTTAGAGTCAATCTTTGAATTGACTTTATAGTTATTATAATTAATAATAATAACAAACCCAAAAGTATAAAAGTGTGTGAGAGAGAAGCCTGGGGCTCCTCTCCTTGGTTTGGTCAAGAGGAACTTTAGTTAAAATCGGGCGTGTCTTGTAATCACTGATGGCAGGGGTGATGAGTGTGTGCTGCTGGAGTTCTGTCTCTGAAGATAAGGTAAAACGTTTTTTTTTATTGACTGTGTGAGTCCTTATTAAACTTGCTGTTGTTGCAGACAGACTTCACATTTTCAGCTCAGAAACAGACGAGATCTTCTCCCCAATATCCAAGTATGGCCAGCAGTTATGGTAAGTCCATATATTTTACTATGAAAGGAGCTCAAAGTTTCAGTCAAAGCCTCTATGTATGCAGGTCAAACACAGTATGGTTTAAAACTGGAAAGGGCCACAGGGGCTACTGCTGAGTATTGTACACTATGATGAGATTCTTCAGAAGTATCAAATAATTAATACTAGTCAGTCACATTATGATACCATATACAAGGAGCACAAACATTCTTTATGTGAGTATTTATACATTATTAGAAAATAATAATTTAAAAAAAAAACAGAGCTGGAGCAGCAGACATTTGGAAAACTCCATTAACTGCTCTTTTTTTATTGTTAGTCCCATTCACACTATGCAAAAATATTCCACAGTTTTTTGCAACTTCATGTATGATCCAGAAAAGTAATCACACACTGATCCCGATCAAAGCGCATATTTTAATATATGTTTTTTAAACTCCCGTTTTTTGTTATGTTCTTCGTCTTCATTGACAACAAGTGGACACTTGAAGAACTGCAGTTCTTAGCATGTCTGAATTGGTGTCATTCCTTCACAAGACTGAAGGGTTTCTGCTTTCATTTACCCAAAACATCGTAGACCAAGACTCCACCTAGTGCTCAGTGTTAGAATAACACATCATGAATTTTGAGAATACTGAATGTCTGTTTATTATTTTCTGACATTTCCTCAGAGCAAATCCTCAACAATGAGGAGATCCGGATCGTGTTGGTGGGAAAGACCGGCGCTGGAAAGAGTGCCACAGCAAACACCATTTTGGGACAACGCGAATCTACATCAAAGCGCTCCCCTAAATCTGTGACTGAACGCTGTGCAAAGGCTGATGGTGAGGTGGATGGAGAGAAGGTCTCTGTCATCAACACTCCTGGTCTGTTCGCCACCAGGGTTGATGAAGACAAAATCCGTGAAGATGTAACTCAGTGTGTCTCTTATGCTTCTCCTGGACCACATATCTTCCTGATCGTCATCAAACTGGACAGATTCACAGAGGAAGAAAAACAGATGGTGCAGAAGATTCAGCAAAACTTTGGAGAGGAAGCAGACAAATACAGCATGGTCCTCTTCACCCATGGTGACCTGCTCAAAGGGACAACTATCCAAGAATACTTGAGTGAAAGCGAAGAGCTGCAGGAGCTGGTGGCCAAATGTAACGGCCAGTATCACGTCTTTGATAACAACCTGGAGGACCGATCTCAGGTCTCAGAGCTGCTCCTCAAGATCAGAGATATAAACAAGAAGAACGGAGGAAACCATTACACCACTGACACGTTCCAGAAAGCAGAGAGGGCGATCGAAGAGGAGAAACAACGAATCCTGAAAGAGAAAGAGGAGCAGATGCAAAAAGAGCAGGAGGAGCTGAAGAAGGAGATAGAGGAAAAATACCAGGAGCAAATAAAGGAAGTAAAGGATGATCTGGAGAGAGAAAAACAGCTCAGAGAAGAAATGGAAAGAGAGAAAGAAGAGAGAATTAAAGCTCTGAAAAACCGACAAAAAGCATGGGCGAGACGGGAGGCAGAGAACAATAACCCTGCGTTACTCATAGCGTTAAGTACAATCTTTGAGGCAGTTTTTGGGATCGGTTTGACTGTTTTAAATCTAAAAGGCTGATTAGATAATCTCATCTCACTGAAATGTCCTGATCCTCCTTCATTAATATTTCAGTGTTTAAAAAGAATCAGCTGGATCATTTTGTCTTTGCTTTCTTAATGATTCACAGATTTCATGAATCCTTATTACAAGTGAAAAATCTCTAATCTTTGATCTAAATGTGCTTTGTGTTATTCTGACTTTAAACATTCAATAAAAAGTTCAACCAACTCTTGACTGACTGATGTTGTTTTGGATTTTGGTCCTGTCTTAGCTAGCTAAAGGACTTTTTAGCCTGTTTAAAGCTAACACTCTGAGCCTGACACGGTTAAATTCTTCTTTAAGTTAATTAATAATCAAGCCTGTAACATATTCGGTTATTCATGGTGACTTACAAGCACTGGTTTCTTCCTGTTGTACTATGAGGTTATTTAGCGCTATCTACTGGTAAAATTACAAAATGGCTCCTCACCAATCTGTCCTGTCGCTGGGGCAACGGTGGCCGTGGAGGACCAAAATTGATTATCAGGCTAAAGATGGCGTCATCCACATCAGACGTAAGTGAAACTGTTGATATGGACGAGGTGGTGTTGTTTTCAGTTATTATTATCTGTGTTAGTAAAGTTTATAGCTCAGTTCTGAGAGACTGATCGTGTTTTTTAACGCAACACAAACTGAGCCAATGTTTCATATAACGTCCACATCGTTAAAATAAATAAAATAAATAAAATAAATAGTCGTAGTAAAATATTTTTTCCCCACAAGAATAAAGTGAATAAAGTTGGTATATTGTGACCAAAAAAATCACGTCATAGTAAAGTCATAACATTACAAGAATAAAGTCACCTTTGTTTTGGTATAAAGTCATAATAAAGTTTATGTTTTGATTCACTGAGGAGCCAGCTGTCTGTGTCAAAATGAGGAACCTGGAGCGTCTGCTTAAATCTGGATGTCATTAAAAAAAATAAAATAATAAAACAAACATTCATCTGTAATTAAGACTCAAAATGAAAGTAATTGAGCTAAAATATTGTGTCTTGTAAAACTGGTTGTAGCCTACAAGTTTTCACAAATTGAAATATCGTAAGCCTACCTAGAAAAAGTTTATTTTAGAGTCCATCTTTGAGTTGACTTTATAGTTATTATAATTAATAATAACAAACCCAAAAGTATAAAAGTGTGTGAGAGAGAAGTCTGGGGCTCCTCTCCTTGGTTTGGTCAAGAGGCACTTTAATTAGAATAAGATGTGTCTTGTAATCACTGATAGCAGGGGTGACGAGTGTGTGCTGCTGGAGTTAAAGGTGAAAACAGTTTTTTTTATTGACTGTGTGAGTCCATATTAAACTTGCTGTTGTTGCAGACAGACTTCACATTTTCAGCTCAGAAACAGACGAGATCTTCTCCCCAAAATCCAAGTATGGCCAGCAGTTATGGTAAGTCCATATATTTTACTATGAAAGGAGCTCAAAGTTTCAGTCAAAGCTTCTATTAATGCAGGTAAAACATAGTATGGTTTAAAACTAGAAAACTAACCCTCTGAGCATTTTTTGGTCTAGTAGACGTCTAAATGGAGCCTAGATGGCTGGTCTAAAATCAGGCTACCACAGGTCTTAAAATGAAAGGTTTTTTAGACGTCTAAATTTACACCAAGTTTGGACCAAGTCTAAATCTGGACTGTATCTATACTACACTGTATTTTGCTCAACGACTATCATTATTATTTTGGTACTTGGAGATCAGTTATGCAACTCACAGTTGCTTTTTAAGATAAATAGTTATCGAATTATGGGTTAAAATGGTCTGAATTCTGTCTAAAAATATACAGAATCTAGACGGTTGAAATTAGGTCTAAAAAAAAAAATAGACGTCTAATAGCCGTTTAACGCTCAGTGGGAATGGGAATGTTGGGAAATTTGGAAAGGACACCAGGGGCTTATGCCAGGTATTTTACATTATGATGAGATTCTTCAGAGATTTCAAATAATTAATAGTAGAAGCGTTATATCATAGACAAGGAGCACAAAAAGTCTTTATTTAAGTATTTATTTATTTTTTAGAAGAAAAAAAAAACAGAGCTGGAGCAGCAAACATTTGGAAAACTCAAATAACTTCTCTTTTTTATTGTTAGTCCCATTTACTTCAATGCAAAAATTTCTGCATTTTATCACAGTTTCATATATTATACATAAAAGTTATCGCACACTCATCCTGATCAAACTGCATTTATTGATATTCAATTTTTCCTAGAACACTTCGAGCTTTAGGACAAGTCAAGAATCAAAATTTATCCAGAACAACACATATGTTTTTTCTAACCAATCCCTCCATCTGTTTAAGTTTCACAATATTATGATTGCAAAACCTGATGGATTTATTTCCCCTCTTTGTTCCATAAGATACAACCATACACAATAACGAGGAGCTGAGGATAGTGATGGTGGGAAAGACCGGCGCTGGAAAGAGCGCCACAGCAAACACCATTTTGGGACGACGGGAATTTACGTCAAAGCGCTCCCCTAAATCTGTGACTGATCGCTGTGCAAAAGCTGATGGTGAGGTGGATGGAGAGAAGGTCTCCGTCATCGACACTCCTGGTCTGTTCGACACCAGGGTTGATGAAGACAAAATCTGTGAAGATATAACTCAGTGTGTTGCTTATGCTTCTCCTGGACCACATATCTTCTTGGTCCTCATCAAACTGGACAGATTCACAGAGGAAGAAAAACAGACGGTGCAGAAGATTCAGCAAATCTTTGGAGAGGAAGCAGACAAATACAGCATGGTCCTCTTCACCCATGTTGACCTGCTCAGAGAGGAAACTATCCAAGAATACTTGAGTGAAAGCGAAGAGCTGCAGGAGCTGGTGGCCAAATGTAACGGCCAGTATCATGTCTTTGATAACACCAGAGGGCTGGAGGACCGATCTCAGGTCTCAGAGCTGCTCCTCAAGATCAGAAATATAATCGAGAAGAACGGAGGAAACCATTACACCACTGACACGTTCCAGAAAGCAGAGAGGGCGATCGAAGAGGAGAAACAACGAATCCTGAAAGAGAAAGAGGAGCAGATGCAAAAAGAGCAGGAGGAGCTGAAGAAGAAGATAGAGGAAAAATACAAGAAGCAAATACAGAGAGCAAAGGATGATCTGGAGAGAGAAAGATGGCTCAGAGAAGAAATGAAAAGAGAAACAGAAGAGAGAATTAAAGCTCTGAAAAACCGGCAAAGAGCATGGGCGAGACGGATTGCAGAGAACGCCCCTATGTTACTCTCAGTGTTAAGTACATTCTTGGGGACAGTTTTGGTGATCGGTTTGGCTGTTTTAAGAAAATAAAACACTGATTAGACAATCCCACCCCACTGAAATGTCCTGATCCTCCTTCAGTAATATTTCAGTGTTTAAAAAGAATCAGCTGGATCATTTTGTCTTTGCTTTCTTAATGATTCACACATTTTATGAATCCCTATTTCAAGTGAAAAATCTCTAAACTTTGATCTAAATGTGCTTCATGTTATTCTGACTTTAAACATTTAATAAAAAGTTCAACAAACTCTTGACTGACTGATGTTGTCTTGGATTTTGGTCCTGTCTTAGCTAGCCAAAGGACTTTTTAGCCTGTTTAAAGCTAACACTCTGAGCCTGACACGGTTAAATTCTTCTTTAAGTTAATTAATAATCAAGCCTGTAACATATTCAGTTATTCGTGGTGACTTAGAAGCACTGGTTTCTTCCTGTTGTACAATAAGGTTATTGAGCGCCATCTACTGGCAAGTTATAAAATAGAATGATTCCTCACCAAGTTATAGTAGAGTCGTAAAGCTTAGAACAGCACCTAACTTCATCAACAGGACATATAGGGTCACAGCCATAGTACTAGACACCAAACATCTTTTTAACTTTGACTAATTTCTTTAGCAAAGAGACTAAACACAACTCACCTACTCTCTTCCAGCAGCCGCTTGTTTGTGGCGAGACCTCAGGCCAGTCCATTACGGACTGCAGCGGGGTGACGCAGCTCAAGGAAGAACATTTATGATAATTTCTCTATGGAAATGCAATCAGACCGAGACGCTAAGACAGAGGAACTACAGTGTCTGCAGTGCAAAATGATTAATATGATGATTATTACTTAAAGGAAATGATAAAGTGATGATCATAGATGTTCTTCCTTGAGCTGCGACACTTCGCTGTAGTCCATAAATTAATTTAACGCCAGAATATCCCCTGAATGTGAAAGTTTAATTTATTCGTAGTGTTACTCCGAGGCGGTAGGTGGCGATACTGCGATATAATACTTGTTGCCCACCATCGAGGAAGAAACCGGGAAGCTGCCCTCATGTGTTCATGTGTTTTTTATGGACGAAGGAAAGCCTATTTACCACTTCACAGAGGAGTTCAAATAAAAGCTTTGTACGAACGAATCAGCTCTCTAAATAAGTAAGTAAAAACTGGATACATTCACGTCTGTCTGAAGTTGTCGTTACTCCTTTAAAGCTCTGTGTTTGTGGATGTTTAGCCGTAAATGTGTGTTATTTTGATCGCTGGTTGTTAGCCACATGTAGCTTTCGTGGTCCTATTTTACCATGCGTAACTTTAAGAAACGATTTAAACTCTTAGTTTATATTCCTGACTGTTAAACTATGAGGTCGTGTGTGTCTGAGGAGACTAACCAGCAGGTCTGACCCTCTGCCGGGTTATATTTTCCCTTTTATTGACTTTATGTTACGCAACTTCGAAAATACAGTGAAGTCATTTGGTCTTTGGGCTCAAAATGGATCAAGTTTTTATAAAGTTATGATGTTGAATTAGAAATGATGATCTCGGACACAAAAAGACGCTTTCAGATTAGTACTCAGACCTTCATCATCACCGTCCCTGGTGTGTCTGCTTGTAGATACAGACTTGTGTTAGGTTACACACATACAATTTTGGGTCTTGGTGTGTCTCACCTCCACAGGATAAAGATGTGAATTACACACACACACACTCATGGTCACACAGAGCTTTCTTAGATCTTAACATCTCCACTGAAGTAGAAACAAATGACAGTTTAATACGTCACTAACTCACCCTTTAATTATGTTCATTCCTCAGAGTAGGTGTCCTGTCTTAAAGGGATATTCCGGTGTAAAATTAATTAAGAGTCAAACAAACCGTAACACGGAGTTAGACACCCCCTCCAGAGATGAATGTTGCAGACTTTAGTAACAACCGCAGGATAGCAATACAGAGACTCACACACTCAACCAAAACGCCACAAATAATGCTCAGAACAGCACCTAACTTCATCAACAGGACAAATAGGGTCCCAGTCGTAGTACTAGACACCAAACATCTTTTTAACTTTGACTCATTTCTTCCCCAAGACCTCAGGTCAGTCCATTACAGACTACAGCGGGGTGTCGCAGCTCAAGGAACAACATTTATGATCATTTCTTTATGAAAATACAATCAGACCGAGACGCTAAGACAGAAGAATTACAGCGTCTGCAGTGCAGAATGATTAATATGGTGATTATTACTTAAAGGAAATGATAAAGTAAAAGTTTCATGTGTTTATCTGGTACTGGCCCCGACTCAGTACATGTACATGACAGACAGACATCTCAACACTCGTGTCTCGTCCTCTGCCTCTTCAGCAACTTGGAGCTAATTGTTTCAGCAGAACTTCAAATTGTCCAACTGACATCCGAAAATAGGTTCTGAAGCGACCGTCATCATCACCAATCCAGTTTCAACTCACCAAGTTCTCTTCTTTTTTTGTAAAACTGGACCCATGTGTTACGTTTCTTTTTCCTTTGAGAAAGCAAAATACAAAAAAAATAAATTTTGTCTTCTCGCTTCCACCCGGGACTATGTATGTGATGACGTTTCCAGCTTTTCTAGCCAATCAGAGGCAAAGGAGGCAGGACTTTCGCCGGGAAAAGTCTTCCCCGGGACGCGTCTTTTTCACCTCCGAATATTTCGTGATTTCGCGTTCTATATTCGCGTCGGCCGCTTTATTTTGAATTTTTGACACCAGTGAAACAGTTGAATGATTATTTTCTACTGACTTTTCCAGGAACCATATTTACCCCAAAAAATACACGTCGCATGTAAGTCAGATTTTTAGATTTATTCCTAAATTTGACAAAAAATTGCGATACTTACGTAAATCGATTTTTTTCTCCCACCCCTTTTGATTACAGTTGTTGTTAAATGTTCGTCTGCGAGTTTAAAATAATCGGAACCGTCTTCCTCTTCCTCCCTTCAGCTCACGATGGCGACTTACACCTGCATCAGCTGCCGGGTGGCTTTTGCAGACGGCGACATTCAGCGAGCTCACTACAAAACCGACTGGCACCGCTACAACCTGAAGCGTAAGGTGGCCGACATGCCGCCGGTCACCGCAGACAACTTTCAGGAGCGCGTCTTGGCGCAGCGAGCGGCCACAGAACAGCAGCTGAGCGACGCCGCCGCCACCGAGGGCTGCGCCGTCTGCAACAAGAAGTTCTCCAGCGCCAATGCCTACCAGAACCACCTGCAGTCCCACAAACACCAGCAGGCGGAGAAGCAGGCCCTGCTGGCCGCCCAGAGGAGAGTGGAGAAGATGAACGAGAAGAACCTGGAGAAAGGACTCGGGGACGAGAAGGTGGACCACGATGCCAGGAACGAGGCTCTGCAGCAGGCCCTGAAAGAGCAGCAGAGGCCGAGCCCCGCCAAGCAAGGGAAGATCCAGACGCCCCAGAGGACGGAGAAGCAGGAGAAACCGCCCAGAGTGATGTGGCTGGAGGAGCAGGCCAAGAGGAGGGAGAAGGAGGAGGAGGGGGCCACAGCTGGGGAAGGTGAGGAGCAGAAATATGTAGATGTTTACAAGAGTCACAAATCGACATAATCCAGATCAACAACTCTGAGTCAACTCTGTTTTTATGACGTTTTCTAGATGATTGGGAGGACGTTGACGAGGAGGATGATGACGACGACGAGATGGAGGAAGAAGAAGAAGAGGAAACGATGGATCATGAGGAAGGAGGAGACTCAGCAGCTTCCTCTGACCCCCGCCCTGCAGCTCTGCCGGGCTCCATCCCCGTCACAGACTGCCTGTTCTGCTCCCACCACTCCAGGACGCTCATGAAGAACGTGACACACATGACGCAAGTCCACGGCTTCTTCATCCCTGACGTGGAGTTCCTCGTAGACCTCAGGGGCTTCATCCGCTACCTCGGTGAGTTTGGTGTGTCAGTGTGAGGGTCCGGACTTTAAAAGGTGAAGTACGGTTCCATTCTTACAGGATTCCAGCTTCTCAACACAGGAACACAGGAGCTTTAATGTCATTTGGAGATATTCCCATTTTTCAGTTTCTCCGTCTCGTTTTAAAACTTGTTGCTGGCATCAAAGTAAAAAAAAAAAGACTCTTCTGAAGACAGGGTTACAAATGAAGCCTAACGTTTTTCTTTCCTGGTGTTTCAGGAGAGAAAGTGGGAGCTGGGAACGTGTGTTTATGGTGTAACGAGAAAGGACGGTCGTTTTATTCAGCTGAAGCGGTTCAGAGTCACATGACGGACAAAGGTCACTGTAAACTCTTCACGGAGGGAGACGCCGCTCTGGAGTTCGCCGATTTTTACGACTTCAGGTACAAAAATGAGTTTTTCATTCGTCACTGTTTTTTGTAACGAGTTAAAAGTTTCTGCTTTAGATGGAAATAAATGATCTGTAAATGACTTTCTGCTTCAGGAGCAGCTACCCGGACCGGAAAGAGGGAGAGGACGCTGACGCAGACGTGGATGAAGACAAGCTGCCGGACGATAAGACTCTGGAGTACGATGATGAAACGATGGAGCTGACTCTTCCTTCAGGTGACTCTTCTTTGAAATAATTGAAATGACAGATTTAAAGAGGCTGATGTGTTGATTTTCCATCTCAGGTTTGGTTCGAATTGTTCCTCGTTGTGGTTTTATAGCTTTAACTTCACACGCTCAGATCTGAACTCTACTTCCAATCCAGGTGACCAAACGCTGACCAAAGTGCTGTACAGTAAAAATTATACAAACAACAATAACAGACAATGAACACGAACAATAAAACAAAGACAGAGACACACTTTAAAAACAGGGGGACATGGATGGTTCAGTAAGAACATGATAAAAAGGCCGAGTTCTCAGGAGTTAAAAGCAGAGGAGTAAAAGTGCGTTTTGGGGACAGTCGGACGTGAAGAGGAGGAGCTTTTCAGAGTTTAGGCGCAGTAATGGAAAAAGACCGGTCACCTCTGAACTTTAATCTTGACCTACAGACAGTCAGAAGGTGCCGGTCAGAGGATCTGAGAGTCTGAGATGAAATAAAGAGTTTAAAAAGGTCAGAGAGATAAAAAGGAGCAAGCCCTGGTAGGGAGGGGTAGAGTTTACATTCAAGATTCCTCCCTCAGATCCTGACTACCCTACCTTTAAGAGAGGTTTGACTGGCCCCCAAAATTAAGTGCAATAATCAGGATGAGTTGTGATAAACAGCGTGCATAATCTTCTCAAAATCACTGAAAGATTAAAAAGACTTACTTTGTGTGTTTTTTCGTAGGAGCGAAGATCGGCCACCGCTCCCTCATGAGGTACTACAAACAGCGATTCGGGACCCAGAGAACCGTGGCCTTGAGCCACAACAGGAACGCCGTCGGCAGGGTCCTCCGTCAGTACAGAGCTCTGGGCTGGGGGGGCGATGGAGGTAAGAATCACAGAGGAGCTCAGACGGACTTACAGTCTTATTTTCAGGTTATTCTGAACGTCTCAGTCAGTTTTAGTTTTTAGTTTTCGTCTGACTAATGTAACTTTCAGCGCACAGAAATGAATGACGCTGCACTCAGGGACTCTTAAAGTTTTAAAGCGGTTTAAAGCTGCTGCTCCTGACCGACTCTGAACCTCCTCGATCCAGGACCGTAAATACTGAACATGTTTAATCTTCATAATGAGTAAAAAGTTCTGACTCTGCTGTAAATATCTTGCAAACCCAGAGTGAATTTGTATTCTCCGTGGGCTCCAGCTCCACCAGAAGATAAGAAATGTTATTAAATGAAACTCCGGATTCGATCCTCTTCCTGCGGAGCCCGTGACCCCGCTGTAGCACCTTTTGTTCGCTTTGATTTATTGTGTTTACTCTGAAGAGGTTTGCGGCGAGGAGAATCTCACAGCTGTTGTCAGTTTTGGGCGCCGATGGAGCTCCATTTTTCAGCCGTGTTGTTTCTTCGCGGTGTTTGGAGGATTAAATGTGAACTTTTTCTTCCACTCTGTTTTGTAGAGATGACGTGTTTTTGGCAGTTTCGGGATTATTGATAAAGCTGTTTCTTGTTGTTGCTCTCAGGAGTCAAATTTCATTTCAGGGCGGCTGTAACCGCTTCTAACAAGATGTCAGGGCTGCCGGTTTGAAATCCTCAGACAAACTCAAGATGTCGAGCTCCTTCTTGTGCTCGTTTGTGGTCATTTCTGCTCCTGAACCACATTAACACTCACTCTGCATCTCCTCCCGCCCCTCTTTTTCTCTCTCAGGATGCGGCTCCTTCCACCAGAAGCAGAAAGACATGCAGTACGTCCAGATGATGAAGTCCAAGTGGGTGCTGAAGATGGGCATGAGCCACAACGCCACCAAGCAGAAGCACTTCAGAGCTCAAGTCATGTTCTAAACTCAAACCCGAGGAACCGAAACATGAACTGATGGACCCGGAAAATATCTGAACTTTATCAGCCGATCAGAAATCACACTCAGCTGTGAACGCTGTGAGAAAGTGGAGGTCAGGAGTCTGCAGCAGAAACTGTAAAGAGGACTTCTTCCGAGTCTTTTATTTGTCGTATTTTCGTGTTGAAGGTCCACTTTAAGTTGAAATGGTCTGAAAAACTCAAATCGATCTCTGTGAATCTACATTAAATAAGAAGGATTTTAACTCATATCCGTAAAAGAGCATCTTCAACGATTTCATGCTTCAAGTACATTCAATAAATAGAATAAACATATTTATTTGGAATGCCACAGTTCTTTTTTTAAACCTGTTTTATCAGTTGTTGTTAAAAATTATTATAAAATCTGTAAAATCAGATAATCTGGTCGGTTTATTCTCGTTTGAATCTCCTGATCACAGCTGCGGTAAAGATCCCAGCAGAGAGGCTCAGACTGGAAACACACCTGTCCCACAACCATCCAGTATAGGAACAGCTTGTGAGGGTATTCTCAATAAATCAAATAATTTGATCTTTTATTTTGACCGTTTTTATTCACTTCTCTACATTAAAATCTAACTTAAGTCATGAATTTCAAAATAAAAGAATAGTTTAACAATGAAGGATAAGAAAGGAGGCAGAAAATATCAAAATAAAAGCAAAACAAACATTTGTCTAATGAGGTTTCGGTCACAGAGCTGATGATAAATCATAAATATGAGTATTATTAAACAGATGACGTTAATTTAAAGGGATATTCCAGCTTAAAATTAAGTTAGGGTCAGATACACTGTAACACCGAGTTTGACACCTCCTTCTTGCTTGCTTCTCTAGTTATACCAACTTTAATAACGACCGCAGGATAGCAATACAGAGAGCCACGCGCTCAACCAAAACGCCACTCTATAGCCACAAATAATGCTCAGAACAGCACCTAACTTCATCAACAGGACATATAGGGTCACAGCCATAGTACTAGACACCAAACATCTTTTTAACTTTGACTCATTTCTTTAGCAAAGTGACCAAACACAACTCACCTACTCTCTTCCAGCAGCCGCTTGTTTGGAGCGAGACCTCAGGCCAGTCCATTACGGACTACAGCGGGGTGTCACAGCTCAAGGAAGAACATTTATTATTATTTATTATTATTATAGAAATGCAATCAGACCGAGACGCTAAAGCAGAAGAACTACAGTGTCTGCAGTGAAAAATGATTAATATGGTGATTATTTCTTTAAGATAATGATAAAGTAATGGTCATAAATGTTCTTCCTGCGGTCGTTACCAAAGTTGGTCTAACCAGAGAAGAAAGCGGTCGGTAACAATTATCTCTTACGGGGGTGTCTAACTCGGTGTTACTGTGTGTTTGACCCTAAATTAATTTTATACCGGAATATCCCTTTAATTTCATATTTGATTACAGTCATTCTTAAATGTTAGTAAAGTTTATAAAGTGGTCTAGAAACATTGGGATGATGTTGTTATGGTGATATTTGTGTCCCTGATAATGGTGAGGTGAAAATCTGATCTGGTCTGTATCTGGTTCATGTGATTCAGAACTAGAACCAAAGCCAGCTGGATCACCCACTCTGGAAACTAAGAAGATGTGGATTTGATCATTCTTGTCCAGATTAAACCTTTTAGACGGCTTTTACTCAGAAAATTGTCAGGATTTACTGCAGATGTTTGTGAAAAGGATTCTAAATTCCAGTCACTCTTGCTTCCTGACAGTTTTTCATCTCTTTCACCGTCGTTCACCGCTGAGAGCAGGATTGGTTCTCTGTGTTCCTGCCAAAGACAATGACTCAACTCTTCACTGTACTCTTTTTCAGGTACGTCAGATTTATCAATGACTCAGGGTCTCGTGCAGATGATGTCATCGTAAACCGATCAGGCCGGAGCAGGATGCTGACCCACCACACCGCCCCTTTAATGAGCTCAGTTACTCCATTTGTTTGCGGTCCTCCACTTTATCTTTGGCAGGCTCTCCACTTCCTTTCGCAGGCCGGGAGAGTGTTTGCGGCGCGATGGTTTCAGAGTTTAGGGCACTCTGCCTGTCCAGCACGCCGCTCTTTGACAGAGCCGACAGGAAAAAAACAGAGAGGGGGAGGGGCCCTACAGACAGGCCGACGGCGAGGAGGAGACTAATTGATCAGAACGGCCCGAGGAGAGAAACAGGGTGGATGTCTGAGAGGCATTAGCGCTGTGGACGTCCTGGGAGGAGGTGATTCTTCTCACTGGAGTCATGGTTGATCATTTCAGACCTCACGGTGTTTTTACTGTAGACATGATCGTAACGTGTAGATAACATGAGCTGACCGATCAGGTGAGATTTTAAGGTTGCAGCTACAGGAAACTTTCCTGATTGACAGAGCCAATCAGAACCCACTCAGGTAAAGTCGGTTCTGATTGGCTCTTAATTCTATTGGCTGGCACAACTCACGATAAAAGTCAGTCTTGGTACAAAAAGAATTTGGCCTTAACTCGTTGGTTCCACTTCGCAACTTCTTTTTTTTAGCTGCGCCGTCAGCTAGCTTACACGGCTAGCTGCGGTGGCGCCATCAGCTAGCGTACACAGTCTATTGCCAATTCGATTTAAAAAATGTGTATGTCCAAACCAACACCACTTACCGGATTTTTCGGGCCATAAGGCGCACCGCACTATGACTTAACGTGTCCATGTTCACACATCAGGCGCACCGGATTGTAAGGCGCATTAAGCAAAACAACACAGTCTGCTAAATCAAACTTTATTTATCTCAGTTTAACCAACAAATACCGGTCATACTTTAACTTATTGATTCATTCCTCTTCCACAAATACATCAAATAAAATTCTTCATCTTCAGTGTCTGACTTTAACAGCTGTGCGGTTTCGGCATCAAGCCCGCCTGGATCCCTCTCGTCATTATCCGAGTCTATCTCGTTACTGTTACCAGTACTTGGTTGTTCAGTGATGATTCCAGCTTTCGTGAAAACTCAGACGACAGTTACCGTAATGCTTTGAATATCCATTGAAAAGAGCAGCTTTGTTGCTTACCGAAATCGTACTTACACTTTCGATAGATTTTTGAGCGCATTGTACCAAATCGGTCAGTAAGCACAACAAGTAATCATACATAAGGCACGCTGGATTCCGAGGCGCAATGTCAATTTTTGAGAAAATGTAAGGATTTTGAGTGCGACTTATAGTCTGAAAAATACAGTAAATAAGTGAGCTATCTGCGTTTGGAGACTTATTTATTCCTAAGTGGACCATGGACTCCTCCGATGCTTTCCACTAGCTTAGCGATAATGCGCAATTGCCCACGATCGCGGTTGCCAGTTGCGCCGCTCTTCCGCAGTACTGGACCGATTTAAGAAAAAGGGTCCAGGTTGAGAAATACCAAAGTTCGTCTTTAAATTAATCAGAGGGAAGATACTTAAATTGGTGATTAAGTTTAAAATTAGCTCGAAGGTTTGACTAACTTACGATTATCAATAAAACATAATGTTACAAGAACAAATGTAGCTAGCTGCCTAAAATAGTTAGACTTAGCTGGTCCTGAAACGAAAGCAGAAATATATCGGAATCATTAATGACTATTAACGAAACAAACAGTTCCGACATTTATTTCCTTGATAAGTTTGTTTATCGGTTTGTGTAATGGAAATGTTAAATGTTGTGAAGACTTTAACCTGATCTCCTGTTGGTCGGGCGCCACGCCATCAGACAGGAGGTACGATCCAAAAAGTAAACCCCGAGTCCGTCCATCTCAGCGGCCTCTCCTCCTAAACAAAAACGAGTTCAGAAGCAGATCACCCGGCCCTCCCTCTCTGCTCTCAGCACGAGCCCGGTCTCCCTCCGAGCCCTGGGGACCTGGTATTGATCGGTGCCTCGTAGGTAGTGATTGGACATGAGTGGATAATTTCCTTTGCTGCATTAGAGTCCATTACTGGTCCGCTCCCCGGAAAGTGATAGACATCCTCAACAAAAAAAAAAAAAAAGAAAACAAAAACGGGAGGAAGATTCTTCTTGGAAAAGCAGTCTCCTCTGACAAACGACTCCTCACACTTTATTATCATCTGGTCTGAGTGGAGGCTGAAAATAAGATACTGGCTAACAGTGAAGACAGAATAGAGCCTTTTATTTTAGACCGGAGCTGCTCTGAGGGTGGATGACGCTTCAGATCCCCGTTATGTAGACGTAATGAGCACTTTATTACCAACTCTGGGTCATTTACAGCTCTAAATGTGGACCGAGTCTATCTCTGGATCTCCATAGCAGGATAGGATATCGTCTCATAAACCCTCCTGGAAATTTCTGGGAAATTTCAGGACAGCCTTCCCCCCTCGTTCAGAAGCCCCACATGGCACCAAGTTTTCACAGTTTGATAGGAAGGGGTGGGGTGTCTCAGGAGGCCAGACATGATGTAAAACCTTTTTACTAAAAGGATGCTGCAGAAGTCTGAGTGTAATGTTTCCAAGATGACCAAGATGGCGGGCAAAACCAAGTCTGTCACTAACGCCAGATCTCAAACTCTGCTCTCACGCACTCAGGGACTTTGAGACGTGTCCCCTGGTAGTGGAGTTTTACCACAACAACAGATTACTGACTTTCTGTGGGTCCTCGCTTCTGCAGACTCAGCTGTGGGACTCACCCGGAGTTCACTACAAACCCAGTGGCGTGAAGGACGTGATCGGTCAGTCGCCCACTAAATGTAAACAGAGCAGTTTCAAACGTCCCCACAGAAACAGGAAAAGAAAAACTGTCCAAGTCCTGGTACTGCAGCTGTGATGGCAGAAAGACAGTTTGAATGTAAATCAATGGAATACTCAGGCTAATTTAGGGGCAAAAGGCACAAAAAAGGCACTTCATGTTTGCCATGAGAAACACGATAGACATGAGAATATTATTCTTAAGACACAAACCTTTGTACGGCAACCAAATGTAAACAACTTGAAAGTTACTTTATCATGTTTATCCACTAGAAGGGGGTCTTAAAGGGCAAATTATGGAGTTAAAGTCACAACTTTCTTTGAGAATAATCAGGTTCAAGGGCATCCAGAGGCTACTTTGTTTACATATAATCCATCACAGGGGCATCCAGAGGGTACTTTCTTTACATTTGACCCACTGCTAGGGCATCCAGAGGGTACTTTGTTTACATATAATCCATCACAGCGGCATCCAGAGGGTACTTTGTTTACATATAATCCATCAGAGGGGCATCCAGAGGGTACTTTCTTTACATTTGACCCACTGCTAGGGCATCCAGAAGGTACTTTGTTTACATTTGATCCACTGCTAGGGCATCCAGAGAGAACTAATTAAACTTAGATTGAGTTCTAGGACAACCAAAGGGTGGTTTGTTTTCATTTATTACATTTAGCACAGACAGGGGTCACTTTGTTTACATTAAAATTCCTACTGGGACATCCAGAGGGAACTAATTTAACTTTAATTGTTTACTAGGGCACCCAAAGAGTCCTTTGCTCACGCTTGATCCACTTATAGGATGTCAAGTAGGTACCTGTTTACACTTGGTCATCAAAAGGGTGCTTTGTTTACATTTAAATCACCACTACAGTATCAAGAGAGAATTTGTTTACATCTGATCCACTGCTGGGGCTTCCAGAGGGTACTAATGAACCTTTGTTTGACCACTCAGGTATCCAAAGGGTGCTTTGTTTACATGTTTTAATGAGTAGGGCATCCAGGGGGGATGCATTATATTTTGTCCACTGTTTAGTTATCTGAAAGACCCACTTTAGTTACATTTGATTAACTTGATTTTTTGTTTTATGAGCTCCATAGAGAAGGAGGACCACGCCTGACATCCAGGAAAGAGAAGCTGTTGAACTTTTTGCTGTACCATACACCTCCTGTATTGGGCTTCAATGGTGGGCATCTTTCTATGGTGCTGTATGGGGACTGACTCACTTAGGAACCAACCTCTAGTGGCCACTTGAGGTACAGCAACCTTTGACCCTTCCATACCTGCTTCTTTTCTCAGGCTCAGTTTTTTTTTTATCAGGGAACTAGATCAAGATCTCTTTCGGTGTGTTTGACTGTAAATTAATTTTACGCTGGAATATCCCTTTAAGTTTGTTTTTATGGCATTTAATAAAGTGATTTTCCTTCTAGCTTGATGTCATTCTTCTGTTAAGATGTCATTAAATACAATCAAACTAAGTTCTGATTTAGACTCTCTTTAATTTGAGCTCCAACTCCTTCAGAGAGCCTCAGATTGAGAGTTTACAGTTGCATCATTTCCCAGCTGAGGTGCCTTTAAATCGCAGCCACCACCCTTGATAATGATGACATTTGTTACCCAGCAGGTGACCCTTCAGCTCAGACAGGGTGCTGCTGGTTCTCATATCTCAGCACACACAGTTCTGTCAGTGTGAGGCGGGCAGACTGCTGCTGCTGCAGCTGCTGTGAACATGATGCAGCTCTGCTCCTCCTGACAGCCGTCTGTGCAGCAGCGGCAGCAGCAGAGCATGCACAGCTCTGGAAACTTATCTCCTCCATCATATTAATGGGATAGTAATGTGATTGATTGGTCATCTCCCCGGGGAAATGGTCTTTTTTGCTTCCGGAGAGAGACAGACTCATCACCGAGACTAGAGGAAGGATTTTTGCTCAAGAGCCCCTCAGAAGGGTGAGGAGTGGGTCACATCCGGAGGGTTTCAGCCCGGGTGGTCCCGTGTGGAGGTCGCTTTTCCGTGTCGCTGTACAGCTGTGCAGCCGTCAGCTTCTTCGGTGGGACTAAAGAGGAGGAGGAGGAGGAAGGAGGGAGGGGAGAGGAAGCGGGGGAATCCGGCGCTTCAGGACGGCAGAGTCCCGCTGCGATGCATGGATGCTGCTTGGAGATGCTCCCCGGGTCTCCGGAGCGCATGAGGCGGATTCATCAAACCGACGGGCTGCAGCACCGGGAGGATCCGGCCGCTGATTCACAGCTCAGCCAGGCAGCCACGCCATAGGTTCGGAAAGCACGGAGTGGAGGTACATCCCCCCCGCTAGAACCGTGATCTGGGAGCCTGAAGGCTGCATCACATCCCTGCGTCGCAGTGGTGGATACAGTGTGATCTGTCGAGCGGCATCTATGCAAGTGAATCTCCATTTTTCATTTTATTATGAGCACAGAGGAGGGAGAGGCGAGGGGAGGCACTGCCGTCACCCACCGCCACACCTGGGGTGAAGGCGAACCGGACGGCTCCCAAGGACGTCCGCACCCCGATGATGATGAGGAGGAGCGGGCAGAGCAGAGAGAGGAAGAGGAAGAAGAGGAGGAGGAGGAGGAGGGAGGAGGAGAGGGTCGGAGCTGCGGGGATGCATGTGGGGGGAACAGCGGGGGGAATATTTCCAGTGAGGAAGGGGCTGTCGGAGGAACATCGTGCAAGACGCAGGCGATGCACTCCAACTGCAGCAGCGAGACCTGCATCCCCACTCCCAGCTGCAGGATCTGCTTCCAGGGCGCAGAGCAGGTAAATGCAGGTGAAGGCCTGATGGGAGAGTGTCCATCTCTGCAGCGACCAGATTAAAAAACACACACTCGGTCTGGTGAATGAAGGTGAGGGCACGGTCCTCTCAGGGCTGAGCTCTGATTGGCTGACAGAAGAAGCTGGTCTTATTTACGTGAGGTAAAGCTATGGAAGTAAATCTGTGCCATCTGGTTTTGAATTAGAATTTTTAAAGCTGTTTTTTTTTTTGGATCAAAATCAGACTTTGAATTTTAAAACCATTGAATTTCAAGCCCGCTTTTTCATTTCTGACACTAATTTTTTTCATGATGATGAAATGAAAAAAGGTCTCAAAAATATTTGTTTAGTAAAAATTCGACTTAAAAAAACTAGGTAAAAAAATCAATTCAGTGTTAAATAATTCAGTGTAAAAAATTCATAGTAAAACAGACTGACTCAACATCCGGGTAACCAGGGAGAAGCAATCGATTTCCGGCTTAATCATCTATCGTCCAGCCAATCAGTTAATGCTAGATTGGTCATGTGACACAGACCCCTGTGGAAGTTTGAGGAATTGATTGCTTCTCCCTGGTTACCCTGGATATTGAGTCGGTCTGTTTTACTCTGAATTTTTTTACACTAAATTATTTGACACTTAATTTTTGTTGAATATTAATGTTGAATATTTTTTACATTTTTTTTTTAAGTCGAATTTTCACTCAACAAATATTTTAAGAAACTGATTTGTTTTACAGCGAAAACTAGTGTCAGAAATAAAAATGCGTGCTTGTCATTCGATGGTTTTGCAAAAAAAATTTCAGCTTTAGAAATTCAAACTCAGATGGCACAGATTTACTTCCATATAAACCTGCTGAGTGGAGGCTTTCACAGCTGTTCACAGCCTGGAGACTGGTCTGATTGGATGGATCTCAGAGGTAGAGCCAATCAGATCCAGACTTCTGAGTAAACGTGCAAACATGACATGTAACAGCTTGATCCTTGAAAATCCAAACTCAGAACAGGGATGGTCGTACAGGAAAGTGAGTAACAATGACATGGGACTGATTTCAGCACCATGGACAGTTCATCCATCATCAGCACTAAAGGAAGTGAGACTTCAGGGTCTATTGAGGGGTCCTCAGAGGGCCCTTTGGTACAAAGGTTAATATCACTATTAACTGTTTAACAGCTGAGCCACCTTTGGTTACAAATAACTCCATACATGAACTCCACTAGTGTAGAGGATCATAAAGGGATATTCTGGTGTAAAATTAATTTAGAGTCAAACACACCAGAACACCGAGTTAGACCCCCCCTCCAGAGATGAATTTTGCGGATCGCTTGCTTCTCCAGTTATACCATTTTTTCGGTTCATGGTGAACCAAATATTTTCAGTGGGTGTTAAGTCTGGACCGCATCAGTCCAGTTTCTCAGCAGGACTCCTCTACTACAGAGCCATGCTGTTTTCATCCCTGTTGTCAGAATCTGGTTTGTTATTGTCTTGCTGAGATAGTGTTCTTGGGTTAAGCAGCGTCCTCGCTATTTTAGAGCTGGTGTTTCCTCAAGGATGGATGAATTATAGGCCTCAGTTTGACTTTCCTGCTCATCTTCTCAGACGTAGATAGACAGACGTGGACCTGCTGGGACAAATGGACTTTGTAATCTGACTCTCAGCAGGTCTATGTGGACAGTGACAGCGAGCCCTGATGAGGGACCATTCATCTGAGCAGAGCTGAGGGGAAAGAGACGTCAGGGCGGTAAATGTCTAAGTGAATATCCTGTCTTCTGAACGTGGGCTATAGCCTATTAGCAGGGCTAATCTAATAGCTCAGCCTCCGGGCCCAGACTGATATTTGATTTTGATACAAGGCTGGTGGCTGGGCAAGCTCAGCAGTTAGATCACAAACCAGAAATTTAACACTTTAAATCTTTATTTCTGAGAAGAAAGAGCGAAACCAATTCATTTTAGGATTTTACCCTGTGGATCATAGAGCTGTGCCAGAAAATGACTCGAGTGGTTCACCGACTGTTTAACAGCAGAGTGAAAAAAGAAGAAACTCAAGGTTCGGTTACACGCTTTCACCTTCACGCTCAGTTCTTCTGTCAGACAGCACAAGCTGAAGATCCACGGACAGAATATCACAGAGAAAGGTTTTTGAAATGATCAGAGATGTTAAAATGTTTGACAGTTTTGTGTCTACAGTCACAGAGTCCTGTGTTTCTGTGATTCCTAAAACTCTCTAGAGGCAGAGTGATCAAATTTGAATACAGTGACCCCCCGGAGAGCAAAACTCAACAACAAGCAAAAACAACAAATAAGAAAACACAACATCACCAGGAACGACAACAATTAAGAAAACAAGATGACATATTAGAAAAACAAAAAAATTAATAATAAATGTATATTGATTTATAAATAAATCAACATTTAGTTTCAACCCAAAGTAAGAGGAAGTGATAGAAATGATTGAAAAAGACGTCTGCAGAGTGACTGTGGTTTAGTTATTTAGCTAAAGCTAAGTTAGCTTGTTGGACAGACTGATATTTTTTGCTGGGAAACAATTGTGTGTCGTTATTGTTGTCATTGTTTTAACTGACACTATTGGAGGAGAGAAGTTCTGCTCAGTATGTGTTCTTGTATAAAGTCAGATACGACTCAGATTCCTTCCAAGAACTGAAAACTGTATATATTTCTGGATTCTTGTGGTTAAGGTGTATATTTCTTGAAAATTACCTGTTTGAGTTTACAGTATGGATGTTTTAGAGCTCAGTTAAAGACCGTCTTAGAAGCTCCAGAAATCTGCTGATCTTTATAGAAATAAAATAATTGTAATGTTTTCATCAGATGTCCCCTCAGGGAATTCAGTCACATGTTGAAATTGTCCTTCATGCTGGTTTTATCCGTCTTTGCTGGGCAGTAGACTTGCTCCACTTCTTTGGAGCAGAGGCCTCCGAGGTCCTTTTAAACCCACAAGGTTAATCTGACACGATGAAAAACGAGCGCCCAGACCACTGACCTTAATATACTATTAATATGCCACTCACCGCCCAGCCGGCAGGTCAAAGCAACAGTAATGGCTGCTGGAGGGAAGCCTCCAGGAAGGAAAACATCAGAACCAATAGATATGACTGTAAAGATTAATGTGCTGCTGCATCCGGCCGTTAATATCCCTGAGTGTTGCAGCTTCAGAGATGATCATTTATCTGAGCGATGCTGGTAAAGCCTGCTGGTGAACAAGTCGTGTATCTTCTCTGATGTATGAGCGGCTGTGAGAAAAGGCCAAACAATGGTGTGAAAATAATGATTTTTAGATGATGGGGAAGATGACACGCCGACCCTGGAAATGGATGTAGGATTAATACTGGGTAAAGGCTCCACTACTGAACCAAAAACTGATGCTTTAAAAAATATTATATAAAAAATAATCAATAAAATCTGACACGGGTGCTACAGGGAGCGGCTGTTGGTAATGCTACAGTTAAAAATGTCCCTGTTTTTTGAGTATGTGTACATTACTTTCCCCTATTTATCTGTCCAGACCTCAGCAGGGATAGCGAGTGGGTTATCACAGTGGATTTAACGGGGTCCTGCTCACTCTGTTGAGGTTTCTGTCAGGGGCACAGTGAGTTATAACCATAGACTGTATATAGAATGTTTTCTATGATTGACACTTGATATCAATCACACAAAGATAGCGTAGCTCACCGGGGGATACGCTGTTTGAGCCGAGCGTCATCTCAAACTCCTGCCGAATGCGTACAACGCTACTGCGCAATGTTGGTTTCAGGAAATGGAGAAAAAACGTGGAATAACTGAAAGCTTTTCGGCTTCAAACCCGTTTATTGGTGGAAGGCGGAAACCGAGTTGTCCATAGTAAATACAGTCTGTGGTTATAACTCTGAAAAGGTGAGCGGTACCCTGACTGGATTCTGCTTTGCATGACCACCCGTTCGTGATACATCATCCCGATTATTAAAGGATCTTGATTTGCATAATAACTACCAACCTGGCTATCAACTAATGAAACAAACAGCTTGTCAGAAAATTTTGATTCACTATTCACTATCATTATTCTATCAGCTAGGAATGATGTCCCCTCGGGTTTATGGTTGCTAGTGTTTCCATGGCAACTGTACATTCTTACCCGCTACCTATGGGTCAATGAATATAAATATCTTATTTAATTAGCATTTTTAAATTGATACAAAAAATGGAGGAGGACCTGATTGAGGTGTTCTGCCCCTAACCGAATTATCAACCTGTCTTTAACTCTGTGAAAGTTCACGCTGTGTTTTGTCTCATATTTGCTTGGTGTCTGTTTTCTTCGATTTGGTTGAAGTCTCCTACACAGAGCTCCTTGTGTCTTTGAACCTCTCTTTCTGTTTCTGTGCTGTTTTCATTCTCTCATCTGTTTGTCTCGCCGGTTACTGATCTGTCATTTACCAGCGATCTTTGAAAACCCTGATTTTCAAAAAAAAGTGGGATTTTGGGTACAGTGTCGACAAAATTTTAACTTTTTTATTGTACGTAAAGATTTGATTGAGACATGAGTGGGTATAAAAAGACAAGCTAGGTTGAGATGAAGTGGAAAATTGCCCTGTGGTCTGATGAATCATAATTTAAAACTCTTTTTGGAGATCATGGACCACCTTGTATATCGACCATAATGAACCGCGTCCTGCATGTATGACAACAGCGTGGCTCTGTAGTAGAAAAGTCCTGCTGATGAAAACAAGAAATCGTCAACATATTGTTGTGTAAAAAAAGTCTTGTTCTGTCTTGTGTTCATATTTGACCTTTGCTCTCTCCACAGGGCGACCTGTTGAACCCGTGTCGGTGTGACGGCTCGGTGCGTTACACACACCAGCACTGCCTGCTGAAGTGGATCAGCGAGCGAGGCTGCTGGACCTGCGAGCTCTGCTGTTACCGCTTCCACGTCATCGCCATCAACATGAAGAGACCGTGGCAGGTACAGCAGAAAACAATCATGGTCGTTTTCTTTCCACGTGGACTGTGTCACGCCTGATTTTGCTCTCCATACAGAGAGTTATTCCTGCGTTAAACCAAAACCAGCTGATACCTGATTCCCTCTCCAGGTCTCTTTGACACCTCAGATTCCCCTTCTGTCCTCTTTTACCTCCACAGTCCCACAGACAGCGACTCCTGATGCCTAAAATATCTACATTTAGGCTAATTTCCCCCCACAGAACATCCAGGTCTTTACAGATCTGTTCACTCCAGATGGGACTTGAGTCACTGGCAGACTGAACAAACACAGCTGAGGCTCAGCAGAGCTCTGCTTTCTGTCTGTCTGAAGTCTTTTCTTTTTAACAAGCACTATGCAGCTTCACAATCATCCTCTCGGCATCAACAATCCTCCAATTTTCCATCAAGTTCTCATTCAGTTTGCTCCTCCTCCATATTCGTCTACCCACTATTGTTCGGATTTGTGTGAACTCGCAGCAACCTGCAGCAACTTTTCCCAACTCTTTATGGTCCCTGTCCAGCTTCTTCTGGCCTCTCTATTTCCTCTGAAAAAAATAAGGTGATCCACGGTGTGTTTGACCTTAAAATAATTTTATGCTGGAATATCCCTTTAAGTACAGAGCATTATTAGTACCAACTTTGACTAGTAACATATACTAACAAGATCACACAGAATACTATTTTCAAATGCTCAAGAGACATGAACTCAAGTTTGCAGATCAAATATCTGAGGTGGTCCCAAAATGAAGGCGGTCTAACTGTTTTAAAACGCTCTTCAAGTGGCTCCATCGGTTCCTGGTTACACTGTGCTTGATTATAGATGCAGATATCTAAGTCCACGTCTCTTCTGCCCTCTCTCTCTTCTGTGTACAGTGGCAGTCCATCACCATCACTCTGGTGGAGAAGGTGCAGATCATCGCCGTGTTCCTGGGCTCTCTCTTTCTGGTGGCGAGCATCTCCTGGCTGCTGTGGTCGGCCCTGAGCCCGCAGGCCGTGTGGCAGCGCCGAGACGTCCTCTTCCAGATCTGCTACGGCATGTACGGCTTCATGGACCTGGTCTGCGTAGGTGAGGCTGGGAATAGTCTCCAGATATACGTAACAAAAATGTGGAGAGTCATGGAGAAAAAGGAAAGAAGCCGGTTTATCATTTCTGAGGTTACATAATTCAGTCTAAAGCACAGATGGAGCAAAGCTTTAGTCCAGGAACTCACAGATTAGCTGCTCCATGAATGTTTTACTTTAATTCACAGGCTGCTCGACGACAGTTCACTATAAACATCCACTCATATTTACACAGGTTGACAGAACACCTGTTAGAGTCTGAGTGAATATTTATCTCTGATTTACGGACAAAGATAGCCCTGCGGAAGTGTTCGTCACACTCTGTTTGAAAACTCCACCTTCGTCTCTCGATGGTGAGTGGTCTGGAAGTCACACAGTTAAAATCTAATTAACACAATAATTCAGAATAATCATAATCGATAATGGAACTCTGTTACATCAGTTTAAGTCAATATAAAATTAGATAAATTAAACTCACAAACTGTTTAAATCTGAAAAATCTGGAAATTTTGAAAAGAACAGAATCTAGAAAAGCATCCAGGCAGCAGTTTTGATGTATTCAGGGAGAGATTATCCATCTAATCTGTTTATGTTGTCACCACAGGAAGGGCATCCAGAGGTCATTTTTTATGTTGTAGCCAATAGAAGCTTCACAAGAGGATTTCCTTTTTTGTTATGTTTAATGGAAGAGCACTTAGAAGTTAAAATTTAATTGTGTATCCATAGAGAGGCATCCAGAGGGTATCTTGTCATTGTATCAACTGGAAGGGCATCCTGAGGACTTTTAAAAACGTATCTACTTTAAGGACATCTAATAGGAATATATACATTCTATCCACTGGAGGGACATCTAGATGATTTTTTGTATAGTCCAACTGGTGTTTTTTTCCCCTATTCCTTTACAGGAACGGCATCCAGAGGGGATTGTTTTAGTGTATTAACTAGAAGGGGACATACTCAGGTTACCTTTTTAAAGTGTATTAAGTGAATGAGATGAGCATCCAGAAGGCCTTTTAACGCCATATCCAGAGGAAGGGTATTTAGAAAGTATATTGACATTGCATCTAAAAGGCAGGCATCATTTTAACTCTGTATCCAGTGGAAGGGCATCCAGAGGTCATTTTGTATGTTGTAGCCAGTAGAAACTTCACAAGATGATTTCTTTTTTTTTTGTTATGTTTACTGGAAGAGCACTTAGAGGTTCACATTGTATGGTGTATCCATAGATAGGCATCCAGAGGGTATCTTTTAATTGTATCAACTGGAAGGGCATCCTGAGGACTTTTAAAAATGTATCTACTTTAAGGACAACTAAGAGGAATATTTACATTCTATCCACTGGAAGGACATCTAGATGAATTTTTTACAGTTCAATTGGTGTTATTTTCCCTATTCCTTTACAGGAAGGGCACCCAGAGGTGATTTTTTTACAGTGTGTTTAACAGAAGGGAGCGTACACAGGTTACCTTTTTAAACTGGAATAACTGGATGAACATCCAGAGGGCTTTTCAAACACTATAACCAGAGGTAGGGTATTTAGGAAGTATTTTGACATTAAATCTAATAGGGAGGCATCATTTTAACCCCCTGTCTATTGTAAGGGCATCCGGATGGCGTGTTTTTGCATTGTTCTTTTGTTGAAGGTGAACCTGATGGACGTGTTCATGAGGGTGAAAGTCTTTTCTTTAGTAATCAGAGCACATATTTTCAGAGTTCTTCAGGCTGTAAATGTCAGGTATCAGCAAAACAAGCAGAAAACACTTTCCCCTCCTTCATTTTACACACAAGCCAGACACCAAATTCAGCAGCTTGAATTTTAAGCAGGCTGGCTGTGAAATGTCTTTCTGCAGTCTTCGAATGAAACTGAGTTGTCTGGGGATTGTTCTGAGGTTGTCACGGAGACGGAGAAACTATCAGGTTAAAAAAAAGAAGCCGAGGCACACTGATGGGACCCAAAGTCGACAGAATTTACAATATCTGATTTTTAATATTTCAGAGAGCTGGAAAAACATGTTTTATTAAAAAGTGACGTGAACCAGGGAATGCTCTATTTTTACAATGACCTTTCTGTTCTTGTAACAGGCCTGATTGTCCATGAGGGGGCAGCAGTGTACAACGTCTTCATGCGCTGGAGGGCCGTGAACCTCCACTGGGACGTCCAGAGCTACGATAAGGCCAAGGACATGGAGGAGACGAGCACCGGACACTCCTCGTTGGCCCCCAGGACGCTTTGGCTGCCTTTGGCCACCTTTGGGCCCAGCGGCCCCTTAAACCCCACCCAGCTGGGGCCACAGTCATGGACCTGTCTCTGTTTGGCCCCTTTCTGCCCCGGCCTGGTGCCCCGAAACAATCTCAGTCAGGACAGTGACTCAGGAGAGGTGGTCATTCGTGTAACGTCAGTGTAACACCAGGCGGTATTTAAACAGGAACTGAACATCTGATGGTTTGGACTGGAAAGCAACAATCTGAGCTTCTCTCACAGTTTACAGTTCGTCTCTGGGGCCGGTCCTCAAATATCCCCACATTTTAGTTTCATCACATGATGCTGCTGTTTACTTTTATCTTTAAAGGGATATTCCGGCGTAAAATTAATTCAGGGTCAAACACTCTGTAACACCGAGTTAGACACCCCCTCCAGAGATGAATGTTGTCGACCGCTTGCTTCTCTAGTTATACCGACTTTAGTAACGACCACAGGATTACAGACTACAGCGGGGTGCCGCAGCTCAAGGAAGAACATTTGTGATCATTTCTTCATGGAAATACAATCAGACCGAGATGCTAAGACAGAAGAACTACCGCATCTGCAGAGGAAAATGATTAATATGATGATTATTACTTCAAGGAAATGATAAAGAAATGATCATAAATGTTCTTCCTTGAGCAACATAAACCTCTCAAGGGGGTTTCTAACTTGGTGTTACAGCGTGTTTTACCCTAAATTTGTTAAACGCCGGAATATTCCTTTAACTGATGATTTCAGATAATGCAGATAATCATTTAGTGCCATTTGTTAAACAAATCAGTTTCCCATGGATGTTTAAGAAGAGAAGAGTTGGTAGTTTCTTACAGAATAAGGGCTGACATGTACTGAGACTACATCAGGCGTCTTAATATTTTCAGATACACCAATATCTCATATTTACAGTTGCATAGATTTCTATTATTTCAAAGAAATCTAAAATATTTGTAGAGTCTTTGTAGGAAATTGTTGAAATCTGGATTGTAAAAGGGGAATCTTTGAAATAAGTACACTAACTGTGGACTGTTTTGGATATCTATGGAGTAACAAACTCCCTTTATGGCCTACGGTTCAACATGTTGCCTGACACTACTATCTTGGTTTTCATGGAACCAAAGTGACTGTTTAGATCATATGCTGGATGAATAATGTCGCATCTCTTCTTTGGTTGCTTTTGTGGTGGCGAGTTAATCATATGTAGCAGCAATTAAGCAACGTCTAGAGTTGGAAAAAAAGAGAGAAGCTCGTTTGGAAGCACAAAAAATGGAGGATGGCTCCAAAAGGCCGGGATTCCTTGATAACGCCCGTGTTAAAAAGTCTGTATTCTTTGTTTCTTGACTTTTTCACGATCGTTAAACAGATGGAGCAGCATTTATCTTTATCCCTGAGCATTAAAGGATGGCTATGCAAGTTTCAGAAAGAGTAGCACAGATAGCACAAAAGTTGTAAACTTGACGTCAGAAAGATATAGAGTTATTGGTTTAAAATCAACGATGCCGGAGTTTTAGATATTTAGCAACTCTTACCAGACTGTCAGATGATTTGTACCTGTTTAAATACAGCTGTTGAAATCGTGTTTTTGATCCGTCTGTTAACCTTTTTTTAAGCTTCCAGGAGCCTCGTGGTGTCTGGGTCGTGGGGTTTGGGGGTTTGGGTTTCTGTTTCCAACTTTTGTCATTTGGGTGTTTTGATTTTTTTGGTGCCTTAAGAGGCTGGATGAAAACGGCCTAATGCGCAGCACAGAAATGACTTGAATGTGACTTTTGCTGTTGGCTGTATTTCTATTTCTTTAGAATGTAACATGGATGTAATGTATAAAGAATATTTATATATAAAGAGAGCAGTGTTGTGGGTTATTTACCGGGGTCTGGTGGATCAGAGGGGGTGTTTTACTGTAGAGATCCAGAAGGAATACTGGATTTCAGTCTGGACCAAGTCTGGTAGCCCTGACACCACAAGTTATGGACAGAAAATTCACATTTCTGGAGCTGAAATGTTTATTTTACTTACTACTAAAAAAATAAAAAAAATCTAAATGTTCTTAAAATTCAACAAATATATTTTTTTATCTTGTTTGATACATTAGAGGACATTTTTATCATTTATCTGTATTCAGGTGTTTTTTTTTTAGTAATTTATTGATCATATTGATTTGATAGAAGTATATAAATTTATGTATCAAATATGAAACAAAAGGGTTCAGGACAAACTTCTACAGGAACGCATATCAGACCAAATATGTAACCATTTATTGTTAGAATCATCCTTTCATACGTAACACAGCTAATACAGATAAAAAAGTAAAATACCAGAATTATGTTGAAGGTCCAAGGTCAGTCAGATACTTACAAAGAGAAAAAATACAGCAAGACTTGTTTGATTTTTAGAGAACGGCTGTGTGGTCGTCAACCAGGTGAGAAAAAATAGAAGGTAAAGACTTACAGTATAAAATGTACAGCCACATGATTATATAATATATAATATATATATAACATTGCACATAATACCAAAAAAAGAACCACGCATGGAAAAGAAAATAAGTGTACACAATATACAACAAGGCACTACGGAAGAAACCTGCACACGCGTCTTTGGATGGACCTGCCGCCAGCGGAGCTCCAGCGAAATGTCGTAGGAATGTGACACTGAGGCGAGTCCAGCTGAGCCAGCCGTTCAAACTGAAACCAGAGTAACTCAGGAAATCCAGAGATTACGTCTAAGACCTACAAAAGTGAAAATGTTGAAGCTTTGGTCACATTTGGTGGCTTTTACGGATCTATAAGTGCTTCATGAGGTCTTTTACTTTAATTTGAAAGTGTTAAAAACGTAGATCCATGATTTCCAAAAAGAATGTCGACTTTCGATGTCTGTCATAGAAGTTGTGCTGTTGACTCGTGTTTGTTGTGCTTATCAGCTCCAACTCGAGGATGATACTATCATATTCTGTTGCCATGGTTTCTTAAACAAACAAGCAGAGAGTTTAGACAACGTGTCCAAGATTTCCAAAAAGAATGTCAAATTTATAAGGGTCACCTTAGCGTCACCTCTGCTTGTGTCGAGACTGACCGAGAGGTGGGCTGAGTCAGCATTTCTAACATGGCGACCACTATCGTTGCACTTCGTAACTCCTCCTCAGACACTAACGGTGAGACAGTCTGTGGTTTTTACTTTTTTACTTTTTTAAGCATAAATTTGGGCTGTCTATAAAGAAAGTTTGGATATTCCCTCAGCTGGAGCAGATAAAAATGGATCCGAGGCCCATTAAAAGTGCTTGTTTTTCTTACTGACAGCCTGAGAATGCTACCAAATCCGTCTCACCACATTACAGTAAAGGAGGTTACAGAAACAGAAGTTATATCCTCGTTTATCGCTCTCCTCAAAGCCACCAAACTCCTCTGACAACAACAGATGTTTGACTTTGTCGAACAGCAGGGTTGCAGGATCGCTCTCGTCTTTCCGGTTATTTAGTTTTTGCTCTAAATCACTCGTATCTATGGAAACACTGGAGTTCAGCTTGAATGAGCTGCTCTGCTGGACAGACCGAACAGTGTACAAATACATTGGTAGTTAAAGGGAACATTGGAGCACCTTTTCGATTGTGGTTGCACAATGAACCAGAGTGGCATTCATGAAACAAGTGTGTCTTACTTGAGTTTGTCCTGCTGAAGTTAAAACAGGCACTTTTGTGACCTCCTCCTCCTCCTCCTCCTCATCATCATCATCATCATCATCATCATCATCGGAAAATCAAGAAAAACAATCAAACTCAAACTTGAAATGCATCTTATTTACAGTCAGCACACCATCCTGGAGAAGGTCTGAAGAGAAGTCCCAGAGTTTTACCAAAGCAGAAATAAAGGCTTGTAGACAATGACGAGTTTCTTTTCTCTGTTTCCTGCTTTTCTTTTCTTTTCTTTTATACATTCAACAAGCCTGTAGGCACACCTTTCCAACACCTCACACACACAGACAGACTCACACAAACAAACACACACACAACCAAAGTAAAAAAAAGCCCCATCCTGCAACAGCAGCACGTCAGCATCAGGAAGAAAAGAACGGTTCGACTCCAAAACAAGAAACATCCACACTAATGAAAAAAAGACGGTAATGCTGAACCTTCAGCTGGAACTCTTTGGTCTAAAAAAGCTGAACTTGCTGCATGTGAGGAGGATGACAGTCTTCATTTCTAGCTGCCCAACTGTAAAGACATGGATGTCTGTTAGCTTCTCAAGAGGCATTATGACGCCAAACAATGGTGGCCGCCATATTGGAAATGACCTTTAGTTCATGTAGAGACAAGCAAAGGGGTGGAACTTAGGCGGACCTTTAACCTCAATTAAGCAAATATGCAAATTCATGCATAACTCTGTGCTTCAAACTTATTATGGACTCCGATGGGAAGTCATTCACTTTTGGGTAGAGCCTCAAGTGGAGGCTTGAGAAACTGCAGTTCCTCCTTAACTTCTCTTATCAATTTCAAAGGTTGATGCCTGATCAGTTGTCAGTTTCAATCATGATTGGTTCCACGGTTAGGTCCCAGGGTTTCATGAATAACCATTGTGGTTATAACCCTTCAGCAGTTCTACTCAGTTTTTGAGAACCGTCTTTCAATGAGGTTTTTGTCCCCCTCACAAACAGCAGACACTTCCAGCTCGACATGATTGCTAACTGCATTACTTCAAACATCTCGATCTTCTTGGTCTGGATGTTTCCTGTTTTGGAAAGAGACATTTCCAAAATTAAGACAAAATAAAAAAGAGCTTGTTAACATTAAGAGCATTGTGGTTTGTCTCCAGCATTCACAGAGTCCTTCTGAAATGTCCAGAATCCGAGCTGCGCCTCGTCTCCTGAGTGTCAAGGACGGGCGGCCGGGCTCGACCCTCCGTCACACTCTGATAAGTTGCCATAAGGTCAAAGGTTTAAAGGTAGAGTTCACCAGGCACTGCACTGGCTTCCGTGGCTGCTGACGGACTGACAGTTGCTGTAGCGTTTCTTAACGATCATGCTGATGTAGGCCTTCATCAGCTTGGCGATGTCCATGACCTGCAGAGGAGAGATTCCATAGATCATCCACTGACTTTCACCTTGACAACACTCTGTAAATGTTTGCAAACCAAAAGCACGGTTTCGTACGAACCATTTGGGTTTCAAAGACCAATT